AAGTGCCGAACTGAATTGCCAATGTGCCGAATTGCCAAAGTGCTTCGGATTTCTGAAATACCAATAAACAAGTTGTTAGCATGTCACTCTCATTTAAATAGCTATGGTTTAGTAACTCGGAAAACTGTTAGGTTGTTTAAATTAATTCTTGACTATTTAAGGGTTAATAAGTGAACATGCTAGTCTAGAAGTTAATGAGACGTTGCTCTAGTAAACGTAGAGGAATCAGATTGTGAATTAAATTGGATACGTAAAAGTTAATGTCACCATTCAGGTGGCTAAAATGTCAGGTAAAGGTTAATACGCCAGCATGTTAGGAGGGAGTGGTCAGTTAGGTTGAAAGGTTTGCCTGGTAAGGGTTAACCAGACAGCTGGATGGGTAAGGGTTATTCGGTCAGTTGCATGGATAAGGGGTAATCAATCTTTTGGTTCGGTAAGGGTTAATCAGTCAGTTGGGTGGGTAAGGGTTAATCAGACAGTTGGTTTGGTAAGGGTTATTCAGTCACTTGCTCTGATGGTGCTGTGACTGGGAGTCGGGATGAGGGTGCAGTGGGTGGGTCAGTGAGCGGCAGAGGTGGTGCATTTCTCTGGTCAGTTTTTTAGTTTTCCCCCTCTCCCGGGATAATGCTGCTCCCCCTCCCTCTCCCTCCGTGTGCCCTTTACTGGCGAGTTGGCACCTACATAGCCAGTGGTGTACACATGATCCATGGGGCCCCGGTGTGAAAACTGATCCGTGGGCCCCCCCACCCCCCGCGCTTACATTGCCTGTGCCCAGGGCCGCAACACATGGCGGCGGGCACCTGGTCGCAGGGGTTGCAGGAAAATCACAGTGAGATGTTGCTGGACGTCCATAGGAAAGCATTGAGTAATGCTTTCCTATGGGCGGTTTGAATGCACGAGCAGTTCTTGCCGCGCATACGCATTCGGAGCCGAGAGGCGGATTGGGGCGGAGAGATCCCAGTGCCAAAGGAGACCGGCGCTGGAGAAAGGTAAGTGCTGAAGGAGTTTTAAAAAAGATTAGGTGTACACTCAGTATTGGAAATTAATGATAAAAACCACCACTGGTGTGCATATGGAGCGCTTACAAATTTGTTGACTCACCCATATGGGTTAACATACATATGTATGGAAAACGTGACTCATAGCGATATATCTGAAACAAATGTAAATGCAAGAAATAGTGCAGATAACGTTTTCAATAAGTGCAGTGAGGGAATATTCTATATGGTCTTACTCACATGTAGCAGAGCCCTATAGGATAGGCTCAGATCTCAATGGCCTGCGTGTGCTTATTTGTGACACAGTACCCAATCGGTCCTCTAGGCGTCTGGAGATCCTTATGCATACATGAGAGAGAGAGAAAACAAGGGGAAGAGGAGAACCCCTAGTGCGGTCAATCCCAATGTACAGTGTCAAATAGTGCAGAAAAAGTGGCTTCTCACCTGATGTGGAGCCCTATACCTGGCTCCTGGTGTGTAGGTGTCTGTGCCTTTAAGGGGGCAACTACCCTTCTTTAAGCAGCAATAATGGAGGGTGGATTCCAAATATAAAACAAAATTTATTAAATAAAGTAGTAAAAACTTACAAATAAAATATGAACAAAATTGTGACAAATTATAAAATGTGGAATCTTCAATTCTCCATCCGAAACATGTTTCACTGTACCCAGACAGCTTTTTCAATCGGTTTTTCAACAGCTTTTTCGGTTTGAAAAAACGATTGAAAAAGCTGTCTGGGTACAGTGAAACATGTTTCGGCTGGAGGATTGAAGATTCCACATTTTATAATTTGTCACAATTTTGTTCATATTTTATTTGTAAGTTTTTACTACTTTATTTAATAAATTTTGTTTTATATTTGGAATCCACCCTCCATTGTTGCTGCTTAAAGAAGGGTAGTTGCCCCCTTAAAGGCACAGACACCTACACACCAGGAGCCAGGTATAGGGCTCCACATCAGGTGAGAAGCCACTTTTTCTGCACTATTTGACACTGTACATTGGGATTGACCGCACTAGGGGTTCTCCTCTTCCCCTTGTTTTCTCTCTCTCTCACATGTATGCATAAGGATCTCCAGACGCATAGAGGACCGATTGGGTACTGTGTCACCATAAGCACACGCAGGCCATTGAGATCTGAGCCTATCCTATAGGGCTCTGCTACATGTGAGTGAGACCATATAGAATATTCCCTCACTGCACTTATTGAAAACGTTATCTGCACTATTTCTTGCATTTACATTTGTTTCAGATATATCGCTATGAGTCACCTTTTCCATACATATGTATGTTAACCCATATGGGTGAGTCAACAAATTTGTAAGCACTCCATATGCACACCAGTGGTGGTTTTTATCATTAATTTCCAATACTGAGTGTACACCTAATCTTTTTTGTACTAATCTATAGGGTAGAGAGTCCCTATTTGTGTGGTAGCTGCTGTCATTCTATTCAGTTATTAACTGAAAGCGCCTTGAAAACACACAAATTCTTATTTCTGAAGGAGTTTTAACCTCTTCAGCTCAGCGGGAGGGGGGCAACAAGGGTGGGGGGGACTGAAGGACTATATAGTACCAGGAAAATTAGTTTGTTTTCCTGGCACTATAGTGGTCCTTTAATGACAAACATTCAGATACACATTCAGGCAAACAGATGCCCATGCAGACCAAGGCATACACATACAGACCCACATACAGGCACATACACAGAAACACAGAGATACACATACATACACACACACACACACACAGACATACACTCATAGTGACAGACCCACATACACACTCACTGACAAACACATATACACTCTCACTAACAAACATACACTCACAGACAAGTATACACACACACTCACTAACAGACACACGCACACTTTCACGAACAGACACATACACACTAGCTAACAGACACACACATTTACTGACAGACACACACTCCCTGATGCACAGACACATATACACACCCACTTATAAAACATACACTCTCACTGACAAACACACACCAAACAGACTCACAATCAATAACAGACACACACAACTAACACACTCAGTAACAGACACACACACAGTAACACACTCACTGACACACAAAAACTAACACACTCAGACACTCACTAGCAGACACACACTAACAGATACACACACACACTCACATACTGACACTAACACAAACACACTCACATTCCCTGGGGTCCAGTGGGGCTGCTGGACAGCCGGTCCTGCAGTCAGCGAGGGAGCACTGATCCTTCTGTTCAGCTCCCTCGCACGCCACTTACTGATGCCGGAGTGATGTCATATTCTTGCTCCGGCATCACTGCGGTGCGCGCGAGGGAGCTGAACAGGAGGATCAGTGCTCCCTCACCGCCTGCAGTGACCGGCCGCAAAATTACGCCACTGCCAGCCTCGGTGGGCCCTGAGGTGGCCAGCTCCTGGGCCCCCCAGGAGAAAAGGCTGGAAAAATGCGGTTGTGGCCGCACTGGCGTACATACCCGTGTCGCAGGACGGCGCCTGCGACCGCGGTATGTACGCCAGTGTACATAGCCCTGCAAGCCCCTATTGGTTACCATCTGCCTAAAGCTGTAACCACAGCCAGACAGGGTCCAACCCCATCAGTATTAGCTTATATGGGCTCTACACAGCTTATGTCATTTACTGGAGCTCTGCACAGGTTATATCCTTTACTGGAGCTATGCACAGCTTATATCACTTATTAGAACTCTACACATGTAATTTCTAGCCATGTGAAATTCGTTTAATTCATGCTATTTTGGCCTTAAATTTTAAATTTGCTTTATTGAATAATCCTGGCAGGCTGCAATTTTCAGGGTAAATTACTAAAGTAATAATTAAAAAATATTTTTAAATTTAGGATCAGAGTAGCCAAGCTGAAAGCATAGTCAACTTATTTTCCAGTTTGGCTATTTTGACTTTGAATTCTCACTATAGTGAATAACCCTGTCTGTTTACAATTCACAATGGTTTACTCACTAACAGGGTTATGTACTAAAATGAGAGTTGCCTGGAATTCCAGATTTAAGGTTAAAATATTCAACTGGAATAATTCTCCACGTCACCTTTTCGTCTACTTTGGCCTTAAGTTTGTAATTCACCTTCAATTCCTGACAATTTTCACTTTAGTATTAAAGGATCACTATAGTGTTAGGAAAACAAACTCGTTTTCCTGACTCTATATAATCCTTAGGGGACCCTCACCCTCAGGGCCCTCCTCCTGCTGGGCTGAAGGGGTAAAACCCCTTCGGCCACTTACCTTAATCCAGCGCCGGGCTCCCTTGGCGCTGGTGACCTCTTCTCCCCTGCCGAGTGGAGCAGAATGCGCATGCGCAGCAAGAGCTGCACGCGCATTCTAACAGTGCAAATTTCACATCCAGCGTTGCAGAAGCGCCTCTAGTGGCTGGATTAACCCTGCAATGTAAACATAGCAGTTTCTCTGAAACTGCAATGTTTACACGTGAAGGCTTAAAACCTAAGGGTCCTTGCACCCAGACCACTTAATTGAGCTGAAGTTGCCTGGGTGACTATAGTATCCCTTTAAGTTATTCATTAAACTGTGAATTGAATAGTGGAGTTGGAAAAATTCTCTAAGAAAGCAATGCTTCCAGTTGCTCTACTTTGGTCTGAAATTTGAATTTCTCTTTGAATTCTCACTTTAGTGAATAACCTTGTAAAATGAAAGCGAGAAGTGATTATATCTTCTAAAGCAAGCACTTTCCACCTAAATTTTCCAATATGTGTTTTTCAATTCCCCCACTATTTTCTAAGTAGTGAATACATACTCCTGGCTGGTTCTCTTGGTCAGAACTCTTGCCAGAGGTATATTTCATGTAAAAGTAATTTAAAAAGTAAGGTAAAGTGTTATAGTTGCAATAATAAACTTTGAAATATTTGTAAAAAAAAAATAGTCTCTGTACACTAGTTGTAGGAACCTAATACGCCGGGCACTGAAAGTTCAGGTCTGTGTTTCCGCCCGGACCCTCCTGTGATTGCACACAGACTGCTGGGAGCGCTGCAGAGTTTGTTGTACCTCGAAAAGAAAGAGATGAGATGCTCCCATGGACCCGAGTGATGTGAGCTATTGTTAAGGGAGGGAATATTCTCCTATTCAGGGGTGCTCATTAGGTTTTGTATGCTGGGAATAAGGGGATATGCGGTGGGTTTTGCAGTTATTTTTCTGATAGGTTTTAGTGGCTGAAGTTTTAATCTTTGCAAAGTTTATGAGAGCATGTTTTAGCCCTTAGTGCAAAATTTTTTTTAAATAATAAATATAAATAATATAGGCAAATAACTGCAAGGGGTATTCTTCATATTGGTCACTAATTCAGAATCCAGCATGGTCACCATAATCCTAGTCTAGTGCAGTGACAGGCAGCTTTAGCACTCCAGGTTTGTTTTTGTGAACTCTATAGGACAACTAGTTTTTAAACTTTTGGGGTGCCAGAGTTAGCCATCACTGCTGCTGTGACAAGCAGATCAGAACTATTTTGCCCACATTTGTTTTTACTTCAAAGTTTTTGTGCTGAAAATAACACTATAAACAACGATAACATTATAATCACTAATGTAAATGGATAAACACATGCAAGAGTAGAACTACATATTATATAAATAACATAATGGGGAGTGGAAACTGTGTTCCTTCCAGATTACAGTTTAAGTGAAAAAGAGATAGTAAAATACAATTTTAAATAATTTAACATGTTGCCTGCATACCCATGTCTCTAACATGAGAGTTTTCTGAAAGCGGTGCAAAAATGTAAAATTGGAGTTGATGTCAGTGAAAAGATGCCTGCTGGTTCCACTGTTTTCTATGGTGATTGCCCCACATTCTAGTACTTTTCAGAAAATAAACATACAAAATTAAACCCTGAGTTCAAACTCACACTACTCCTGGGCGGCTGCAATGACTATAGTACACATCAGCCCCAATACATACAATAAAAAAAAAAAGTTACTTGCACACTATCCTAAATACCTAAAACTGGAGTTTTTTTTTTAGAATCACTCCAATGGCCATTAAAGTGTAAGCTCACCTGCCAAATCCAGGCTAAACCTCTTAGGTGAGTCCTACTCTAACAATTCACTGTGCTTCTTTATCCTAAAAGGCAAAGCCTCTGAGACAGAGATGGTTATTTTCCTATACCCCTACACAATCATTAACACTTAAAAGGGAACACATGGGGTGGGTGACAGCACCGTAACATGGCTGCATAACACAAAAGCGAATATAAAATTAGGCCTTGAGCTCAAATCCCACATTTTAGAACATGCTTTTAAAAAAAAAAAAATATATACTTTAACCCCCTGTTTTTTGGCCCATCACAAACTATTTGATCATTTGGGCACTTCATTAGTTAACTTCAAACAATTTTTTTTCCTAATTTTAAATGCACTAACCCAGGCATCTCAAACTCTTGCCCCCAAGTGTGGCTTGAAATTCCTGCACTAAACCAATACTGCCTCTCAAGTTAACTCCCTTCTGTCTCATTGTGGCTGTAGGCACTGTATTAATTTGAAAATACTCCTACACTAGTAAATGGCTGTTTAGGAAATACACATTTATGCACCCACTGTGTTCTGCACTACCACAACTTACTTTGCCTTCTCACTAGAAAACCAAAACCTCAACCCCCTTTCTTTAACTCTGTCAAAATCTGTACATTTTGTGAGTAGATTCATGGTGTTTAAACCAAATCATCACCCTTCCATCTGCATGACATAACAAATTGATCATTGTCATGCATAGTATTTTGTCTAGTTTTGTTGTACCTGTGCCCATTGTAGTCTCTTCACTGTCCTTGGCTGACAGGTGTAAAAGGAATGTGGTTTTCTGCTGCTTTGGCTAATCCACAGCAAGGTTTGACATGTGGCATAATGACGTAGTGTTCATCAGAGCGCTGTTCTAATGCATGTTTATTTCCGTATCAATCACTTTGCCAACCTGTCTTGTCATTCTCCTCTGGTCTCTAATTTACTAGACATTTCTCTTCATAGAACTGCTACTCACATTTCTTCACTATTCTCTGTAATCTCTATGGCCTATTGTGGGTCAAAATTCCAGAAGATAAGCAGTTTCGGAGATGCTGAAACCACATCACCTGGCAAATAAAATTACTAAATACCATACCATTTTAAAGTAGGAAATTAAAAGCCTAGTTTCATATCACAAAAAAAAAATATTAAAACATACTTGAGCTAAATACAATATCTTAGCATGTATCATAGTATACATATATAAAATATGCTCATAATACTCTGTCCTAAATAGTTTATTTTGTCCTTTCGTAGGTAAGGTCGTAGAGATCACTTTATAATGGATCATATTTATTATTTTTTTCTTTTCATTTCATTCTCACACTAGGTACATTAAGCTCAATGGGCAAAGTCTGACGTTTATAATAATCAGATCGTTATTGCGGAGATAATTTTGTCAATATATTTAGATCACTTTTGAAGACTTTGCACATATGAACTAGACTGATGTGGGAGGTTTGGTGCATTAGACATATGGTTTCTATCGATTACTCAACTTTCAAAAGGTTTGTCAACCTAATTGTAATATTAAATTATTTGAAAAAGTGTTGGCATCTCTGATGAAACCCCTCATAGTTTCTTTGCCCATAGCTTAAGAGTTGGAGTTTCCTTTAAAGACTAGTCATATAAATAATTTATTGTTGTACAGCAGTGGTTCACCGCAATATTCCGTTAGATGCTAAGGTTCTTGAAATATGCAATGTTTACATGACCAAAACATTTTTACCTACTTCACAGTACCAACCCTTGGCCTGATGGGTCCAAAGGTACAGCAACCGAGGTCTGAGGAGACCACCGTGCGTGTGGCTATTAGGGTTCGGCCCTTGTTGCCAAAGGAAGTACTTCATGGACAGCAGACCTGTGTACGGACAGATGAAGATCAGAAGAAACTGACTTTGGGCACAAACAAACATTTCCTGTTTCAGGATGTGCTGGATGGCACTTGTGACCAGGAGGCAGTGTACAGCTTGTGTGTACAACCTCTGCTTGAAGCTTTCTTTCAAGGCTTCAATGCAACTGTGGTTGCCTATGGTCAGACCGGCTCAGGAAAGACCTACACCATTGGGGAAGCAAGTATATGTAAGTGTTTGTGAAGTTTTTATATGACTGTAGCAGGTGTCTTTTGTAGCATGTCGTTTTTAAAATTTGATTTTGTGAATATTAGCTTTGACAAACACCACACCTAAAATGTGAAGATTATGCGTATTAGTTTTCATTCTATTTAAATTAAAAAATCGTTGTCAGTCATAGACAGTGCCAGGTCTGTTGATGGAATTGAAGTCATCCAATGAAATTGCATTCAGTGTTGTTAATGATTTTGGGGCAGGAATTCTTGCTCCTGAACCTGCTGAAAAATATGAGTGCCTTTCCTCACACATGCGCATTGTTTCTGGTTTGAAACTGTTTTTTTTTTTTTTTTTGAGGGACACTAGTCACCAGAACAACTACAGTAGAATAATTCCTTTCAGGCTTTGTGCAGTAAACACTGTCTTTTCAGAGAAAAGGCAGTGTTTACATTACAGCTCAGGGATACCTCCACTGGCCACTCCTCAGATGGCTATTAGAAGTGCTTCCTAGAGCAGTGCTACACAGAGTGCAGCACTGCCATTCAGTGTCTCCACCCTCTGCATGGAGACACTTAGCTTTTCTCTTAGAGATGCATTGATTCAATGCATCTCTCTGAGGAGCTGCTGATTGGCCAGGGCTGTGTTTTTCTTGTGCTGGCTCTGCCCCTGATCTACCTCCTTGGTAATATCAGCTAATCCAATGCTTTCTTATGGGAAAGCACTGTGATTGGCTTTGATCAACACTTTCGATGATGTCAACCAAGCAGGCAGATCAGGGGCAGAGCCAGCAGCAGACTGGAATAAAGGTAATATTGTACTATATTTAGGGAGGAAAAGGGGAGGGGAGCGTGCAGGGGGGGCTACATTGTGGTTTTAACACTTTAGGATCAGGAATACATGTTGTTTTTGTTCCTTACCCTATAGTGTTTCTTTAACTTAATTGTGTGGTAACATATGCAGTAGAGGTCATTTGTATCAAATGTCTTTCATGCCTTAGCAAAACGGAGTAAAGGTTTTTAAATACCTCCTTAATATATTTCACTCCAAGAAAAACTAGATATTCCTGCAGCATTTATAGTGATGTGGAGTGTATTAGAGGAAAATATAAATAAATGCATCTTTACAGCACTTCTCCGGATGCTCTGGGCATTATAAAAGAAATGCCAGGGTGCATGTAGGTTGAGTCATTCCTTTATGGTGCCATAAATGTGAATGCAGCCTCACAGGGCCATTCGCCAAGCATTGTGGGGTCAATGATTACATCAGCGAGGAGTGTTTCTTAACTAGCTAAATATTTAGTAAATGAAAGTGTTTAAAAAAAGCCTCTTTTTATAGTCTTATTTCTTTTCCACTATTCTTTTAGCTTCCATCTCTGAAGATGAGCAAGGAATTATTCCTCGTGCTATGGCTGAAATTTTCAAGCTTGTTGATGAAAATGATCTTATTGACTACACTATACGTGTTTCATACCTGGAAGTGTACAAGGAGGAATTCAAAGATCTTCTTGAAATGCAAACATCCAGTAAGGACATTCTCATACGAGAGGATGATAAGGGAAATATTGGTAAGAATTCTGATATCTGACTTTTTTAGTGTGATGATTTATTTATTTGTAAACTATATTGAGGTTTTTCTCCTTTTTAAGTATATCTTGGAATGAGCATACACATGCATTGTTATATATATAATAGAAATCATAGAAGCAGAGTTTTTTTTCAGGGACTTTAGATCGGTGGCAGATTTCATATTATCTGGCAGGTTATACCATGTATGTGGATTATGAAAGCTGCTCTCCTGGCTTATTTTTTTTGATTTGTGTTGAATAGAGAAAATATGGAGTGAAGGCAGCATAAATTTATATATTGCTCAAGTAGCATGGTTCCAGATAAGTGGTCATGAACCCATCTGCCAGTGTAGTTGTTTCAGATTATCACAATGAAGGGTACTGTATTTACATTGGATAACAAAATGACATAACGGATTATGCAAAATGTTTGGTGAGATATCTTTGTGGTGCAGATACATTTATATCTAACATTGCTGCACAATCTATTTTTCTTTTCTTTTTTTTTCTTTTAAATTTGTATTTTATTTGGTTTTGTACACAAAGTATACACTTTTCCATTATATGTGTTATTATATTATTATATGGGTTAGAACAGGTTCAAATAAAATTTTGTTGGGCTACATGCATAATAACAATCACAATGTCAGAGATCCTTTACTGTGGCCTGGTAAAGAAACAATTTGTACATTTCTACCTTTCAACGGAGATCCCCCTTTAAAGGGGTTGCTTAATTTTCAAGGCTGCTTGATTTTAACAATCTTTCCGGCTTATCCTATATGCGTGGAGTCAGGTATTTAGGGTAATAGCATGGAGTGCTGGGTTAGGAGTAACAGGAATAGTAAGAAACTTTCCCGGACCATATAAGCTTATATATATATATATATATATAAAAAAAACTATCAACATCCCCTGCACTCACGCTTGAAGTATTCCAAATGCCGGGCGCACCACCAAAGCTCCAATAGGTATAACTTCCACAAGAAAAGGCTGCTCTCCGGACTTAAAATTGCATATATATATATGCAAAACATTATTATAATGGTTAAATATTGCGTTGCTCATTCTGCTTTCTGTGTCCATTGGCTAATATGCCTAGTTTTTTGAGGAATGTCTCTGAATCGTCTCCCGAGGTTAGGGTGAGTACGTCGGTGCCCTTTTGTACTGTTAGCGATCCCTCTGTGCCCCATCGGTACCGGACCGATTGTTCTCTCAGTCTCTTAGTGACCGGTGCTAGTAGTCTCCTTGCGGCAAGCACAGCAAACGGGAGGTCACTGTATATGGCCACCTCGCATCCCTCAAATTTTACCGACCCCAATGGTCTGGATCCGGCCATGATGGTAGCTCTCGCAGCTACGTCCCTGGTGGTAGCTATTGTGTCTCTGGGGGCACCCTTGGGTGCCGCTGGTGATTTGCGCACCCTGAAGGCGGACAGAATCAGTGGGGTGTCTGAATTACACCTGAGGCCCATGGAGGAGGTGAGTCTCCGGACAAAGGGCAGTAAGTCTTCACCGCTCACCGTTTCAGGGATACCTCTGAGGCGTATGTTGCAGCGGCGGTGTCTGGTTTCCAGTGTCACCACCGCTCCTTGTAGGCGTCAGACCTGCTCCTTAAGATCATCCAGTTGCAGTTTGGTGTCTTGGAGTTGGTGGTCTCTGGAGCTTTCTCTGTTCTCCACCTCCTGGACTCTCTGTTGCAAGACCCCTATTTCAGCACGTGTCTCCTTTAAGTCTGCCTTCCAGACCTGCCTTAGGTCGATCAGCAGCTTTCTGATGTCACCCTTTGTTGATGGGGAGTCATTCTCCTCCGAGTCAGACCTGGGAGTGGGGCCCGGGAGGGAGGCTTGGGAGTCCCTCTCTTCCTGGGAGTCGTCAGAGGTCTCTATCTCACTCTGCGGTTCCGGCGCCATCTTGGCGGGCCGCGCTTGTGTAGGCCTCTGGAATGCCAGCCTGATGTCGGGTGCCGCGGGTCGCTCCGTGTAGGTTTGTTTTTTGTGTTTGCGCCCCATGTTGTCGGCTGTCGGGTGGCAGGTAAGCTGTGCGTTTTTGGAGCTGATTTCTCCTCTTTAAGGCTCTTAGTCTGTGGGGCCGATGCAGAGCTCCACAGACATGCGACTGTTCAGCTCCGTAGTCGGCCACGCCCCCTAATTTTCACAATCTATTTTTCTGATGACGTTATCCAAGCAGGCTTTCTTCAGTACAATGAGCCAAGTTTGGAAGAATGTTTCTCAGTGTGGATGAGTAGAAGACACTGTCTGCAGTGGACATGAATATCTACCCAATTGCTTATGTTCACATTTTTCTAGGTCTTTTGATAGTACCGGGGATAGAAATATTAGTTTGTTTTTGGACATGAACTTGGTATCACTGTTTATATGGAAAGGAACAACTCCTCCAGAGTTTAGGTAGCTATCAAGAGAAGAGGGATTCTTTAACTAAGAAAAATTAGATGGGTTTGCAGAGCTTTCGGTAACATGCCTGGAAGCTGGTCAGGCCTAGCATTTGATTTAATTCTAAGATTTTGGGTTTGATGTCATATATTGTTTTTATGAGACCTGGATTAAATGTCTGTCTGATGTACTGTTCTGTATTTCTATTGCAGTGCTGTACGGTGTAAAGGAAACTGAAGTGGAGGGACTGGATGAGGTGCTCAGTCTTCTGGAAATGGGAAATACAGCTAAACATACTGGAGCCACTCAAGTTAATGCCCGTTCAAGCCGTTCACATACAATCTTCACTGTCACTATGGAACAGAGGAGGGTTGTTGGGCGTTTTACGAGAATGGCTACTGGGGATGATAATTGTTTAGAAATTGGCCAAGTTCTGTCCTCCAAATTCCACTTTGTAGATCTGGCAGGTTCTGAACGAATATTGAAAACAGGCAACACTGGAGAGAGACTAAAAGAAAGCATTCAAATTAACTCAGGCCTGCTGGCCCTTGGTAATGTAATCAGTGCCTTAGGAGACCCAAAACGGAAGAGTACCCACATCCCTTACAGAGACTCAAAGATCACAAGGTATCAATCTATTGAACATGTGCTATAATGTTGTAGCATCTACTTTCTTTTGTAAATGTTTTGTATTTCTAGTTAATTCAATTACTCTTTAAAGAAGGGCTCAAAATATCCAGTAGCCATTGGTAAGGGAAAAGGTATCCCTGGCGAGTCTAAATCTATCCCTGGGGAGTGTGCCATGGACCCTCAATGCTTGCAGTGGCAAGGCCTGGCTAATGACATAGGACTTGATATTGTAATCCCTTTTTTAAAGTGTACAGAAATTTGGAGTTGGCAAGGTAAGGTGTGGTACAGCATTTAATCTATACATTGTCATGTTGAACTGTGGCTGTGACTAATTTACTGCTAAACAGGAGTTTATTGGGTAAGAAAAGAAAAAAATGAAATTACAGGCTCCTGATTAGTGTAACATCTTCCTGGTCTTGAAGGGATATGACAGCTGCAACATTTACAAGAATGATGGTTTAATCAACTTAAAATGATGGGGTTTTTTTTTGTTTGTTTTGTTTTTTTAAATTAAAGAAAAATAAAGTAAAATAAATTTTACTCCAACACTTTGTAAATAAACTTTTTTTTAAAATTTACAATGCCCTATTCGGCATTAGTAATTACAGCCTCATCCCCCTTCCTATAAACCTGTAAAATAAGACTTAACTTACCTGGGACCCAGTGCCAGGCAAAGCTCCCCCCGCTACTACTTCCCATATCGATGGTCCAGTCAAATACTAGAGAGTGCCTGCAATGGAAGGTTGCTTATTTCTTCCACCATGTGCTCCCTCTATTGTCGGAACAGTTTTGTTTTTGTTTTTTAAATCCCCACTTACTTCCTCCCTTGCCAGCTCAGAGCATGCGCTCTTAGCTGGCAAAATGGTTCAATCACATGCTTCTCTATGTGGAGACTGTGGGTGGACCTTGCTTGACTGTTCTGATATCACAAAGAGGAGTGGAAAGAGGCGCTGGGAGTGTGACCTGGTTCTTGATTCCAGGTAAGTATTAACTTTATTTTTAACATATTTTTAAGTAAGGGGGTGGGGGGACCTAATGTATAATGCCCTATATGACCACTGAAAGACAGAGAATGGAAAAAAAGAGTCAGAGTAACCCATTAATCATCCCTGAAATTAAGCTATGTTTTAATGATCTATGGCTTCTTTTTCTAAAGTCATGCATCTGCATGCAACATATAGACAGCAATATTTAGATCTGTGTTTACATTTCACTATAATTTCAATTTAATTTACCAGTTACATTCCAGATGTAGTAGGTATGCCTTCCTAGTATTTGTCTTTTTAACTCTTTCAGTGTTTTGTAGGATATTGAAGGATTCTCTTGGTGGAAATGCAAAGACCGTTATGATTGCTTGCATAAGCCCATCAGCAGCAGACTTTGATGAAACTTTAAACACTCTGAACTATGCAAGTCGCGCTCAGAATATTAAAAACAAAGCTACTGTCAACTGTAATAAAGAAGCAGAGTGTGTGGAAAACCTGCAGCTTCAAATTAAATCTCTCCAGCGTGCCCTAGAACAAAGGCACCGATCAGAAACCCGAATACTAAACAGATCTGATGCTCCAAAGACTTTGTCCCGACGTCCTATGGAGGACCATGTGACCCGTTTACTAGCAGAATGTGCACATTATAGAACATGCACTGACACTGGTTATATCCTTTTTATGGAACTCCTGTCAGAAGGATGCCTATCTCCCTCCCAAGTCCTGAGGGCTAAGGATTGGATGTGTTCAGTAGAAGAGGAAAGGAGTGAAGTGACCTCAGCCTCAGGACTGGACAGTGGGATTGAAAGTTCCACTGTTGAGGAAGCCACAAAGGACCCAGCCAGGAGGCAAGCAAAGAGCAAGGTAATGGCTGAATGTTTATGTGGCCAACAGGCATGTTTATAGAGTCATTAAATGTAATATAGGTAGTTGGAGCTCTTTGCAGCTCGTTTTTTGAGTGTTTTATGAGGAATATATTAAAGTATATGAGGGGGCAAATGTTAAAGTTCTGAACCAAAACAAAACTTAGACTTTGAGCTATATGCTTATTCAACCATAATGTACCACTTTCATATTAAAGGGACACTATAGCTACAAAAAAACTTTAAATAAATGAAAAAGCAGTTTTGTGCATAGATCATGCTCATTCAATCTCATTGCTCAATTCTCTACCATTTAAGGAGTAACTCTCCCACCCAAAGAATAAAATTAATGACTTAGTATAAAAACACTGCAATCAGCACTAAAAGAGTGTTTATTTTTTTTTAAGAGCAAAATGTGGGGTATGAAAAAAACGTCAGGGTAGGTAAGATAAAACATTAGAAAGAGCTAGATTAAGAAAAAATAGTCAGATTTTAACACAAATTTTTTTAAATCTGCCCTATCCCCCCCCCCCCAATCCAAAAATAATCCAAGCGCTACTAGTGTACTGATCACTCTGACCATAGTATTAGCAGTGTGATAAGCAATAAAAGGGTTAAAGAGAATGTTGTTTTTTAATTTTCAAACACAAAAATTCTGGAATACGTCCAAAAAATGTTCTGCCCCTTGCCTCAGATCATGGTGAGGGAAGAGAGAGGCAGAATAAAATATCACAGCCCATGATAGAAATTGGCTGCATCATTGTATCAATGTAACAGGCTGTAACCGTGATCACATGACTTCAATCACAACTAATTGGCTGATGGAGGACTGCCTGGGTTGCCAAGCAGTCTCTCTGATCACATACGGAGTGGTGAGTATTTCTTTGGGGGGAATTTGGGAGCACAGACATTAGGACGTGTTTTACGACCCTAATATTGGTAAAGTCCATGCCGTTCAGGATGTATTGACACGTCCTAATGGTAGGAACGGGTTAAAGAAGCTCTGTCACTAAAAAAAAAAAACTTTCTAATCTGCTTCTATGTAGCTCTGTGTCTGAATCAGTTTTTTTTTCCCTCTGTGCTTTCATAAAATACATAAAGAAAAATAGGAACAATTAATTTTTTTATTTTTATGCATAGTAGTCAGGTTGACAAAACTTTACAATAAGTGGGGCTTAAAGCTTAAGGCTCTGTTTTAGTTGCCAATCAAATGTACCCACAATCCGTCATAAAATTAATCCCACAGAATGGCAAACAGCAGACATGATGGACAGAGGAGAACAAAATGGCCACATCCAAATAAAAGATAATCTAGATAAAGGAAAGTGGCAAGGAGGGGAGTATAATCATCGTGGCGGAGCTCCAATACTCGACCAGAGTATTTCCACCAAAGCCTCTCTTCTTTTCCCACAGAGTATTCAGTGATAAATTGCAGTCCATCCAAACATCAGTTGAGACTTGACGAAAGGTGAAAAAGGAATACTTTATTGGGTTTCAATGCACATATTTATAGACAGAATCCCTGTAGGGGGGATCGTTAACTAAAACAATGCAGATCTCACCTCTGTGTCTGGGAGATAACTATGTCAAGTATCGCTAATCTAAATAACTTCCAGAAAACAGGGGGGCCTTAACAGAATATCTCCAAAAACATACTTTTAAACATCAGTGTACCCTACGTACAAAGTATCCCTGAATTGCTCATACCTAGTGCCCTAACTGGTACAAAAGCGCCTTCATACTATGTACAATGTAGAATTGCCTTCCGGTTAAAGGTATGACCAACCACTGCTGAGTTCCGATCAGAAAAATAGTTCCATGTGGCCGGGCCCGAGTTGCCAGGTTTTTGTCTGAGCATATACCCGACATAGATAGGAGACCAAGTAATCAGATTTCAGGGTGCTTTGTTTGGTAGTGTCTGTTAACAGATGAGGGGGGGTGGGGAGGAAAGGAAAGAAAAGAAAAACACATGACAGATCCACTTTAATAACAATTGTGAGCAGGCTATTATCCTGTTAATATTGACAATACATCTATGATTCGTGGGTGCAAATTGAAATTTGAGTCCTTTTTTTAATAAAGCAAACTATAGAGCAGTTACATCTTCAGTACCCTCCAAAATGTACAAGTGCAGATATATTTATTTTTACATTACATTGCCAATGCCTACAGAGTCTTTACACAAACACACCAACTTTACACACTTCTGACTTTACACACACACACACACACACACACACACACACACTTGAAGAGGCAAAAACACTTGGTACAGGTGACATAATGGGTTCACAAAGTAAAGCTAATTTATTTGCAGAGCACTAGTTAGCAACACCGCACCCCTTCCATGGTGAAAATGAGGAGATTGTCACAATGAAGGGGTACTATTTCTGAAATCTTTATGGTGTTCACAGATGCTTTTTATATAAATGGTATATCACTTGTGTGCCAAGCATGTCATGTGCACCGTGTAATTATTTTTAACCACTAATGATACTTCAGTTGCATGCTTTTTGTTGTGGTGCTCCAGGTCAGGGAGTATTAACCCCTTAATGACCAAACTTCTGGAATAAAAGGGAATCATGACATGTCACACATGTCATGTGTCCTTAAGAGGTTAAAGGAATAACTGGTTTGTTTTCCTGGCACTGGAGAGTCCCTTTAAATGATTTAGTTGTTTTTTTTTTTGTTTTTTTTCTTTTTTCTTAAAGGGACACTATAGTCACCTGAACAACTTCAGCTTAATGAGGTTGTTCAGGTGAGAACTATAGCTCCCTGCAGCCTTTCTCATGTAAACACTGTATTTTTGTCTGAGAAAATACAGTGTTTACATTGAAAGCTAGGAACACCTCCAGTTGCAGTCACTCAGAGTGAACCAGAGGGACTTCTGAGTTGATGGAGGCATAATATGCCTCCATCCACTCAGATCTGCTGTGCACGAGCATTCTGTGATTCAGTATCTCCTCCCACTGCATGCAGACACTGAACTTTCCTCATAGAGATTCATTGATTAAATTCATCTCTACGAGGAGATGCTGATTGGCCAGGGCTGTGTTTGAATCATGCTGGCTCTAACCCTGATCTGCCTCCTTGTCAGTCTTAGCCAATCCTATGGGGAAGACTGCTTGTTTTTCCTGCAGACAGCATGCAGATTTACAGCTTCTGGCTTGAATACAGTAAGATTTTTACTATATTTATGGAGGCATGGAGGGCCCAGGGGGCTAGATGGTCACGTTAACACTATAGGATTAGGAATACATGTTTGTGTTCCTGACCTTATAGCAGTGATGGCGAACCAATGGCTTTTTGAGCCAGAGTGCCCAAACCGCAATACATGCCAACTTTTGTTTCCTCAAAGTGCCAACACGGCAATTAAACCTGTATACTGAGGTTTAAATTTAGAAAAAATAACTCGTACAGTTGTCCGAACTAATTAACAACTTTTGTTTTAAAAGACGAACACAACAGAGAGTTCAATGATACAAATTTTAAATAATGATATAAATAGATAAATTTAAGCTTATATTTATTAGTATCTCCAACAAATGCAATACATACACAGACAGATTGCTGAATACATACACAGAGACTGCTGAATACATACACAGACAGACTGCTGAATACATACACAGACAGACTGCTGAATACATACACAGACTGACTGCTGAATACATACACAGACTGACTGCTGAATACATACACAGACTGACTGCTGAATACATACACAGACTGACTGCTGAATACATACACAGACTGACTGCTGAATACATACACACACAGTCTGCTGAATACATACACACACACAGACTGCTGAATACATACAGAAACACAGACTGCTGAATACATACACACACACAGACTGCTGAATACATACACAGTTGTCCGAACTAATTAACAACTTTTGTTTTAAAAGACGAACACAACAGAAGAGTTCAATGATACAAATTTTAAATAATGATATAAATAGATAAATTTAAGCTTATATTTATTAGTATCTCCAACAAATGCAATACATACACAGACTGCTGAATACATACACAGACAGACTGCTGAATACACATACACACAGTCTGCTGAGTACACACACACACACAGTCTGCTGAATACACACACACAGTCTGCTAAATACACACAGACTGCTGAATACATACACACACACAGACTGCTGAATACACACAGAAACACAGACTGCTGAATACATACACACACACAGACTGCTGAATACATACACACACACAGACTGCTGAATACATACACACACAGTCTGCTGAATACATACACACACACAGACTGCTGAATACACACAGAAACACAGACTGCTGAATACATACACACACACAGACTGCTGAATACACACAGAAACACAGACTGCTGAATACATACACACACACAGACTGCTGAATACATACACACACACAGACTGCTGAATACATACAAACACACAGACTGCTGAATACATACACACACACAGACTGCTGAATACATACACACACACAGACTGCTGAATACATACACACACACAGACTGCTGAATACACACACACACAGACCAGTTGAATACATACACACACACAGACCGCTGAATACATACACACACACAGACTGCTGACACACACACACAGACCGTTGAATACATACACACACACAGACTGAATACACACACACAGACCGCTGAATACATACACACACACAGACCGGCTGAATACATACACACACACAGACCAGTTGAATACACACACAGACACACAGACCGTTGAATACACACACACACACAGACCAAGCCGAATACACACACACCATCAGCACAGACCAGCTGAATACACACACACACAGACTGAATACATACACACACAGACTGCTGAATACATACACACACACAGACTGCCGAATACATACACACACTGACCGCTGAATACATACACACACAGACTGCTGAATACATACACACACACAGACCGCTGAATACACACACACACACAGACCGCTGAATACATACACACACACAGACCGCCGAATATGACACACACACAGACCGCTGAATACATACACACACACAGACTGCTGAATACATACACACACACAGACTGCTGAATACATACACACACACACAGATCAGTTGAATACATACACACACACACACACAGACTAATTAACACACACACACACACACACAGACCACCAACACACACACACACACACAGACTGTTGACATACACACACAGACTGCTGATCACATACACAAGCTGAACATGATACACACACACACAGACCGCTGAATTATATAACACACACACATACTACTAAATACATACACACACACACACACAGACTACTAAATACATACACACACAGACTACTGAATACACACACACACAGACTGCTGAATACATACACACACACACACCGCTGAATACACACACCCAGTCCGCTGAATACACACACACACCCTGTCCGCTGAATACACACCCAGTCCGCTGAATACACACACACACCCAGTCCGCTGAATACACACACACACACAGTCCGTGCTGTGTGTGTGTTGGGGGGTAGGGGTGTTGTGTGTGTGTGTGTGTGTGTGTTGGGGGTGAGGGGTGTTGTGTGTGTGTGTGTGTGGGTGTGTGGGGTGCTGTGCTGTGTGGGTTGCTGGACAGGGGTAAGGATGCTGTGCTGGGGGTAGGAGTGTGTGTGTTGGGGTAGGAGTGCTGTGTGTGTATTGGGGGATGAGTGATGTGTGTGTTGGGGGTAGGGGTGCTGTGTGTGTGTTGGGGGGTAGGGGTACTATGTGTTGGGATGCTGTGTGTGAGAGGGGTGCTGTGCTGTGTGTTAGAGGGGTGCTGTGCTGTGTGGGGAGGTAGGGGTGCTGTGCTGTGTGGGGAGGTAGGGGTGCTGGGCAGGGGTAAGGGGTGCTGTGCTGTGGGGGGCAGGGGGTGGCCAGGGCAGGCTCTGTGTGTGTGTGTGGGGGTAGGGTTTCGTGTGTGTGTGTGTGTGTGGGGTAGGGCTCTGTGTGTGTGTGCAGGGCTCTCCTGTGTGTGTGTGTGTGTGTGGGGGGGTAGGGTTTCTGTGTGTGTGTGGGGGGTAGGGTTTCTGTGTGTGTGTGGGGGTAGGGTTTGCAGGTGTGTGTGGGGGGGGCAGGGTTTCTGTGTGTGTGTGTGGGGGGTAGGGTTTCTGTGTGTGTGTGGGGGTAGGGTTCTGTGTGTGGGGGTAGGGGCGCTGTCTGTGTGGGGGGGGTAGGGGTGCTGTCTGTGTGTGGGGGCTCCTTGTGGGTAGGGGTAACGCGTGTGAAGGCCTGTGTGGGGGTAGGGTGCTGTGTGGGAGGGGTGGTTAAAAAAAAAAAAAAAGTATGCTAAATCTGTATCCCCCCCTCACTCCTGCTTACCTTTAATGAAGGGACACACACACACACAGCCATGCATGGTGGTCCGGCGGGTAGTAAGTTCTGCTTCCAGGTGGGGAGGCAGGGGGAGGGATCTGTGAAGCAGCTCCCCTGTCCTCCCGCACGATGCTATGTGGAGCGTTGCCATGGTAATGCGCGGCAACGCTCCACACATATTGCTCGCGGGAGGACAGGGGAGCTGCTTCACAAATCCCTCCCCCTGCCTCCCGACCCGGAAGCAGAGTAGGCGCCTGCCGTTTTGGGCAGGCAGGTGCCTACTCTGCATTGATGGCGAACCTATGGCCGCGTGCCCACAGAAAGGTTCGCCATCACTGCCATCACTGCTATAAGGTCAGGAACACAAACATGTATTCCTGACCCTATAGTGTTAACATCACCATCTAGCCCCCCTGTGCCCCTCATGCCTCCATAAATATAGCAACATCTTACTGTATTCAAGCCAGAAGCTGTAGATCTGCATGCTGTTTGCCTAAAAAAAAAAAAAAACAAGCAGTCTGCTGACATAAGCAGAAGTGGTAGCCTGATCCAATCACAGTGCTTCCCCATAGGATTGGCTGAGACTGACAAGGAGGCAGATCAGGGGCAGAGCCAGCATGATTCAAACACAGCCCTGGCCAATCAGCATCTCCTCATAGAGATGAATTGAATCAATGAATCTTCATGAGGAAAGTTCAGTGTCTGCGTGCAGAGGGTGGAGACACTGAATGTTTGGGTGCATTTTAGGCAGCCATGACCCAGGAAGGATCTCTAACAGCCATCTGAGGAGTGGCCAGTGAAGTTATCACTAGGCTGTAATGTAAACACTGCATTTTCTCTGAAAAGACGGTGTTTACAGCAAAAAGCCTGAAGGTAATGATTCTACTCACCAGAACAAATTCAATAAGCTGTAGTTGTTCTGGTGACTATAGTGTCCCTTTAAATTTGCAAAGTTGATTCCTCCTAGATAACAGGGTTGTTGCAGCTGAAAAAATAGAATTCAGGATTTTTAATGAAGTCAGATAAAAGATTTAATGTGCTTATTAAGATGTTTAAAATCTGACAGCTTTAGTAGAAAAGGCAGCATTTGGAGATGTTATAGCATTATTCTAAACGACACCTCCCCAAATAAAAGATTGTGAGCTATTCCTAAACTTTATCTTCTGCCACATTCAGATTTAAAATATGAAGGGTTTAATTAGATTACTGTTTTGCATGCTCTTGGAGGCTTATGTAAGGCAGAAGAGATTCAAGCATGCTGGTATTTGAAGAATCTATTTCCCAAGATATGTGGTTATGCCAATTTTATACAATTATAATGTTCCTTATGGGATCTGGTAGCTCCTATGACCTAAATGTACATCAAACATTAGCTGCAGAGTAATAGTTTTGTTTAAGCCTTGTTTTCGCAAACAGTGGGTCATCATTTTCCATTGTATTTTTTTTAGATCCACATTCATTAAATTGGTAAAGTCGGTTTTGGTAAATTGATTTTATTTTTAAAAATTTTTGTCCTGTGAGTAAATTGGAATGTTGACTTTTTGGAATACATCTATATGGGGTTTGCAGTGGTCTTGTTGTTTATTGGAAATATATTTCATAATAGAAATAAGAACGAAATATAGTGGGCAGCCTCCCAAACCTAGCCAGACGAAGTTAGGAGAGGGATGCATCACAAAAAATATTGGAGGGAAGTCACCTGAACTGTGCTCTGGAGAAGGGGGTAACCCTCAATTCACGTTACAAGAAAAAAGCAGAACTTAATGCGCTCCACATAGAGCACAGTGGTGTGTAAAGAGATAGTAAAAAAAAAAAAAAACTAATATTTATTAAATCTAGACATATAGATAGCTTGACACATATAAGGTAGTTCTAAGGTAAATATAAAGGGAATGGATCAGAAGGTGAGTAAGAAGAAATACAGACAATACGTCTGATATATAAGTTGTCCACCTAACATCAACTGACCCTGGACAGGTAGATGTGCCTAGGCTGGGAGTAGCAATAATAAAACCCTTTAGAGACAAAAATCTGAATTGGAGAGGGTGTATAGGTAATAAAAGGTAGGTGTACTCAGGAGGATCTCTGCTCCTGAGACGGTCTCTGTAGCTGTCTCCACTATTATACCTTATGAAAACAATCAGGCCTTAGTGAGCAAAGGTCAGTTCACTCTTTCGACATTTTCAAAATGTAAGCGGTGCATCCGCCTGTGTTTAAGGAACGACTCACAGGGTCATTGTGAATACAAAACCATTTCTTGGTGAGAGTCAACCTAATTTTTCTGATAAAGTATTCAGAGGATCGATTTAAAAGGGACCTTCTTTTTGGAGTCAAGAGAGCTGAAAAGTCCTTAAACAGAAACAGTTTATAATTCTGATATTTTAAGCAACGAGCATTGGAAATATGCTACCATGATTTTCGTTTTATCTGCAAACATGAATGCACATGATGACTGCTTGTGGTTTAGGATTAGGATTAGTTGGCTCCATACATAACCTGTGCGGTTCTATTGGCAAAGACTCTAGAAATCCAAAGGCATGCTGCAAATAGCCCAACATTAGGTTTTGTTGGGCAGGTCCTTGGTGCTTTCTGGCAAGCCTACCAAACCGTAATAATTTGTTTTTCATTACTAATGTCTTCCAACCTCTCTAAGAGAGACAATAGAAGGTGGTCTTGTTTATTTTATGTTGGATGCATGCAGGAAAGTTCACCTCGTACGGTCAGGGATTCTCTCCTACATATGTCACAGATTGCACCTGACCCACCTATTATATCCTGGGCTTTACTACTTATGCTTTGGTTTTCTCACATTTTATTAGAATTGAAAAACAAAGCAACAGTTTTCCATTACCCTAAGTAATGCAAGGATTGTGTTTGGAACGTGGTCGTGTACACTTCTTATATATATGTAACACATGCATTGTGTAATCTTCTCGTGTGACAATGCTTCGTGACAGGTTTGGTCACCATCCTTATGATGTCTTATGGTGCTGTGGGGTAAACGCTTTTGCCAGTGTTGTTGTGAAAAATTGTGCATGAAACCTGCAGTATTGGAAAATAATGAAATCAAAGCACACTTTGTCTGTAAAGCTCTGTAGCCATTTCAGCTGGATACCCAGTGTTCACAGGCTGTACTCGTATGGTGGTCATATTTCCTGAGAGATTTTATTTTTGTTATAATTACAATTTTTGTATACTCACGTGTATTGCATGTCACATAACTAGAAAAATGTATTATATTGTAAAGGAATAATTTGAGTCCAACTCTGCAAATGATTAGCTTGTGAAATGTCAAACATCTGTGATATATTATGTGATCCAATAGATATGCCTTTGTAAATGAACCAAGTGGAAATACTGACTAAGGGCTATATTTAAATGGCACGTCTCTTAGAGTGAAACATATGAAAGAATGCATCTTTTACCAAATCAAATCAATGGTTGTAGTATTGTTCAGCTTTTGATAGTAACATGTGTTTTGTTTTCTTTTTATTTTGTCCCCTATATTTAAGGGAGTACTAAGATTTGAAAATGACTGTGATACAGATAAGACAGACAGATGTATTGAGGACCTACGGAGTCAAATCCAGCGCCTAGAAGATGAGAACAGGGACTTTCTTGCAGCTTTAGAAGATGCCATGGAACAATACAAATTACAGGTGCTAGTTATTCCCACTTTTATTCTAAATAACACTGTACAGCATTGGTAAGCTCATTGTAATGTGTCCAGACTTTGACTACTGCTTTTACACTTGAAGAGGGAGTGGTGTCAATTTTTTTTTTGTGCACATATCTTGGCTAACAGAAGGCAATCACTGTCAACCTTAACAGTATCTTGAAATATTGTAAATAGAACTATAACCTTTACAGCGTGCTATAGTGGTTATGGTGCCAGGAGTGCCCTGGAGCCCCACCCCTCAATGTAAGAAGACACAACTATTTTCTACCACTTTGACTTCTCACCTCGGATCCGTTGAACTCTGCTTCCTGTCCCTTCCATTCTGAGAACCGGAGTTTAAAATGGGTTTTTAACACTATTGTGTCAGGGATCCCCTTTTCTATTCCTGACACTATAGTGTTCCTTTAAAGTGCTTTGAGTGTTTTTTTTTTTTTAAAGAGAATACATTGTGCTAGCCAAATGGACAATATTTGAGGATTTTGGGGTTTTGTGGCTGGTTTAGCAGTAAAGACTCTGCACTTGCAACAGTGGTTGTGGAATCCCGACCTGTCATTTGGAGGAGAAGTAGCTGCTTGGGCAGCTATTATTATTTATATAGCGCCAACAAATTCTACAGCGCTGTACAATGGGTGGTCTAACAAACACATAATGGTAACCAGACAAGTTGGACGCATAGGACTAGAGGGGTTGAAGGCCCTACTCAATGAACTTACATGCTAGAGGGAATGGGGTATAGTGACACAAGGTAAGGGTTGGAGTAGAAAATTAGTCTGGTAGAATAGTATTCACTGAAGACTTAGTGTTTTGATGACAGTTGCAGGAGAGGGATCAGGGTGCAGGGGAGAAAGGGGGGGTGGAACTATTAGTTTAATTATTAGGCTGTCCTGAAGAAGTGAGTTTTCAATTATTTTTTTAAGGAGTAGAGACTGGGTGAATGTCTATTCCAGGCATAACCAACCTCTGGCACCCCAGATGTTTTGGACTACACCTCCAAAGATGCTTTGCCAGCATTAAGGGTGTTAAGAGCATTATAGGGGATGTAGTCCAAAACATCTGGAGTACCGAAGGTTGCCTATCCCTGGTCTATTCTGTCACTTTGAGGTTTCCATTCTGCTTGTTAAAGCAGTAGTATTTAGGCAAATTATATCTTGTATTGTATATGTTTACTTATGCTATAAAGGGACATGTAACGGAGCTCCCGTACTCCAACCAAGTACGATGGACGCTTTGATGGATGCTTCCTAGCTTGCGCCGAGGACCACAAGCACTGCACAGGACACCACAACCACCGCAGACTCCGCCGTAGCTTGACTGGAGTCTCGCCGTCTTCCTTCCACCCTGGATCAGCTTCTGTCCTACAGGACCGTGTGGGAAAGACCTCTTCTTTGTACTCTGTATGAACCACCAGCATCCTGGACTGTGTGGGGAAGACCTCTCCTCCAAGGAGAGCATATCAGGAACAAGCTCTTAAAAGAGCTAACTGATTCAAGCTCAGGGGAGTATGCAGAGCATAGCAATCCCCAGTGTGATTATAACCGCTCCCTCGAATAACGAGACAAAGCTACATTTTGAGGGATCAAGATGAACTGTCTAAACCTTTATTTTACTTGGGACTAGCCCATATGGTCATTACATTAACAATGCTGTGAAAACTCAATAAAATTACAAACAGCCAAATCATAGCAGGCAACATACAGTGACTTATTATAACACAATGGCATATTTTTAAAGGGGTGGGGGAGACAATATTTAACAGAAAATATCTCACGTGCCTGCAGAATTAGCAATATGCAAATCTACCCAAATATGCAAATGAACCAGTCTTGCTATTCAGGTAGTGCATATTGCTGTTGCTACCAACAGAGGGCACTAGACAAGCTCCATAGCCAAATCCACCTAGTTGGTAGCAAACCTCAGCAGTACAGGAGAGCAGGCAATAAATTTCACAGTACACACACACGAGAAACGATAGTGTTGTTTGGTCCTCCTGCTACTCGTCAGAGGAAGCGACATAAGTTTGAGGGTTTACAGGCCATGTACGTTTCCCTTATCTAGGGGAGCCTTACCCTTAGCAGGTTTTGATTTTTTACCCTTCTCCTTTCCAGTGGTGTTAAGCCTTGCTCCTTGGAAATGGAGTCAGACTCCTCCGACACGCCTCTATGTTGGGAGTGTTTAGCGGGCGCTTTGGTTGCGTCTTGAGTGGCTGGAACGCCTTGGGTGCGTCTTGAGTGGCTGGAACGCCTTAGCTGAAGCCTTCTCCACAGAAGCGGCAACTGCCGCGTTAATTACTGCCCGGAGGTCTGAGGGCATCTGAGTCTTCCATTATTAACACCCAGTATACTTGGGGCTCACCCAATAGATTCGTGAGTAAATATGCAAATTGGTAGTAGGGACTGCTAGGGGTTATGGTGGTCAAGTATGCTACCCATAGTAATGTAAGTAGAGGCAATGCTGGGGCTCACCCAGGTAAAAGGAGTCTGCAAGCACAGCTCCACTGGGCAGCGGTATATGGGGGCTTACCCCGTGCCGGGTTACTAGGAATGAATCTAACCGGATGAACCACCCCTAGGTTTACTAACCTTGACAGGTCCCTGTAGCAGGCAAAGTGAACAGAAGCCAATTTCTGCACTGATTCCAATATATATAACTGTAATAACTGGGCTCACTTAGTAATAATAAAACCTCCAGACAGGCCAATCATAAAAAAAAGTAAAAGCAGCAGCAGCGCGAGGCGTGATCCAAAGTGGCAGCAAAAAAAGCCTCCTAAGTGCGTTAGCAGGAAATCTGTCTAAAGGTCGCTTGAAATAAAGCATACCGAGAAAGAACAGTAATACAGGAAAAAACTGAACGGAGAAAAAAAGAATGAGTACGTTCGCAAAACGAACAACCCAAAGGGAAACTGCCTAACGCTGAAGATATGCGTTCGGGAGTAGAACGGTCGATTGAAGGACGAAAAACAGGCGTACACGAACGCACAAACCTGTGCGAACACCTTATAGAAAATACAAACCGCCGGACGTGCATAGATATACGCGTACGGTAGATTGAAAAGGAGAGAATAGGCGAAGGCGAGCACATGTTAAAAGCGTGCCCTGAGGAGGGCGTGTGGCAGTGGGAGAGTGGGGAGTGTAGCCACAAGGAGAACTTTTTATGAGAGGGGCTCACCCTCTAATAATGAAATCAGCATCATGTACTGACATAAACTGTAAGATAAACAAAAAACTGATAGGGAATAAAAGAGGATAAAGTAGGTACACAGACATCCCAAGTCTATACCCTACAAAATAAAAAACAGTAACTAGTATCCCCACTATCAGATAAAACCCTACATAAATACATATACAGTAAGAAAAGAAAGAAATCAATCAAGTAAATATGTGAAATTAAGTAAATATAACCAGACAAGACAACAAAGTGTAGACACACAATATTCTGACCTGACTTGTGATGGAGCAGCAAAGAAAGAGGAAGTGACTCAGTTGAAGGCGTATCTTATACTCTCTGCCTGTCTCTGATTGGTTCATTTTTTTCCTCTATATGTCTTTGCTGATATGGAGTAGTAAAGGAAAATTATGCAAAATATGAAGCCTCCTGTCATGTGATAAAATTATGGATATAGACTTGCAATATATGTAAGGCTCATATAAAGATATCTTACTCTCTTTCTAGAGTGACAAGCTGCAAGAACAGCAAGATGAAATCACCAAATTACAGGCCTGCCTGAAGCGGTTAGGGCCTGGCCTTCCTGTGTCTGCTCTTTTAGAAGATGTTCATTTGCAGCTTGGAGGAAGACCAAATACTGCACCTCTTATTAAAAAATCTTCACTTATTACTTCTCAGAACCAATCTAAACTCTCATCTAGAACTAAAAAGGTATTTATAGAATATGCTTATTTTTACTACAAGGGTTATTTACTAAATCAAGAATTGAAAGTACATTTTACATTTAGAGCCAGAGTAGCCGAAATGAAAGCTAGCAGAAGCTATTTTGACCCTAAATATGAAATTCACTTTGAATTCTCACTTTGGTAAATATCCCTTTGTTTTAGTTAGACTCACACAGCCTTTGTACCTAGAAAATGTACCTTTGCATCTGTGAGTCGTAAGCTCTCAGCTTTGAGCTAAACCCAGCAATGCAGAGCTTAGATATAAAAAAAATATACATATACACTGAACAAAATTCTAAATGCAACACTTTTGTTTTTTTCCCCCATTTTTCATGAGCTGAACTCAAAGATCTAAGACTTTTTCTATGTACACAAAAGGCCTATTCACAAATCTGTCTAAATCTGTGTTGGTGAGCACTTCTCCTTTGCTGAGATAATCCATCCACCTCACAGGTGTGGCATATCAAGATGCTGATTAGACAGCATGATTATTGCACAGGTGTGCCTTAGGCTGGCCGCAATAAAAGGCCACTCTAAAATGTGTAGTTTTATCACACAGCACAATTCCACAGATGTCGCAAGTTTTGAGAGAGCGTGCAATTGGCAGGAATGTCCAGAGCTGTTGCCAGTGAATTGAATGTTAATTTCTCTACCATAAACCGTCTCCAAAGGTGTTTCAGAGAATTTGGCAGTACATCCAACCGGCCTCACAACCTCAGACCACGTGTAACCACTCCAGCCCAGGATCTCCACACCTTCACCTCCAAGATTCTCTTAGACCAGCTACCCGGACAGCTGCTGCAACAATCTGTTTGCATAACCAAAGAATTTCTGCACAAACTGTCAGAAACTATCTCAGGGAATCTCATCTGCGTGCTCGTCGACCTCATCGGGGTCTCGACTTGACTGCAGTTCGTCGTAACTGACTTGAGTGGGCAAATGCTCACATTCGATGGAGAGGTGTCTCACTTTGGAGAGGTGTTCTCTTCATGGATGAATCCCGGTTTTCAGTGTGCAGGGCAGATAGCAGACAGCGTGTATGGTGTTGTGTGGTTGAGCGGTTTGCTGACGTAAATGTTGTGGATTGAGTGGTCCATGGTGGGGTTATGGTATGGGCAGGCTTGTGTTATGAACAACGAATACAGGTGCATTTTATATATGCCCTTTTTTAATGCACAGAGATACCGTGACGAAATCCTGAGGCCTATTGTTGTGCCATTCATCCACGACCATCACCTCATGTTGCAGCATGATAATGCACGTCCCCATGTTGCAAGGATCTGTACACAATTCCTGGAAGCTGAAAACATCCCAGTTCTTGCATGGCCAGCATACTCACGGGACATGTCACCCATTGAGCATGTTTGGGATGCTCTGGATCGGCATATACGACAGCTGGTTCCAGGTACTGACAATATCCAGCAACTTCGCACAGCCATTGAAGAGGAGTGGACCAACAATTCACAGGCCACAATCAACAACCTGATTAACTCTATGCGAAGGAGATGTGCTGCACTGCGTTAGGCAAATGGTGGTTTTTGGACCCCCCCCACCTGCCCAGATCCCTCCAATACAGTAAAACTGCACATTTTAGAGTGACCTTTTATTAAGACACACCTGTGCAATAATCATGCAGCATCTTGATATGCCAAACCTGCGAGGTGGATGGATTAGCTCAGCAAAGGAGAAGTGCTCACTAACACAGATTTAGACAGATTTGTAAACAATATTTGAGAGAAATAGATCTTTTATGTACATAGAAAAAGTCTTAGATCTTTGAGTTCAGCTCATGAAAAATGGGGGCAAAAACAAAAATATTGTGTTTATGATTTTGTTCAGTGTATATAACATATATATTTCTTTTAATGTGGCAAACTCTTCCATACACATAATACACCATATGCACTTGCATAACACCACAGGTATAATGCACACATACAATCCATACAGCCCTCACACAACACACAGCCAATATATACACATAAATCCTCACAGCAGCCACACAGCTATACATAATGCATGCAGAATTCTCCAACATATATAAACGTTGCTTTAAAGAATAACATTGGCAGAGCACTGCCAAAAGGTTGCCTACCCCTGGTCTAAAGTATTGATTGTTACTTTAAAGTTGCCCAGTTTAATATTTAACACTAATTTTTTTTAAGCAGTTTACCAGCAGTATTAGCCCTTTATCGAAAGAGTTTACTGAGAACTTTCACTTTGGTACCCAGAATCTGTTCTCCAGCTTGGCAGAAGCTGATACTGTCCTTTCCCGACAGTTTAGTGAAGATTCCATGGATGATTCTGATGAAGAACAGAGATGGGGTAATGAGCATTGTGAAAATGAAATGGAGAAGCCCCTCAATTTCCAAATGTAAGTAAAAAGAAGCATTGCAATATCAATTTTGTAAAAGACTCACACTTTGATTATTTGGACTAAATGCAGACTTTGAAATTCAAGTAAATTTTGCTTCCTTTCCATAAAAAGTGTCAAGTTGATGCCTATCCATATAGTGTGGAACTACAACTCTTACAATGATCTTTATGCCTATAATTGTCAGAGGGAGGGCTTAGTTCACCTTTGCCATAAGGTCTCGGTTCTTTGTGTGGTGTACATGGGTTAACAGATTTTATTACAAAACCCTTGGTGTTCATCAGCATCCTTAACAAAAGTGAGTAATGTTCATAAACTCCACATGAAATACTATATCCATTATTTAAGATTCTACAAAAATATGTTTTAAAGTGAACCTGTACTCCTGGCAATTTGACAAAGCAACACTTTTTTTTTTTTCTATTAAATTTAGACTTAAAATAAAGACCAAGGCGGAAATCAACCCTGTATCTGATAGAATTCTTAAAAACTGTACTGAGTTGGCACAGGACAATGAGGTTGAAGAGGTGCCACTGGAAGACAGGGACATGAATGAATGTAAGTGGACATTTACATGCATGAGATGTTACATTCAGAATTTTTCAAGGAACAAGAAATTTTCATTTTTCTGCTTACCTGAAGCTGTCTCTTACGGCCACCACCATCATCTTCCTGAGACCTCTTTCAGCTCCTGGCACTTCATTTGTCACTAGCCACGTCACTACTTTAATCTCTCGCACATAAAACATAGAGTGGGAGTCTCCATAGAAATACGTCTTGTGATGAGCAAGACCACGCCTGATTCCCACAGTGCTGCTGGAATTTGTCAATCTCACACTTGCCCATAAGACAAAGTCGTCCAATCACTAGGAGTAATTTATCATGTCTTTATTATATACTCAGAAATGACAGGACAATATTGAAAACTCCTTGTTCCTTTAAAATGGTATGTTATTTTAAAGAAAAAGTAATGGGAAGGAAAAATTAACCAGGGGAAAAAAACATGTATTTAGCCATGAGTTTAAAATTCTACTATTTTTGGGCAGCGGCAGTTTAATATTCTGTTTATATCCCGTGTATAAATAAAACAAAATAAAAAAGTCTAGATGCATATTATCCTAAGCCCATGTTTTTAGAGCTAATGCAGTGCTGATTAAAGAGTAAGTACTCCTACCAATGCTATTTCAGATCTCATAGGTAAGTGCTAAACTGGCAATTCAATATATCAGTGTAAAGACAAAAATCACTAGCGAGACAGAAGTAAGTATTCTCATGAATCCCTACACAAAGAAAGACTAAACAGGGAACATAAAGGAGAGACAGCAACACTGTAAGAAAGGCTGTGTAATATGATCGCAGATTAGAACACATTTGAACTCGAACTACTCTAGGGCAACAGCAGTGACTTTAGTATTCATCCCTAATATATAAACAAAACCAACTGCCACCAAGTATGACATATCGGTCAAGCAGACCCAATTGCTTGAGATAGTTATGTAAATTTAAATGTAATCATTTTTATTAAGCATCTGGTGTATTGTTTCTCTAATCTCTAATACCTAATGGATGCTTGCAGCACCCTACAGGAGGAGAGAACATAATTTGCTACAAGAAGGCTGTTCCCTAGGAAAGGACTCTAAGTGGACACTGCGCCAAGCACAGCAAAAGATTCGAGAATTGGCCATCAACATCCGCATGAAGGAGGAACTCATTAAGGAGCTTGTTAAAACTGGTGAGCCTACAGTATTGTCCTACTAAGGGTACCATTTGATACCTTAGCAACATAACACAAATAATTTACCTTGTTTCTGTGCAACTAAAGCATTTATTACAGCAAAGTGAAACAAATACAGTTAGTGAGTCCTGCAGAGTGCTTCTGTGCCAGAAAAACGTGATTGATCTGCCAGTTAACATCCTCATGTAGGAGTAGTGAGAGCAATCAGTGATACAGATGACAAATTGCTCTCTATCTTAGCAAATCATTATTTACCTTTAGCGAGCATTTATTTATTTAGTATATCTCTTTTAGCATTCTTCTTTGCCGCCCCGAAAGTTCTCCAGATTGTTTTTCTATAGCACTTCATTTTCAGTCTAGGATATGTGAATACGATAAAACTTAATGCACTTTGTTCACCTATATTTCTGTATGAACTGTGGTGTACATCATACTTCTGCTTCATGACTCTTGTTTATGCGCTAGACATCAGGTACACGGTGATATCCCCACCCACCTACCTCTTGATCTGATCTATTGCTCAGTATCAGCCTCTAGGCTGCTGAAGGATCCTGGGAAAGGCATTGCCTCATATGTGCAGTGCGCATTTCTGTTATCACTGCTGTAGAAACAATGTGAAATTGACCTGGAAATTAGTTATGAACATGAACTCCTTTTTTTTTTTTTTTCTTCATATATAACATATGTTCCCAAAACCTGTCACACTTCTTCCTTTTTATTTTCTTGAGCGTCTTTTGGGCTTGTTGTTATTCCCTTCTTCAAGACGTAAGCAATCCTGACATTTATGACAGATCAATTTAATGGAGTAAACATGGATCCACAAGTGGTATGGCAATGACTTTGTAAAAGATGTAAACGTTTCTCTTCATGGTTTTAACATTGGCTGAAAAACCATGCTTTGCTAGAAATTGGTGAGCTGGAAACTCTGCTCACTTGGAAACTCCAAATTCGCAGTAGAATCTCTGACCACAATGTACAATAATAAACCGTTTGCAATCAGACTGGTGCACATGTGGTTTGGGATTGCGTGTTTATTTTTCATGCATAGTGTAAGGACTGAGCAATATGTCAGTAATAGGTTAAAATCACAGTTACAGACTTGTTTCTGAAAAGTTCTTATAGCGAGCGGGATGTACTCCTTCTTTGGTAATCTTTTCCTCTCTGGTGGTAGAGATATGTGTGAAGGCACAGTAGCTGAAGTCTGCAGCCTTGATGCAATAAAGTTGAAGAAACATTGGCGAAAATAAATTTGGGGTGTCCAGTTTCAAATGGTTTGTATAATGATATTATGGGGAGTTGACCGGCTATAAACCAGTCTATGAATACCTGTCTTTGAATTAATTTAATTTTGGATTGGGTAGAGCTATCTAGTAAGTTGATAAAAGGGCCAACTTCAAATGCATTTCTTGATAGAAAACCCATGGGAGTAGTTTAAGCAGCTTGATGCTTTTTCCATGAGCGTTTCATGAGTTAATGTTGGAAATATGTTAACCACCGTGAAAAGCCCGATTGTGTGACTGTGTGGTCCAAGCTAGGTCTAATTTTTGAAATAAAATGAATTTATGCCGTAAGATAAAGTAGTGGGTAATCTATAGAATGGTCCCAGTCTTCCAAGCTGAGATGTGGCAGGATAGTGCCTTTCAAACTACATGTTTGTAGGTATGCAAAGAAAGAAAGGGAACATCAAGGTCAGGAATTTTGTGTTTAATTTGTGGAAACGTGAGAACTGATTTATTGCTTTGATCCAGGAAATCATGTATACTGGTTTGACCTGCGGTTGTCCAAGAACAGTATGGATATTGGGCTTCCCCATCCTGAAGAGTTACATAATAAGAGAATAAATCTAGTTTATTGCCATTGGAGTCCTAGGAGCTGTCTCAGCAATTTTCACTTTTTAATAGTAGATGCTGCTAAATGATGTGTGTAGCAACTGAGAGAGTGCCACACCAAGACAAAGTTGAGCTTCTATGTGTACTGCTGTAAATTGTCCCAATTTGTCATTTTTAATTTATTTATTTTTATGCAGTGCAAAGCGTTTCGATTGTGTGCTGCTAAAGTGTAACGTTTTACACTTGGAATATTTAAACCCAGGTTACACCTGGTTTGAGATAATTTAAGCATTGCGATTCTTGGACATTTATTTTTTCCATCTGTAAGTAATGTAAGAACGTTAACTGATTTTAAGAGAGTGGTTCTTCCGAAAAGAGACAAAGGGAGTTGTGCCTATCCGATAATACAATAATTTCAAATTTGAGGTCAGAATAGCTAAACTGTTAAAAAAATAAAAAAAATAAAAATAAATCAGCTATGCTTCAGTTCAGCTACTCTGGCTTTAAATATGAAATTAACTTTGAATTCTCACCTTAGTGAGAAACCCTGGTTAGGTTTCTAGTGTCAATTTAGTTCATATTGTGCTGCTTGCACCATTCTTGCCACACTCTCACTTAAATAAAGCTTATTTCCTTTCTCCATGGATTGCACATGTCTTGTCTGCAGTTTTCCTGATACCAGTACACAGCACGGTTCACTAAACCGTGAACTGGGCCGTGTATAACATCGCAGCAGTGACGGTATGAGTGCTATCAGTTTGTCGAGAATTTCCAATCATTCTTTACTCATACTGGACAGAGTATTATGGGATAAGGTCAGTCCCCACAGAGCAGAATGATGCTCTGCTAACTGGAGCATCTCAAACTAGTGTGGGAGAGATTTTCCTACAGACAGAGTCACTTAGCAGTGTACAGAGGGACTTTAAAAAGTATTTGTTTTTTTATTTATTTACTTTTGCTAATATTTTAAAGCATTTTTTATTTAATGCTTTAAAAAAAATGATATGCTAAAATTTTAGGCAAACAAGCCCTTTAATTACAAAAGCAATGATACATCGAAAGAGAACAACACAGCAGAGGGAGTTGGATTCGGTATTTGTGTGCAATTCAGTGACTACTTTGAATACTTTTTATACATGCATAACCTTTATGTGCCCACTTTACTTTCTCCGTTTACACTATAGGTCACCCATGTCATCTTGCCTCCCTTGTTTCCCTACCAGTTCAGCTATGTCCAGTTATTCATGTGAAAATCAGATACAAAAATAATAAATAGTCATACTACCCCCGTGCAGCTATTTGTCATATTGTGATCAGTCATTTGTCATCCCCTCCTCTCCTAGTTCAGCCATGTGTCAGTCTCCCTCTCTGTGTGCTGCCATGAATCATTTCGTTTGTGAGTCATGTGTTTTGTCTTTTCCTTTTTGCTCTACATGCAGTTTTTAAAATTAATAAAGCTACTTTTTTATTAGGAATTGTGTGATATTGAACGGACTAACAAATTGACAATTTTAATCAGATTCTTGATTTTCTTTACTTAAAGGGACACTATAGTCACAAGAACAACAACCGCTTATTGTATTTGTTCTGGTGAGTAGAATCGTTCCCCTCTGGCCTTTTGCTGTAAACAATGTATTTTCACAGAAAATGCAGTGTTTACATTACAGTCTAGGAACACCTCCACTGGCCAATCGTCAGATACTACTAGAGGTGCTTCCTGGGGCAGTGCTGCACAGTTTTTCAGTGCATCCCTGTGATGAAATGCTGATTGGACAGGGCTGTATTTGGCTTGTGCTGGCTCTGCCCCTGATCTGCCTCATTGATAGGCTCAGCCAATGCAATGCTTTCCTATAGGAAAGCATTGTCTTTGGCTCAGACCACAACTTGAAATGACGTCAGCCAAGTACATAGATCAGGGGCAGAGACAGCAGTAGCAGACTCTAATAAAGATAAGAATTTACTATATTTAATGGGGTAAGGGGAGGGGGACAGGGGATCCAGATGGTAATTTTAACACAATAAGGTCAGTAATACATGTTTGTCTTCCTGATCCTATAGGGTTCCTTTAACTGTACTATGGTACTCTCAAACCACATTAACCACTGTAGTGGTAACCTGATTTTAACGTACGAGAAGCTTTCTGGGACCCTCCAGGAATAATTTGTCAAAATCTTTTAGAACAATTTGACAACTTACATGGGTCCAGCATTCAGTCTTCTCCTGCAGGAGAAGCTGGATGTCTTCATTGGGCTAAACAGGTTCGATACAGCACTTACCTAGCACTCTCAGACAATTAACATGGCCATGCTTAGCTCAGTGGTGCTAACTGGATTCTCTTACAAAGAGAATATGGAAGCAGGACTATGGCCACAAGAGCCAGGCAAGCTCTCAAACACTTTCAAAAGAATTTGCCTTGGCAGTCCTTGGACCATACCTATGACAACAGTTTGTGTTGCTTATGATGCTTGGAATTAACTTTATAAGGCTCTTAGTGAATATTTTATCCTTATGGTACTCTAATGAAGTCTATAGTGGTATACCAATGCTTGATGCATTGGTTGTCAATCCTGGTACAGTGGGACAAATAGTCAGCAGGAACAGGCGCTTCACACTTGTTGCCAGCAATAAATTGTTTACTGTGGCAGTACTACTCCTCAACTATTTTGATACTGGGGAAGATTCTGGTAAATTGTGATTAATGTACTCTTTCAGATTGTTAGTGAAGAATTAATGACCAAGTGAATGTACTACTTGCTAAAACAGTAGATTTAGCATTTCACACCTCATTCTTGAATGGCTTACAAAGATTAAACAAATGCATTCTATGTCATAAAGATTCTGTGGATGCGATATGTATAAACTGATGAAAATGTGTGATTGTTTTGGTATCGAGTGTTGATCTTAAAAAGTGAAAATCTTCGACAGGTGTACATATGTGGTTAGGCATGGTTTACAGATGTTGCTCGCTATGTTTTGTTACAGGAAGGGAGGCTCAAACCATGAATAAACAATACTGCCTGAAAATCTCTGAGCTGGAGAACGAAGTTGAACAAGTGAAAGTGGAAGTCAATGAAAGCCAAAAGCAGCTGCAGGAGCTGGAGGGGAAGGAGTCCCGTGATCCTGTAGAAAAGTGCAAGCTTCAGGAATACCGCAAGAAGATAGCAGCTGCAGAGAGCAAAGTGCAGGTCCGAGGGTTTCTCTTTTATATAGTAATGTTACCAGAAAAGCAATGCATTTATTGCTTTTAAAGACATATGTATCTATGTCTTTATTCTTCTATTCTTTAATAGAGAAGATGCATTTGTAGTCTGTTAAATTATTTGTCTGAGGAATAGGCACCATATTCTATGTGCTTAGTGATATCTAGTTAGCAGAAATGCCCAGCTATAACACTAAAATACCATACCTCCCAATGTTGGAGGTATGGGAACTCAGACAGAAATGAATTGGTCAAAAGGAAAGGCAATGATGGACAAATTCAGAATGCCAGACAATGAACTTGGGATATCGAGACAGAACCCTGAATTTGGGATTGTTCCACCACCCTAACACATTGCATGCCTCCCAGAACAGTTGGGAGGCATGCAATGCTTTTAGATAATTATTGGCAATGTCTGCTGCAGGCTTCTGCTTAAAGGGACACTCACACAGCATGCCCTTTTATCTTCCTTACATAGTTTATGTTGCCTATACTACTGTTCTACTGTCTCGCTAAGACTGAGTGAACTATATCCCAAGCCCACCTACTACACCGTGGCAAAAGAAAGAGGATCTATACAACTTAAGAACGTTTCAAGGGCACTGTCTCTTCATCCATGTCATATTTAGAGCCTTAATTTACTTCTCTGTATTAGACCTAAGTGACTATCTCTGAACCACATTGAGTGCAAACTCTAGGACAAACTTTTCCCAAGTGTATTAAGGGATTTATTTAAGCTAAATCCTCAATGGGTTAATATGGCACTAGCTTACTGTGCATTGAAGAACAGGATAAATTTAGGAGTCAGTAAATATATATATATATATATATATATATATATATCCCAGTATGTATGGCATCTCCCATAGTTTGGGTGTGGTAAACTAAAACATTTTCAATGTGAGATCAAAGGATGTGTTTTAGAAGACCACTGGTTGTGTTATTAATTTTCTTTCATGCAATATTCTGCTGTATATGTTAAATAGCTTAAACAACGAAACTGAAGGGATGCTGCATTGTGTAGGCCGGTTTACTGCTTCATTAGTTACTCGATTACTTGCCGTTGTAGAAATAATTGAGATTAAACCAAATACACAGGTATTTACTTTTCCACATTTCTTTATGCTTTGTTTGAAGCAGCTTCCTAAATATCTCTCTCTTTTTATCACTGTAGGTGCTAAAAGAAAAGAAGCAGGCAACAGAGAAGTTAGCTGCACTCTCTTCACAGAACGAGAGGCGAGTCCAAGATCTTGAGAAGAACATAATACAAATGAAGCAACAACAGGGTCAGCTGCAAAGGAAACTGAAAGAGGAGACTGAGCAGAATCGCCGCTTAGAGAGTGAAATGCAGAAGCGGAAGCACAGGGTCAAAGTGAGTCTGAGACCTTCTTTTACCTGTGCATGCTTAAAATAAGATCATTTCAGTAGAAATAGTTCCGTTATATCTGTTATATCTGTCCTTGGTTTCTTTGTCCTGCTTTGTTGTTTCTACTATTTGTAAAAGATAAATTGTTGCAGCTCATGTTGTCTCCTGTCTTCTTTGTTTTCCAAAAACTTTCAGTCATATAAATCCAGGGCTTCTGCATATGTGCCATGGAACCGTTGTATTTTATTATAACTTGCTGTGAGCTGATACTTAGGCCTTTGAGAAACTGTTTAAAGAGCAAGGGTGCAGAAACCCTTCCTGGATTTGTATATGATACCCTAAAGGATGTTACTTATTTTGCCCATAAGTAACTGTGGTGCATCTTATTAACTGGAAAGATAATCGTTTTTTGTTTTTTTTGTTTTTTTTTGTCTTCTGCAGTGTATTTAAACACTAATACAAGTTTTTGGTTTTAGGAACTTGAGCTTAAACATGAACAGCAACAAAAGATTTTGAGGATCAAAACAGAGGAGATTGCTGCTTTCCAGAGGAAGAGGCGAAGTGGCAGTAATGGTTCAGTTATAAGCATGGAGCAGCAGCAAGTATGTTGGATGGGTTCAAAGGTTACTTGTAAATAAGAGGAGGAACAACTAACAAAGTGTTAGTAAACAGGAAAGGCCGATATTTGTTAATTGGCGAAAGATTTGCGTGTGCAAACCGAAGTCATTATCCAACAAAAATAATGATTTTGATCCTTGTGTTTTATTCCTATGTTAGAAAATTGAAGACCAGAAGAAGTGGCTGGATAGTGAGATTGATAAAGTGCTGGAGCAACGCCGTGCTTTAGATGAGTTAGAAGAAGAACTTAAGAAAAGAGAGGGCATATTGATTAAGAAGGAGGCGCTTCTTCAGGAGAAGAATGACTTGGAGTTCAAAAGGCTTCGATCCAGCCAGGTGAGCCATCTTTGAAATCAAAAACACTTCAAACATACTTTTTAGTAAGATGTTTTTCAATATGTTTATCTTTGTAGTTCGTTTTTAAGGACAAGGACAATTGATTTTAACTTTTTTTTTTACTCTTGGAGGTTTTGTTAAAGTAGCTCTGCCATTCATTAAATGTGTTGTGAATGTGATGTGGAGAATGTGTCTTTGACCTAATTGTCCATTTGATGAATACTTCGCAATTTAGATTCCTGATAACATAGGTTAAAAGTCACTGCTCTAAACCATATTCACACCATTTCATAATAGTAGCTTGTGTTTGTTAAAGGAACACTTCAAACACCTAAAGCAAGCATGTTAAACTCATAGGGCCAAATAAACAAGGTTTAAGTTTATGTGGGCCGCAAAAAAAAAAAACTTTAGTTTTCATAGAAACGTAGGTTTATTTAGAAAAGCACAGTATAAAAAATGTTGCCTAACTGACACTGTACGTCCTCACACTTGTAGGGCTTCAAAGTAAACAAAAGAGCAAATTTATTTTAAGGAGACTTGTATTTTCATATAACCAATGTTTCAGTCCAACTACTTAGTAAGAAAGGTTTGGTAATGGGACTGAAATGGTGAATGTATGCTGTTGCACAGCTGTAAAAAACAAATGACGTTATCTTGTTGATTTTGAAGTATTATGAGTGTGTTCTTCACTTTGGCTGCGATCATCAAACTTGATAATCTCAGCCAATGCAATGCTTTCCCATAGGAAATAATTGGGAGGCTATTGTGCATGTGTGTTAAAAAGCTTTGTGGTCAATGAGCATCTCCATGGGTATTGTTCAGCACCTCCATGCAGACCCAATCTAATACACTGCCCCCTCCCCTCATTCTAATACATTGTCCCCAAATTGAATATACTGCTACTCTCCACTCTAATACACTGCCCCTCCACCCATTCTAATACAATGCCCTTTAATATAATACACTGCCCCCTCTGTGATTACACAGCCACAGAATGGTTGGGCTGAGAATAAAGTGGAGGGCTCAGAAAGGCTACAAACAAGTGATCTTCAGCTTTTGCAAACTGTTTTATATGCGCCCATTGGAAAAAAATGAATAATTAAATGCATGCGTGTTTTCATTTGGAGCATGTCTACAAAATAGTGATTATTTATTTCTATTTGGGCATTGGAGTGTCCCTTTAATTTAACTACTACTTTTTGTACTAGGCTCTAAATAATGATATTGTAAGAGTTTCCAGTCGCATTGAAGATTTGGAGAAGGAACTATATGAGAAGAATGGGCAACTTCGGGAGGGTAGTGCCAATGACCAGCAGCGTATACGAGATGAGATCAATAACCTCAGACAAGAGAAAGATCTCCTGTTAAAGCAACGAGTGGATATAGATGACAAGCTTAGACAAGGGAATCTTCTTTCTGCAGAGGTAAACACATTGATACACTATTATAGATAGTTAATATCCTGTTCAAGAAAAATAATGATGATTTTTTTTCAGTTTGCTATAAGTTATTTCTGGTTTGTTAATTGACTCCTTCACATTTGGCTGTTAATCATATTGATACAGTTTCCTTTCTGTTTGTCTTCACATTTCTTTGTTTGCCATGGCACAGTAGAACTTTATTTAAAAGGCCCATTATTTCGATAATCCTAATTATCTGATGTTACATATGTCCAGTAGACTCCGAACATATCGTCAAAGAGGCCACTTTCTTAAAGAACGGTCACCTTATTCTTTTACTGGACATCAACATCTTGGCTCTGTGTCAATCATTGTCATAAACTCAGTCTTTTACACCAGGCAGTAAGCATGGAGAAAACATACAGAGAAGAGGACAATTCAAACAATGTTTCTAGTTCTTTTTTTTTTTTTTTTTGTTCTCTTGCAATGTTTGTCCTGGCTTTGCCTTGTCTGTACTGATGCACTTTGCTAAATCTTGACTGTATGTTGAAAAGTAGATTGAACATGTCTTGAAAAAATCCAAAATTGAGCTAATGTACCAATTCTTGAAACACTCCAAAATGAGAGAGGGTAGCCTTTTATAAAGTAACTAGATAAGGCATAAATACAGAACCAAGAATGTTTCGGAAGGATTTAGTGACAAGAGACATACGTGACCCAAAGTTTGCCAGATTATAAAATTTAACCTAATCTGGCAAACTTTGATTCAGTTATGTCTCTTGTCACTAACTCCCTCTGAAACTTTCTTGCTTCTTACTTTTTGCTTTGTCTGTCTTGGAAAAAAAGGTTAACAAAAGTTATAGAGGATTTTAAGTGTTCTATCCAGTGGTGTAAATTCCAGAGTAGGGCCAATTTCCCTTTAATGTTCCCTTTTATCCTTGTATTGTAATTTGTTGTTCTTTGGCTTTTATCCATGTATGCATAGCGCACTTGATACACATTTTTTATATTTTTCAATTCATGCTCCTCAGGAAGAAAGGATTCTCTTCCAGTTAGATGAAGCAATAGAGGCTCTGGATGCTGCAATCGAGTACAAGAATGAATCCATCACTCAACGACAGAGAGTCTTACGGGCCTCTGCTAGCCTTCTCTCTCAGTGTGAAATGAACCTTATGGCCAAGCTGAGCTACCTCTCCTCTTCTGAGACACGAGCTCTCCTTTGTAAATATTTTGACAAGGTAAATAAAATACACAGTCTCATTATGTTGTCCATTAAATAGTGCAAAGTTTGTAACAAATGTAAACTCAGTTTGTGATGATTGTGATGGACATGAGAGAACTACTTTGGGTTTACTTGAACTTCTCAAGCGAAATGTTGCTAGCTAGGGTGGGTAGGTTTTTAGTGTGATCACCAGCTTCTTGACTATTAAGTTATGGGTGTTTGTTAGTTATTTTTTCTCCTTTTAAATGTTACCTGTTTTCGTGTAAGCTTTGCCGTTCTATTTGCAGGTGGTTACACTGCGCGAGGAGGAGCACAAACTGCAGATTTCATTCTCTGAGTTGGAAATGAAGTTGGAGGAGCAGCAGCACCTTGTATACTGGCTGGAGGTTGCACTGGAGCGCCAGAGGCTAGAAATGGATCGTCAACTCACCCTGCAACAAAAAGAACATGAGCGAAATGTCCAACTACTGCTAAAACAATGTCAAGGTAAAATGCAAGCTTTGTCATCTTTCGTTCGCTTATGTCTCTATGTATTTCTGTGACATAACATTTAACTTTAAAGTATAGTTATTCCTTTTACATATATGTTTATAATGTGGAGTAAAATCAAGAAGTTTGCAATGTAGCATTGTGTTTAATATTACTTTTGTTACTTGAAATAAAAATGTATCCTACTGTACTGTAGCATACTCTGAGGACTTGGTATACATTTTTAAAGTTCTGCTTTATTGTGCAGTTTATAAGCAAAGTTCAAGTCAATGTATCGGTCCCTAAACTAGACATCTTCATGACTAGGCAGCCACTAAGTTAAACAATCACGAAGTAACATAACCGGTTTATAAATGTGCCAATTTCTATTGTAGTTGAAAGAGAACATACTCTAAACACATATAGTAATTCAGCTGTGTAGTGTCCCTTTAAGTAATAAGTTGCACAGACACTATTGTTTCCTGTGGGCAGGACATGCATTCCAGTTTTCCAATCACTAACATTTGCCTTCACTGCTCCTTTGCTACAGTGATGGCCAATATAAATAATTTCAAATGTTTGACATGCATCTTTCTTTCACTTTTGATCCTTATCTAAATTAATTACTCTCTTGTTGATTCCTCAATGCGTAGATTTTAAATGACTGCAAAAATATTTGTTTTCCTAATCCATTTCCTGTAATTTATCTCAAGTATTATTGTTTCCTATTCATGCCCTGTCTGATACATATCTGCAGACTTTAAAAATGCATATTTATTTATTTCCATTTGTTGTACTTCTAATTGGCAATGAAAATATATATTACAATTTTAGTTAAATTGGGTTTTTGTTAGCCAAATTTGAGTGGATAGCCAACTGGAACATTTTATAGGTGCTTGATTTAAATTTAGGGCTTATTTCACACTGGTATAATACTAATTGTAGAGTGTTATAAGACCAAGCATGCATGTGCAAATAAAATACATACAGTTTGTTTTAAAACGGCTAATAAACCAACCCATTGTACAGTGCTACAGAACTTGTTGGTGCTTTATAAATAATAATAATAATAACTGTAATTTTGTTATAGAAATTGTAATCCATTTACTTGAGTAATGTCATGGCTTTAGCAGTGCTCAGATCTTACATACTCCCATGAACATATTTAAGTTTATTTTAAAGTGACTATGGTAGTGTACTTTGCCACTTCATGTTTTGATTACTGCATCCATTTATTGTGTGGAATGAATCTTGATGTGTATATATGTGACTTGTGTCACAACAGATTAAATGATTACCCTCTATGAGACTTCAGAGATACAGTGGTTGTTTTTTTTTTCTTTATTAAAATTTTTTAATGATTTCCCATGGCAATTTCTTAACTCTTTTTTTTTTTCGGTCTCTCTCTTCCTCTTGTATATTTTATTTCAGACCAAATAGGAGAGGGTCTGGCTGGAAGCAAGAGACAGTACGAGGTTACAATTCAAATGCTTCAGAAGGAACTCGGATGGTATATGTGGGCTCACCAGGAACTCAGTCAAAGATTAAGTAAATGTACTCTTTCTCCTGCAAACCCTACAGGGGTTCCTACCAAGGGTAAGTGCTCTCTCATGATTTTGATTTAATAAATTACTCCATTATATCCACCAAACAGCCATTGTGGAATGAAACACCTTAATTTATTTGTGTTTTTTGCTTGTTTGTTTTTTTAAAGTGATTCCTGCAGATGGAAGACTTCTTCCCCCACCTGATAAACAGATGTCTTTAGTTGGGTCTTCAGAAGAAAGTGGTGTTGCCTCTGATATGAACAGTCAGATTTTGGCTCCTGATAGAATCCAAAAGCCCAGAGAGGACTTAATTCATCTCCCTTTACCACCCACATGGAGGCGCTCCTCACTGCCTACAGACGAGCAGACTGGCCTTGACGAACTCAGTCACAAGGAGATTGTTACAGAAACAATAAGCAACAGAGTGATGCAGTTAAATGATGGCTTTAATCAAAGAGCAGCACTCTGTCTTCCGAAATCCCGAAGAGACCTCCGAAGATGTAATGTCAATGCTATGCCATTTATCTCTAATGTGGAGAAGATAGACGTACGGAAAAACCCATTGTAGAAATGTGTGGCAGTCTTTCTTTCCACTTTATTATTTGTCTTGTTACAAATTGTGTTGTGGTTCTTGGAAACTTTCAGCACACCACTGTTTTGTTTACATGTTTTGTTTTATTTAAACTGTATTTTTCCATGTTCTTTTGTTTGAGATTAATGGGTGTAGATGGATAGTAAGGTATATTATTGACAACCCAAACTGGAAGAGGTACTTAGTGAGGATCAAATAGAGCAAGTGTAGATTTTTAGATATTCTCTGCCTAACACTTACTTCACAGACATTTTTACATCCACTGCCATGTTGGTAAATAGCTGAAAGTATCAAAAATTATGAGGGAGATTTTCAGTTGTTGTGCTTGGTAACTACTTGAAAACAAACTCTTTAGTCCATACAATACCTTTGGTCTACTGTCAGAAAAAGAGATCAGAGCCACTGCAGTAAACAGTGTCACTTGTGAATAAGTTGTCAAATAACATTTATTCATACTGCTGTGCAAGGGATAATGGACACAGTGTTTTCCTTACTAAGGGTAGCAGGTTTAAAGCTGTTGATGGGTAAGAAACATGCCTGTATTGGGTCTGTCTTGTGCATCTACTCCTGGATTCTGTGCCTTTAACATAATATATGCCTTAATGAACACTCCAATAACACTAAGTGCAAGCTACATGCTTTTGTTGGCTTGTACGGTCTTCCTCTGATGGATCATATTTCTATAGCTGCTTGTCAACTTTTAAGAAATAAATTGTAAAGAACATTTTTAAACACTTTATGATTTAGCATTACCGGACATGGCTGAGAGTAATTTTGAAAGTTGTTATAGGGCTAATTAAACCTTTTTAAGATTTCCAGAGCCTTAGCAAGGTATTCTGTTACAGCTTCAATAAACAGGCAAGAAGCAGTGTATCATTCAGCTGTCCAACCTTCTCTATGCACCTTGTGTTGGAAAACAAAAATGGCATCCCCCCATTAGCTGCTGATCAGGCATACTGCATTCATATGGTTTCTCTAAGGCTTACTTAGTCTCAGCTATATCCTGTCCTAAATTTATGATAAAAGCAAAAATGATACTTTGCATTATCGTCTTTTCTATGTAACACCGTTGGCTCATCTATGCAGTAGCAACAGAACAGTTTACATGTGCACATTTAGTTATTACTATGTAAAAAGCTTCTTCTACCCTTTTGTAATATAGTTTTGTAAGGATTTTTTTGCATTTTGTACTACATTAAACTATTTATCACATAAGTGTTTTATATAATTTGAATGGAGTCTGCCTATTTTTTGTTGTGCTGTCTTTACTTGATATGGTTTGAGAAAAAAATTTGTTGCAGGCACTTTAGATTTGCAGCTGCTGGGGCGTAAATCCTTTCTTTAAACGCATGAATGGATTGAATGATAGGAATAATTATGGAGAACAAGTCAAGACTTTATTTTTAAACTGTGTGGACTCCCTCTTACTATTATTATTTTTATTTATTAAAGGGGCATTATAGTCACCAAAACAACTTTAGCTTAATGAAGCAGTTTTGGTGTATGGGTCATGCCTCTGAAGTTTCACTGCTCAATTCACTGCCATTTAGGAGTTAAATCACTTTTGTTTCTGTCCATGCAACCCTAGTCGTACCCACCCCTGGCTGTGATGACACATCCTGCATGACAAAAATAAAAATGGTGTCACTTTTAATCAGATGTAACTTACCATATATACTCGAGTATAAGCAGAGTTTTTCAGCACATTTTTTGTGCTGAAAACCCCCCACTCGGCTTATACTCGAGTCAGTCTGTATTATGGCAATTTACAAGCCCGGCGGTCCTGTTGGGGGCTGGCAGTGAGCTATTACTTCCTGCAGCTCCTGTCAGCTCCCTCCTCCTCCGTACAGCTCCTCTGTCAGCTCCGTTCTGCTCACAGTGTAAGTCTCGCGAGACTTACACTGTAAACAGAACAGAGCTGACAGAGGAGCTGCACGGAGGAGGAGGGAGCTGACAGGAGCTGCAGGAAGGTAAGTAAGAGCTCACTGCTAGCCCCCCCACTAAACTGCCAATGCCACTGGACCACCAGGGATTTGATATTATTATTTTAACATTATTTTATTTTAATAATATTATTAAAACAATATAATATTAAAATAATAACATTATTTTATTATTATATTATTATTTTTGTAATATTTGCATTATTTTTCTAAAAAATTTTTTTTGTCCTCTCCCTGCTTGTTGCCTGGCCAGGGAGGGGGGGACACAAAAACATTTTAAAAAAATAATGCAAATATTAAAATAATAATATAGTAATATTATTATTTTAATATTATATTATTTTAATAATATTTTATTATTATATAATTATTATTTTAATATTTGCATTATTTTATTTTAAATGTTTTTTTGTCCCCCCTCCCTGGCCAGGCAACAAGCAGGGAGTGGGGCATTTTAATTTTAATATTATATTATTATATTATTTTAATAATATTATATTATTATTTTAATATTTGCATTATTTATTTATTTTTATGTTTTTTTTGTTCCCCCCTCCCTGCTTGTTGCCTGGCCAAGGAGGGGGGGACAAAAAAAAATAAAAAAAAAAATAATGCAAATATTAAAATAATAATATAATAATATTATTAAAATAATATAATATTAAAATAAAAAAATTTAAATTAAAATGCCCTTCCCTCACCCAGTTTACACACACTGCACAAACACACACTGCATTATATACACACTGCATTCATTATATATACACAAACAAATGCACACACTGCATTCATTATATATACACAAACAAATGCACACACTGCATTCATTATATATACACACACAAACACACACTCTGCATTCATTATATACACACACAAACACACACTGCATTCATTATATACACACACAAACACACACTCTGCATTCATTCTATACACACACTGTAAATAAATATTCAATTAATGTAATTTTATTGGGATCTAATTTTATTTAGAAATTTACCAGTAGCTGCTGCATTTTCCACCCTAGGTTTATACTCGAGTCAATAAGTTTTCCCATTTTTTTGTGGTAAAATTAGGGGCCTCGGCTTATACTCGAGTATATACGGTACTTTAAAATGTTTATCTCCTGCTCTGTAATATGAACTTTAATCACATGCAGGAGGCTCCTTCAGGGTCTAGCAAGTTATTAACATAGCAGAAGATAAGAAATTCTACATTAAACAGAACGTGCACATTGGACATTAAATGACTCTACATTGTGTTTAGGACAGCTGTGTATGTTATGAAAGGGTGTGACATGGGCTGCATAAAGTGATTAACTGCTCAATTCCCTGACATTTAAGAGTTAAGACTGCAGGGGCATGATCTGTACACCAATACTTTATTAGCCAATTAAGGACCAAGGCTTTTTTGTGAAGTGATGTGTTTGACCAAGGCCTTTCTGGCCCTTTTGTTGTGTGTTTATTCTACCACAATTTCCCCCTTTCTGTTTAAGTGCACACTGTTCTATGTGATTGCAGCTTCAGAGGGAGACCTTCTCATACTGCAGCACACAGATATCGGTGCTGGGTAGCTGGCAGAGCCCAGCACCAATCCTGCTTCAGGGAAACCTCGCCAAAGTCTTTTCAGAGGGGGGTGCCAGAAAGAATTTTAAATTTACAGCATCAGCATGATCACATGCTACTGTGGCATTTAAATGACTTTCCTGACAGCTCTCCTCTGTCTTGGGCTTTGAAAAACCACTGTTTAGGTGGTTGGCCCCTTGCATGGGCTTAGAAATTTGATTTACTCGCCTTTTTTCCAGAGCTATGTGGGGCTCCTTGCATCTGGCGCTGCCCAGCCTCAGAATTGATGATCTCAGCCAATCAATGCTTTCCATAGAAAGAATCATAAGAACTACATTAAGCTGCTGTTGTTGTTCTGGTGTCCCTTTAAAAAAGAAAGACCCAGGAGGATTGAAAAATGTATTCTTATAATGGTTTGATGAAAATCCTATAGTGTGTTGATGGCATTCCTTTATTATTACTATTTTTTATTGTAATACTATATCCAGGGAAGAGGCCTTGTCCTACAGCAGTTAAATTCTTAGCAGTGCATCGACATATATCTTATTGTGATATGATGCAATTGTAGGCCTTAATACAAAGAAAGGTGCCAGAAACAAATAGCTAAACAAGCATATGCAGTGCAACATCTGTAGTTCAAATCAAAGGAAGACTCCAGGCACCATAACTACTACTGCACACATTATGTCCAAAACAAAAGACTGCCCCTTCAGAAGGTACTTAACCATGACGCTAATCTGAGAACATAATAGTACTACAGTGCGCACATATGACTGACACCTTTGTAGAAAAACATCGCATTCCACAAAATATTACCAAAAATACACATGGTCAAGTTATGCAATTTTAACAGTTCATTCCAGGTTATGAAATAGAATATATTCAATTTGACTGTTTTGTTTTGTTGGCATTCACTGTGAAATGACAGCTCATAAAGACCTTTCGCAAAAAAAAAAATATATATATATATATATATATTATTTTTTTTTAATCCTGAACTATTTACAATATAATGGAAATACTGTATTAGTGGTGAGTGGGAAAAGAGTAGATTTCCACATGTAGAACTGCAACTTCCATAAAGCTTTCAAATTATAAGGTCTGGCAAAGCATCATGGTAGTTGTAGTTTGACTACATCTGGGAATCTAACCAAAATGCAGGTTTTCTACCAGTGCCACTATTCCTTCCTTGCCACAGGGTTCCGCTGTATCTTTCGGACAGTAGAATAATTTTAAGGGTTTACGTTGTAGGGATATAGGCTCCACTTTATATAATTTTTAAGAGATAATGAGGTAAGGCAGATTCTCTTTTTCCTATCACCACGTCCCTGTAATTATCATTGGCCATGCCTGAGGGAGAGATATAGGCAGTGGCACCACCAGCAGCAAGGGGAAGACAGGCTGTAGTGAGCTGCACTCACTCCAACTGATATCAGCCAGCAGGACCGACCCCAAGCATGCCACCCTCCTACACACAAAAGGTATGTCAGCAGGAAGGTGGCTGCAAATATAAAAATTCTCACATTTATGTGTGTTAGATTGTGCGTATATGTCAGGGTGTATGTATCTGTGTGTGTGTGGCAGTGTATGTGCATACATATAAGGAGTCAAACACCAACACAACATGTAAACACATCCCTGCAATCTAACACAAATATTACATACAAACACATCACTGCATTCAAACTCCAAAATTATATACAAACACACCCCTTCACTCAAACACCAATACTACACATTCATGTACATTCACATTTAAAAGCCAACATTACATCCAAACACACCCCTGCAATCAAACGCAAACATTACATATAAACACACCCCTGTATTAAAACAGTAAAATTATATACAAGCACCACTTCATTCAAACACCAACACTACCCTCAAAAGCATACCTGAACTTAAAATCCAACACTACATAGAAACACACACCTGCTTTCTAATGCAAACACTACACACAAATACACCACTACCTTCCAATAGCAACAGTACGTACAAATACACGCACACATATACTTCATACAAAAACATGCTTACATTCAAACGCTCAAAACCTGCTCACAAATACAACCCTGCAACGATGGGCAAATGGTAGATCCCCAGCTGGCATAGCTTCGTTGGAGTTCTCCGACAGATGGGGATATACCACACTTGCGCTAGAGGGGGCCCAGAAAACGTACTTACACCATATTGTTTCTAATTCTGCCTGAGTCTGTGTGTAAGCAGTTGCATACCTCTAAAACTGATTGCCATGATGTGCCAAGTTTATTATGCCTCTAACCTGCCATGATATGCCAAAATGAAGCCTCTAAAACTGCCATGCTACGCCACGTTTAACCATCTAAAACTGATTGCCATGGTGTGTCAAGTTTATGCGTCTGAAACTGCCATGGTGTACCAGTTTTATGTATCTGCAGCTGATTGCCATGATGTGCCAGTTTTATGTATCTAAAGCTGATTGCCATGGTGTGCCAGTTTTATGTATCTAAAGCTAATTGTCACGGTGTGCCAGATTTAAGTATCTAAAGCTGATTGCCACTGTGTGCCAGTTTTATGTATCTAAAGCTGACTACCACTGTGTGCCAGTTTTATGTATCTAAAGTTGATTGCCAGTGTGTGCCAGTTTTAAGTATCTAAATCTGATTGCCACAGTGTGCCAGTTTTAAGTATCTAAAGCTGATTGCCATAGTGTGCCAGTTGTATGTATCTAAAGCTGATTGCCACAGTGTGCCAGTTTTAAGTATCTAAAGCTGAGTGTCAGTGTGTGCCAGTTTTAAGTATCTAAAAGTTTGGGAAGCCCTGTCTTGTGGCAAAACACAAAATTGCCCATGTAAAAATAAATACAAAAGAAAATCTAAGGAAGAGAAGAGTGTTTCAATGCAAAAGCCTTCAATAACGCAAAAAACAACTGTAAAATGCACTCCCTTCAGTTGCTCTGTATTCACCCTGTGCGATAGAACTGGAGTGTCTGCAGACAAGGGTCACAGAGATCAAATGTAAAACAAGAGACGGGAAAGAGCTGAGTTGACTAAAGGCATGGCTCGCAGAGACCAGACATAAAGCAAAATAATACACGAAACCAAAATGTAATATAAAGAAAAAAACATAATTATGTCCATCAAAACACTAACACCCCCCTTTAAATCAGTTATCCAGCACTATGCAGAAATATAACATAGCTCATATTTAACCATGTAAGATACCCTTCAAAGTTATAGTTTAGCCGCTAGAGTTACCAATAATATGCATGAACGCCCATATGTATCATTAAAGGACCACTATAGGCACCCAGACCACTTCAGCTTAATGAAGTGGTCTGGGTGCCAGGTCCAGCTAGGTTTAATCCTGTCAATGAGACACCCACTAGAGGCTGGATTAATCCATTTATAAACATAAAAACTGCTATGTTTATAAATGGGTTAATCCAGCCTCTAGTGGCTGTCTCATTGACAGCCGCTAGAGGCGCTTCCCACTGTGATTTTCACAGTGAGAAGACGCCGGCGTCCATAGGAAAGCATTGAGAATGCTTTCCTATGGAATGGCAGAATGCGTGCGCGGCACGTGCCTTCCTCTCCCACCCAGCGGGAGGGGGACCCTGAAAACGAGTATGTTTTAAGGCACTATAGTGGTCCTTTAAGGGAAACCAAAAAATATAATAGGATACAAAACAAATTGAAATTAAAAAGAATTAACAATATATTATTCTGTTGGAGGGCAAGATAAATTTGGGATGGAAATTTTATTAGATATTTTTTTTTACAAAGTTGTCTTTCATGTTCATAATTCTATAAATTCTTTGAATTGTTGCATTATTTTAAAGTTAAAAAAAAAACAAGTCGAGCCAGCCAGGAGTCGAACCTAGAATCTTCTGATCCGTAGTCAGACGCGTTATCCATTGCGCCACTGGCCCTACTATTGCCTGTGTGTAAACATAGTCAGCACTATGTGAAGACGTCCCCTCTGAATTTCACATTTGTTTAAACTGAAGAGAAACTGAAGGGGGATTGCATAAATGACAATACATTTATAACATAAAAGAGTAAATGAACAATAATGAACCTCTCATAGCAGTGCTGATATTTAGGGTGAAGTTACAGAGTTTGAGACAAAGCTTCATTGTGTTAGCTTTTTTAATTTTATTTACAATGTACAAAATCCTACAATTGCCAAGAGGATAATAAGAGCATAACTGTACTTCTTAAACGTCCAGTCTAACAATAATCATACGAAACCTCTTTCACTACAGTGTTGATTTTTAGGATGAAATTACAGAGTTTGAGACAAATTTCCATTGTGGCTGCTTTTTTTTATTTATTTACATTGTGCGAAAATCTCAAAGTCCCCAAAATTAGATAAGTATAAAACGTAACGAGCCAGCCAGGAGTCGAACCTAGAATCTTCTGATCCGTAGTCAGACGCGTTATCCATTGCGCCACTGGCCCGCACTTGTTGAAGTGTTTCTGATGCATCATGTGAGCTTTCTAATCTTTGTACGTGTGGAGTAAATGGTGATAGATTTTGGCCAGAAAGGTTCATTATATCCAAACATATTAATATAAATGTATCTGACTTCTCACTTTGACAATTTAATTCTAAATCTCTTGGGGTTCCTTTTACTGTACCAGAACGGGTAGTGCTTTTACCTATTCATATGATGAAATAATAACTTTGATTTACATGACGAGTTTAAAAGCTATTTCAACGTTTAAACTGATATATTTAGTTTATTAAAGTAAAATGTAAATTAAAAAAAGGGAAGAGGGAAAATAAAAAGTTTTCGACGAGCCAGCCAGGAGTCGAACCTAGAATCTTCTGATCCGTAGTCAGACGCGTTATCCATTGCGCCACTGGCCCCTCATATTAGTCATGAAAGACCCCAAGGAACAAGACACAAGTCAGAATGCTATAGCCCCCTTTTTTCTATATATCCTGTGACCCCATTTAATGTATATTGGCAGGAAGGTTCTGTATATCCTGTGACCCCATTTAATGTATATTGGCAGGAAGGTTCTGTATATCCTGTTACCCCATTTAATGTATATTGGCAGCAGGCAGGTTCTATATATCCTGTGACCCCATTTAATGTATATTGGCAGGAAGGTTCTGTATATCCTGTGACCCCATTTAATGTATATTGGCAGCAGGCAGGTTCTATATATCCTGTGACCCCATTTAATGTATATTGGTAGCAGGCAGGTTCTGTATATCCTGTGACCCCATTTAATGTATATTGGCAGCAGGCAGGTTCTGTATATCCTGTGACCCCATTTAATGTATATTGGCAGTAGGCAGGTTCTATATATCCTGTGACCCCATTTAATGTATATTGGCAGCCGGCAGGTTGTATATATCCTGTGACCCCATTTAATGTATATTGGCAGCAGGCAGGTTCTATATATCCTGTGACCCCATTTAATGTATATTGGCAGCAGGCAGGTTCTGTATATCCTGTGACCCCATTTAATGTATATTGGCAGCAGGCAGGTTCTGTATATCCTGTGACCCCATTTAATGTATATTGGCAGCAGGCAGGTTGTATATATCCTGTGACCCCATTTAATGTATATTGGCAGCAGGCAGGTTCTGTATATCCTGTGACCCCATTTAATGTATATTGGCAGCAGGCAGGTTGTATATATCCTGTGACCCCATTTAATGTATATTGGCAGCAGGCAGGTTCTATATATCCTGTGACCCCATTTAATGTATATTGGCAGCAGGCAGGTTCTGTATATCCTGTGACCCCATTTAATGTATATTGGCAGCAGGCAGGTTCTGTATATCCTGTGACCCCATTTAATGTATATTGGCAGCAGGCAGGTTCTATATATCCTGTGACCCCATTTAATGTATATTGGTAGCAGGCAGGTTCTGTATATCCTGTGACCCCATTTAATGTATATTGGCAGCAGGCAGGTTGTATATATCCTGTGACCCCATTTAATGTATTTTGGCAGCAGGCAGGTTCTATATATCCTGTGACTCCATTTAATGTATATTGGCAGCAGGCAGGTTCTATATATCCTGTGACCCCATTTAATGTATATATTATGAATGTATTGTAATGTACTGTCTCCCAGAGCTTTGCTGGGCTGAAGCTGAGAGATCACGTGACTTGGAGCAGGGGCGTTTGATTGACACGAACCCTGGCCGTTGCCCAGGGTGACGGAAGTGACGCGCAGCGCGGGAGATTCGGAGCAGGAGGTGTCAGGCGGGAGCTCGGGCCCGGGATATCGGGAGTTGGGGCCGTCAGTAGACAGAGAGCCCGGACCGCACGGAGCTCACCCTATACTGTATGATTGACACGGGCCCTGTCTGCCATTGCTGTAACCCTTTGGGTGCCAGAGAGGGTGGGATGGGAGGGGTCATTATTTATTATATAATAAACTATAGAGTCATACAATGGCCCCCACTGCACACATATTGTACGTTACTATGGTAACCGGGGGGGGTGGCAGAGCTCTCACCTCCCTCCCCATGCACTGGGAGCTGGTTATGGGGTGTCCTGGACTGTGAGGGTAAAGAGGTTCTGCAGCAGCCTCTCCCCTCATAGTGTTTCAGATGATTACAGTGTAACCAGCCCTGGTAATATAACACATTATACAGCATGTCACAGTGACATGGGATTAAACTAAATGTTAATTACTGCAATGGTTCTCCTGCGGTGAGATAAATCTCTGCCAATTGATATTAATGAAACACTAGAAACTTATGGGCGTTTCACTGCTAGAATATAGAATGTACAGAAACAATATACACGTGGAAAGGACCCAGATAGTAATGTGAAAATGTTACATTAAGCAACACATTACATTGAAAGTACTTTTATTTAAACTGGCAGATCAAGGACAACGTGAAATAGATACATGTCTGGTTTGCAGAACTGCCAAATTTAAAACATGATCAATGCACTCATTTTATGCTTTTTTTTTTTTTTTATACAGTACTAATTTTAGTTTATTTCCCAACACTACTTTTCTTTTATCTTTAGTTAACCATGGATCAGAAGATCTTTTCATTAGCAGCAGAAGATAAACCAGAAGGGCTTCAGCAATGTCTTAAGAGCATTAAAGACACTGAGGTGAGCAGATGCTGAAAATATATATTTTTTCGATTTATATATGCTAAGAATTGTTTAGATTATATATTTTTTTCACGTCAGCCTATACTCAGTATCTCATAATGACAAAGGAAAAATAGATTTCCTCAAACATTTGCAAGTTTATCAAAAAGAATAAAACTAAAATATCACATTGACATAAGTATTCAGATTCTGACATAACACTATGCTATGACACTTTAAATTTAGCTCAGATGCATCACATTTCTTTGGAACATCTTTGAGATGTTTTTTACAATTTGATTAGAGTCCACCTGAGCCATATACAACTGATTTGACACACCTGTCCATATAAGGCCTCACAGCTGTAAATGCATATCAGAGCAAAAAACAAGCCATGAGGTCAAATGAAATGTCTGCAGAGCTCATAGGTTGTGTCAAGGCACAGATCTGTGAAAAGCTACAAAAGAAAAGTCTCAATTGAAGGATCCCAAGAGCACTGTGGCCTCTATAATTCTCAAGTGGAAGAAGTTTGAAGTAACCAGGAGTGTTACTAGAGTTGGCTGTCTGGCCAAACTGAGCAATTGGATGTTGAAATATTATCCAGAGGTGTTCTCAATAGTGTTAATGTCTAGTTTGAATGAATAAAGATTTCCCCTGCTTCTTCCCCTTAAGCATGGAGCTCTGAAGTGCTATACATGTGTGTGATATTGTTCCTCTGCCGTTACACATAATATCCTGTTATCCTACCCTTTGAAATGCAGCTGGCAACAAGGCCCTGGAGAAGGGCCTTGGTAAAAGGGGTGACCAAGAACCCAATGGTCACCCTGGATGAACTTCAGAGATCATATGTGGAGGAAGGAGAGACTTGCAGAAGGATAAACATCACTGCAGCATTACACTGATCTGGCCTTTATGGTAGGGTGGCCAGATATTTTATATATTTATTTATAAAATATTTTACCTGGAAAGATACATTGAGATTTCTCCTGTTTTCAAGACAAAAAAACACTTGAAATTCAGCTTACAATTTGCAATAATCGTCATGAGGACACTCAGGGTTTGAGTAACAAGTTTCTCTGGTCTGATGAATCAGAGATTAAACGGTTTTACCACAATTCAAAATATGTCTGGAGGAAACCAGGCACAGTTAGTTACCTGCGCAATACAATCCCAACAGAGAAGCATGGTGTTGGTAGCATCATGCTTTGGCTGAGGTTTTCAGCATCAGGCACTAGGAGACTGGTCCGGGTTGAGGGAAAGCTGAACGCTGCAAAATGCAGAGATATGCTTATTGAAAATCTGGTCCAGAGCGCTCAGCACCTTGCAACAAGACAATGACCCTAAGAAAACAGCCAAGACTTCACAAGGCTGGCTTAGGGACAACTCTGAATGTCATTGAGTGGTCCATCCAGAGCCTGGACTCACTCTGACATTTTTGGAGAGACCTGAAAATTGCTGTCAACAGTCCACACAATGCCTGACAGAGCTCGAGAGAACCTGCACAGATGAGTGGTAGAAACTATCCAAACCATGTGTGGAAAGCTTGTTGCATCATACCAAAAAAGTTGAAGCACCTTTGGCAGCAATTACGGCCTCAAGTCCAAGTACTGTGTTAAGGATCTGAATAATTAGGTCAATGTGATATTTAATTTGTTTTCTGTTTAATATATTTACAGTGGTGTCAAATCTGTTTTTTCTTTTGGCATTATAGGGTACTGAGTGCAAATTGATGTGACAAAAGTTTTTAATTTTAGCATGAGGCTGCAACATAAGAAATTGAAAGAGCACTGTATACCTAATTTGCAGGGTGACAGCAAATCCTAAATATGAAACTGTGAATATGACAGACTGCCCAGACAGTCCTCCCCCACCCCCCCTACGAATTAGGCCCCCGCGGCCATGTGATAGCTCTAACAGAGCGGTCACATGGCCGCAATAGGCGTCTGTGAATCTGCCTGCAGTGGGATTTACAAATTTTTAAATAAAGCAATCTATGTATATATATATATATATATATATATATATATATGTGTATATATATGTATATATAGTCAAACTAAGTATTTTTACAATAATATATACCTAAATGAAATATAAAAATACACTTTTAAATTAAATTACTCAAGTGTGTGTATGTGTTTATATAATTGTTTATTATAAAATATAAATAAGTAAATATAAAAATTAAAAATTATATGTAATTTTATTCTAAGTGTATTTTGATAGTAATATATATTTATATCAAAATACACTTAGAATGAAATTCCACACTTTTTTCTACAAAATACACTTTTAATTAAATTACACAAGTGTGTGTTTGTGTGTGTGTGTGTGTGTGTGTGTGTGTGTGTGTGTGTGTGTATTATATATATATATAATTGTGTATTATTATAAAATATAAATAAGTAAATTAAAATATAAAAATAATTATATGTAATTTTATTCTAAGTGTATTTTGATAGTAATATATATTTATATCAAAATACACTTAGAATGAAATTTTATATATATACAAAGAGCCCTTGCACTCCAACTTATAAAAAAACAGTACCTGGTGCTCTGGTGGCTCAAATGTAGATAAAGAAAGGATACCGGCACTCAAGGAATTTCAAAAGTTTACTTTCCAATGTGCATCTGAAATCGACGTTTCAGCTCCTCTAGGGAGCTTTCATCAGGACATAGATATTCTTAACAGTGAAAAAACACACTTTTTATATAAGAAATGTTGTAATAACGTACTCACATTCAGCTGTTACTCATCAGCTGTTGTTCATCGCCATATATATATATAATATGCAAGTAGATGAAGAGAGCACTCCAGAGGATTTTTTCAACAAGTTTTATATGTGGTTAAAGAGATCAACGTTTCGACCCAAGAGGTCTTTGTCAAGATGCGCATACAAGTGAGTGAATTGTTTATATAAGGCATAAATTATTACAGAGTAATCACTTACCCAGTGCAGGTGTGACACCCAAGATCCGTGTTCTAACGCTGTGTTGTGCTCTAGTGATCACGCAGTAATGTGTTTTTAACATTAGTGTTCCTTTAATTTATTTTTTCCATCGGCTCCGTAGTGAAAAGGTGGAAGTTCCTAGCGCAAACCTCTCTTTTATGCTTCCAAAACCAGTCTGTCAAGAAATGTATCAATTGAATGTTGAATGTAAGGTGGCTGGCTTTGCCAACTTTGTTTTAACTCAATTGTATTCTGTCATTACTACACACATAACGACTTGCGGTTTGAACTATGCTGTGAGGTTTATTCACTAAACACTATCTTGCAGGGAATTCGAACTGAATTGCAAACTTTATATAAACATTGCTGATTTATAAACATTCTCCCACTCCACTGTAGTCACAGCCAGGTTGTTGTTTTTCAGTTCTGTATTATAGAAAGATGTTTACATCCAACCATTTTTTGGGGGGTAAGGGTCCTAATTTATTTATTTTTATCTATGCCATATATGCAAATCATTAGGGAATACATTGGAAACATTATGGACTTACTGAAAAATTATTGCACCTGAAACTCGTGAATGAAGTGATCAATGAAAATGCATTTTTTAAAAAAATCTTATATATATATATATATATATATATATATATATATATATATATATATATATATATATTATTATTTTTTTTTTTAACATGTATCCTTTTTTTCCTGCAGCTTGTTAGTATAATCACAAAACATGCAGTTAAAGGAAAAGAGGCTGGGACGCTGTTGCTCGGCATTTTTAAAGGTAAATGTACACCAATAAAGAAATAGCTTGTTTAATTTCCTTAATTTGCTATCCATGTTAGGACATTGCACGCCGTAGAAAAAAGTGGATTTTAACGCCGTTAGAACAGCATGGAACATCCTCTAGTTCTGTTGCGAACAAGATTAAGCCCCCCACTTTCACCGGGGAGTCCCAAGTATCAATCGATAGTGATCAGCAGGGACAGCATGAGAGGGGAATCAAAGCGTGCCCTGTACTGTGCAGGCTGGGAAATCCCTTCGCTGATGTCAGTACTTATGTCAGCAGAGGGAATTCCTCTGAGTTAGTGTAGGGTTCAAGTTAGTGTAGGGTAATGCTGGGTTAGGGATAATGTAGGATTGCTATAGGTTTAGCATTAATTACCAAAATTAATTTAGTCTCTAAACATATGTTGCATTTAACGATTAGAACTATTATGCAAATTTATTTCAATGTGTTATGTGTTTACATAACTGCCTTGTAACACTTCTGCTGGCAATCACTCAGACATGCCACTAAAGTTGCTTCCTGGGTTAGCACTGCACAGAGTGCAGTACTGCCGGTCAGCATCTCCACTCTCTGCATGGAGACGCTGAACGTTCCACATAGAGATGCATTAATTCAATGCTTCTGTATGAGGAGATGCTGACTGGCGCTGTGTAGTGTTTTGCTGCACATGCGCAATAGCCTCCCAATAATTTCCAGTGGGAAAGCATTGAATTGGCTGAGATTGTCAAATTTGTTGATCTCAGGGAACGAGGTGGGATGGGGCCAGCAGTGTCGAAACTGCGACCGCGCTGGAATAAAGGTTAGTAAAATCACCTTTTCAAAGTAAGAAAAGTAGGGATGTGTGCCTAAACTGTTAATTTAAAACTATAATTTTTGGAATACGTTTGTAGTTTGTACCATTAAATTACAGTGGAACAAACACACCGCACACATTTTAGGTTTTCTTTTGGTTCCAAAGTTAGACCATTGCCTCCGTCCTTAAAGGTGAAAATTAAATCCTCCCCCTCCCCCCCCAATCCCACAAAAGACACATACAAAAACAATTTTCACTAAGTTAGACTTTTCTTTCTTGGCCTTCAGATTGATTCTCATCACAGGTGTACTAATCAGTAATTTCTATAGTAATCATTTTCGTTGTTTGTTTACTTTAGGGGCAGCTGGTGTACTGGAAATGTATTTGTGGATAACATCTGTTTGCTTTTCAGGGTCCCCATGTTCTCAGGATGTAGCTGTTCACCGGAGACTTGTGGTTTACAGACACTGCATACAACTTGTGGAGTCCGGAGATTTGCAACCAGAAGTTGCTTCTGAGATTGTGGGATTATTAATGCTGGAGGTGTGCTTTAAACTAAAATATCCAGGAAAGGTCTACTGGTGTTCAAATGTGTGTCTGTATTGCAAGATATAATTTAGAAAAGTAGAGCAATCAACGATTTGAATCAGTGGGGCGATTCTATTGATTTCTGTGGCCATTGATGCACTCTTTAGATCGAACTTTGTCATGCTTTTCTATTTGCATCACTTTTACAAAATGTACTATCTCACTCTGGTCCTATAGTACATATTGGACTTAAAGTCATACATTTCAGCTCACACAGAATTTATTTAAAGAGGGACACAGTACTTACTATAAAAACTTAGTCTAATTGAACTTGTTACACTGCCAACAGTCGATCCCCCTTGTCTTTGTCCCCAAAACATTTTATTTTAATAGTTAAAAGGCTTGGAAGCAAACTTAAAGCACGCCTTAAGCCCTCTGGATAGGAGAGCCGGGACTGTAACCCATATGATGTCCCGTGCATGTGAGCAGTACCGTCATGGCATGTCTTGGAAAGTCGCTGCATTCAGTGATTCTCTATGACAAGAGAATCATTGATGGATTTGCGACAAACTTCATGCATGCGACTACGGTTCTCAAAACTCCTCTATGGGCTCTACTGAACCACACAATTGCAGTTTTCCAGTGGTTCCCAATGAGGCGTAATATAGCTCACTGAGAAGGGGGAAGGCAGATGTACGCCAGCATAGCCCATCTGTCGCTTCTGTTGGCTCACTGGAGTTAACTGAAGCAGACGTTTTCTATGTGATATGCTCCAAGCTGAAGTGTTTAAAGGACCACTCTAGGCACCCAGACCACTTCAGCTTGATGAAGTGGTCTGGGTGCCAGGTCCCTCTAGGATTAACCCTTTTTTTAATAAACATAGCAGTTTCAGAGAAACTGCTATGTTTATGATAGGGTTAATCCAGCCTCCAGTTCCTCTAGTGGCTGTCTCATTGACAGCCGCTAGTGGCGTTTGCATGCTTCTCACTGTGAACATCAGTGAGAACACGCAAGCCTCCATAGGAGAGCATTGTAAATGCTTTCCTATGAGACCGGCTGAATGCGCGCGCAGCTTCTGCCGCGCGTGTGCATTCAGCCGAAGGGGAGGAGAGGAGGCGGAGAGCTCTCTGCCCGGCGCTGGGAAAAAGGTAAGTTTTAACCCTTTCCTCTACCAGAGCACCCTCAGGGCACTATAGTGGTCCTTTAATATGCGTGGAGTATTCGTTTTAGTGAGATTTGTTAGTCATACATGTCCTAATTCTGTCTGAGATTAGTTGGAGTTAAGGTTCCCAGCAACAGTTATTTCAGGAGCCTTAGTAAAATTGTGGCAGCTGCCGTCCTAGCACTCCCAGACAATTTGTGGTGTTTTGTTTGTGCAGAATTAACACTTTCATATTTTATCCAATCAGTGTTGAGGAAATGGAGGTGATGGGTAGATCCCTGGTTTATTTTCAACTTTTCTTAAATAGCTTCACATTAAACTGTGGGGCATTGCCAGTGACTTTAGATAAAATAACTAACTGCTACAGGAAGCTGTAGTGGCTAGATTACTTATAGGCCATTTTGTTGTATTTATATGCTTTTCCTTTTTCAGGTGCATCAGTTACCGGGAGCTTCCCTAATAGAACTGGCTAATTTATTTGTTGATGCTGTGAAAGGCGGTAATTTTTCGAATGGCAAATCTCTAGATTTGTTTCCTACTGTGCTCACAGCTCTATCTTCAAAGGAAAGTCTATCATATGGAAAAGGTAAATTATCTGTCTGTAATTAATTGTAAAGTAATTGTAACTCCTCATACCCTTTTGCAACAGTTTGGCCTCTTTCCTGGGTCCATGTTGGGCAGGCAGACCTCTATCCTGCCAGGTGACGTGCTCCCGGTTTTTGCAGAGCTGGCTAATAGCACCACTGTGACACTGCTGCAGGTGGAGACACACCAAAGCAGTAAAGTGTGCACTGTTTTCAAGTGAAAAGCTACACCTACAGACTCTAAGCACCACAGCCACTTTAATGCACTGAAGCGTTCATGGTACTTGGAGTAAACCTTTATAGTTAAACTCCAGTTCCCTAGAGCACTTCAGCTTGTTGATGTTCTTATATGTGAAAAATGTGTCTTGATAAAATATATATATATATATATATTTTTTTTAAAGTGCAGATTTCAGTAGAAATTGGCACTTTTATAAATTAACCTATTTAGTAGGGATATGCATGGGCAAATAATTTGGCTCAGGACTTCGACACTTCCCTACCCCTACCCCTAACTCTACCCCTGTCATCATTCACCTAATTTTCCCTCCCTCTCTTGTTTTGCCACTTTTCCGAAATACGAAGCACCTCCGAAGTTTGGCAATTCGGTTTGGCACTTCGGAAATTCGGCACTTCGGACATTCGGAAGCATCCGAATGTCCTAATTGCCGAAATTAGTCCGAATTCACATTCGGACCAAAACAAATTGCACATGTCTACTATTTAGTCCTATTACTTCCCAATTGTTTAACTATGTGGCGCTATATTGAAGAGGCAGACAATTGCTCAGAGCACCTATCTAGCAAATCCTTCTCAGTGAGCTTCACTGAGAAGTCTGTGGATAATAAAATGCATAATAAACCCCTTAAAACCGCAGGACGTACAATTACGCCCTCTAATAGGCGGCTCTAAACGCCGCCGGGCGTAATTGTACGCCCTCCGGTTTTTGTTAACTTACCCGGTCGCCGGCGGTCCCACGCCGGCGATCGCGGTGGGGGGGACTCCCAGGGAGCCCCCCGCGGCACATCCGTCCTCGTTGAAGCCCCCCGGCCATGTGAGAGTGGGGTCCTAGCAGGACCCCACAATCACATGGCCGGGTATAGCTGGCTTCTGTATTGCCGGCAGGGGGGCTGCCTGTAATTACAGGTGGTCCCCCTGCTGGCTGAAAATAAAATAAAAATAAGTTAATGGTGTAAAAAAAAATAATTATATATACTTAGATCATATGTATATATTATATATATATATATATATATATATATATATATATGATATAAGTATATATATACACATATACATACACACACATACACCGTCTAGGTGTATTTTACTATTAATATATATATAATTATATATATATTAATATCAAATTACACGAGACTGATACGGATTAAATATATATATAATTATTGTTATTGTTATATATATATTTATATATAATATAAAAAAAATGTAAATACGTTAAAAAAAAAAAAAATTTAATTAAAATAAATAATTAAAAAATATATAGATGTGTGTTATTTCGTTCTAACTGTTTTGTGAAATTAATATATATATATATATATCAAAATACACGTAGAACGAAATAATATATCTATATACATAAATATATACGTATATATCACTATATATATATATACCTATATATAAATAAAAATATTTTAAAAAAATTATATAGATATATACATATATATACACATACGTATATATATACATATATTAATTCTACATTTATATTTATGTAATATTTTTACATAATTAGGTATCTTAATTAATTACAATTAGCAGGACCTGCCTGACAACCCATGCCGAAAGTAAAGGGAATTTAATTTGCTAGCACTATATTTAACCCTATAACTTTCCGAGACACCATAAAACCTGTACATGGGGGGTACTGTTCTACTCGGGAGACTTCGCTGAACAAAAATATTAGTGTTTCAAAACAGTAAAATGTATTACAACGATGATATCGCCAGTAAAAGTGACGTTTTTTGCATTTTTCACGCACAAACAGCACTTACACGGACGATATTATTGCTGCAATACTTTTTACTGTTTTGAAACACAAATATTTGTATTCAGCGAAGTCTCTCAAGTACAACAGTACCCCTCATGTACAGGTTTTATGGTGTTTTCAAAAGTTTTCACAGCGTCAAATATAAGGCTTTTGTTTCATTTTTTTCACATTAAAATTCGCCAGATTGGTTATGTTGCCTTTGAGACCCTATGGTAGCCCAAGAATGAAAATTACCCCTATGATGGCATACCATTTACAATAGTAGACAACCCAAGGTATTGCAAACAGGGTATGTCCAGTCTTTTTTAGTAGCCACTTAGTCACAAACACTGGCCAAAATTGGCGCTTTTTGCATTTTTCACACACAAACAAATACTAACGCTAACTTTGGCCAGTGTTTGTGACCAAATGGCTACTAAAAAAGACTGGACATACCCCATTTGCAATACCTTGGGTTGTCTACTATTGCAAATGGTATGCCATTATGGGTGTAAATTTCATTCCCCGGCTACTATACAGTCTCAAAGGCAACGTAACCAATCTGGCGAATTTCAATTTCAAATGTAACGTGCTATATTTGACCCTGTAACTTCCCAAAACGCCATAAAACCTGTACATAAGGGGTACTGTCTTACACGTGAGACTTTACTAAATACAAATATGTGTATTTTATTGCAGTAAAATCAAACAGTATTATGACACTGACCTTTAAAATGCAATTTAGAACTAAAAAAATCTAAAAAATCGTATTTTCTCCCATTTTTTTCATATTAAATTATGTTTCATAGCTAAATATTTGATATTAAACGAAAGCCCTGTTTCCCCTGAATAAAATGATATATAATAAGGGTGGGTGTATTTACTATGAAAGAGGTGAATTACGGTTGGACAGACATGTAGCGCAAATGCCAGGTTTTGTTTACATTTTGTTTTGTTCACAATGTGTACATTTGGCTCCGTCCTTAAGGGGTTAAACCATCTACTATACTAAACAGTAAATCTCTTAGTTTCACCAGACAGTTGTATTTCTAACATATTAATTACAATGTCTTGGTATTTTACGAGTGTTGAGTGTTCTATATTGCAAAATAATTTGACTTCCATGTATTTTTCAGGTGAACTTACTGGAAATGAATATAAAAAGCAGCTTATAAACAGCCTATGTTCTAGTAGGTAGGTGTTAGTTAAATTTAACAGTGAAAATATGCTATAGCTTTAACTTTTTCTTACACTTCTTTATGATCTTTATTTTACAATTTTTTTATGTGCTAAAATTTATAACAAACTGCCAATAATTGTATTTTGCTTTTTGTAGGTGGGACCCACAGTGTGTAATTCACCTTACTTGTATGTTCCGGTATGTATGTTTTGCAAGTTGCTTTTGGTATATTGTATTGCAGTCGACCTATGTTTGTTCTTGGAAGTTTACCAAGGATTTATAATTCAGGAAGAGAACTGAACCTGTCGTGGTGATTGAGAATTGAGAAGTCGTAGCCACTCATGGGGAGGAGGTGGTTGAAAGTGGACATGACGCTATTTGTGGTGGGCCTAATTAATTAAACAATGCTCTTGTCCTGCCCACCCCAGTTAAAGGCATGTCCACTCCCCCTACCTTTATTAGACCCTCCCGGCTGAATATTATAATTAGGGCACCCACCACCAGTGAGTGAGTGCCAGGGGAGGACATTCCCACTGTATATTATATTAACCCCACCCAATGGACATTTACTCAACAAATAACCCTCACACCACTTAGGGTTTTTAACTATCTGTGCGCTGGCTGCTTGCATTGCCTGTGGGCAAATAGTTTGGTTGAAGGCTGAAATCAGGACATTGTTAAATAGGGTGCATAGTTACCATATTTTTTTTGTAATTATTTTTGGTGTGCATAGATGGTACATGACAGACATACATATTGTTAAGCAAGATAAATTGTTATAGACATGTCATAGGTGAACAAAACAATAGAGCTTAGTCTGCACATTTTATGTTAATTATACACACAGTGCTACCGCTAGATTGTAGAAGATTAACAGGGTGAAATTTGAGATTAAGCACTGGTTGCCAAAACTGGATTAGAGTAAGGGCCCTATGCCCAGGAGTACATGCATATGAACAATGCCCTTGTATGCTGAGAAATTAAGACCACCAAGCTATGCCAAGATTGGGTTTACATTTGTAACCTCTATGTTGGTTGCCAGTGAGGGGACATATAAAATGCAAATTGAAATTAGAATTAAATTAAAATCAAGAAAGGACAAAATTAAATTAAAGCGAATAGCCTGAATGTATTCTCAGACCGGGTGAAAACAGTCCTCTCCGACTATGCCTGTGATGGTCCTTCACTAGGAACGTTACAGAGGTGAGTGCTTGCTTGCTGGAGGCTGGGATAAGCCCCCACCGGCCCAAAGGTGGGGGGGAGGGGAATTGGTTAAAAAAGTGCAGACTATCCACACGTATAAAAGCCTGTGTCACCCCAGACGTGGAGATCGGCTGCTTCTCCCGCCAGGGCAGCAGCAGGCCGCAGTACAATCTAGGCCGCAGCTGCCGGTTGGCAAGAATGGTGGGTTTATAGTCAACTACTAGGTCACTCTGGCAATACAGGATATGATTTTTCGTGTGAGGATTATCTGTGTTGGGGTATTTGTCCCATTTAAAACACTTTTAAATCGAGTGTTGGCAGGAGCTCAATCTTTCTCCGACCTTCCAGGATGGCGTCCAAGCCCCGCCCCAGTTACCATATTTTTTGAGAATTTAGTAGGCAGTTTTTTACCCCAAAATTTGGTGTAAAAAAACTCCCTGCATCCAATATGCCGAATGCAGCCTATTTTCTGTGTACATCAAGTGAATATTGCTGTATACACATCCGCAATCAGAACCGGTAAGGGAGATTAAAGATTTACCTTTTCAGGCCATTGTATGCCTCTGTAGTTGGAGAGGGAGCCTTCCACTGGGTCCTCTCGACTCGTGAGCTAAGCCTGCGGCAATGCTTGAACACTGCACAATGCTGCGAATCGCGATAACTGCTGGCAGAGGTGCAAGCTGTAGTTTCACAGTACCACCGGACCATTAGGGAATTCAGTGCCTCCCTCCCTGGCCAGAGGAAGGAAGGGAGAACTAACATCATAATTAAATCATAAAACAATAAAAATAAAATATATTATAACTAATTTTTAAATAAATAAGGCTGCTCTTCTAAGCCCCCCAGATCACAGCCACTATCCCTCACCACAATGTTATACACACACACTGGATCCACAAAACACACACTACATCCCCCACACAGAGAAATATAAAACATATGCCAGTATATTTTATATTGATCTAACCCTGCTAGGTTTAAACCCTCTTTGTTGATGGCTTGTAAACATATCATATAGGCTTGACAAGGACCTACAGCATGTGTCAAACTTTAAGGGCTAGTTTCCTTTGCTATTCATTAACTCAAAAGAAAGCATTTTCCCAGATATGTGGTAATCTTTGCGAATACCCTGCACAAAGTAAAGAAAACAGACTGAAATTGTTAACTTTTAATGGGCTAGACCGTGGCGTTTTGTGCTCAAGGGGGCATAAACGTCAAAAAGATTAACCAAATAACATATAACTTTGTTTTATTAAACATCACCAAATTGACAGCAAGTTCTTGATGACCTGACTGCCTTTTAATATCATTTACCACCAAATCCATCCAACCTGAAAATGACTTTAGTTCCCACATTGCTTACAAAAACACCCAACATAGTTGGGACAGTGGTCTGTCAACACTGTTCTTCAGATCAAGTGAACAGGCTGACAGAAGTTTGGCTCGTACTATGCTTATATATTTTCCAAGCCTCCTGCCATTTTGCAGCTTGCGGCCTGCCCCCAATCTCCCAACAACAGAGCTGTCGCCAATATCTGCTTTGCTACTTGGCAAACTCTGCCCAGCAACTGATTACCTCCTAACCAAACTTTCTCACTTCTTGACCTCACTATTAACCCTATCGCTGCCACAATACATATATGCCACAGTGCATAATGCCTGTTGAATTTATTAAATTCTATGTGTCGTCTTGCTCAGAAATGCTTTAGATTTGAGAAAGGGAGGTTCTCCCGAAAGCTTGTCATTAAAAATATTCTGTTTGTCCAATAAAAAGGTATTGCAAGATATGAAGTGTATCTGTTTATTTACATCTATGAATATATAGTATTTTTATTTAATATTAATTTATTTTTCAGTGATGTTCCACTGAGCACAGAAGAACTGCAGTTTGTTGTGGAAAAAGTACTAAGAATGCTGTCCAAGTTAGACCTTCAGGAAATGCCTCCATTGGTTTACCAACTGCTTCTGCTTTCAGCCAAGGTAAGGGGTGGGTGGAGAGATTTTGATGTATATAAATATTAATATATAGTGTATGTGTCTTCATAGCCATGATATTTTCATTGCCATATTAGTCCATTAGTATAGATGCTTAGTAATGAAGTATAGAAGTTTCTTTTAATACCATTTTTATTGGACTAACAGAAATGGGTAGTGACCATTCCATTCAGGATGTAAAAAGTAAAGTACTCAAAGAGAACTTCAAAAGGGAACCATTAGGTGGAAAATTATAATTTTCTTAAACACTAAAGAGTAAATGTTGATTGAGGTTTCTTAGCATACTACATAATTTTTATGAGTACTTTGCTCCTTCTTATCAAACCAGTACATATTTTTTAAAACTACGCCATCACTCGTCACTGCAAGGATTCTGAAAATTGTAGCACGTGTGTAAAAGTCCCAGTGCTGCAGTCAAGGATTATTGGACCACTCCACACCCATAAAGCACTACAGTATCCTATGTTAATCCAGTTTGTGCCGATTTTAATGAGAAAAATGCAGATTTCAGTTTTAGAATTGTTATGGAAAATCTGCCTGTTGGCTAATAAAATAGCCATGGAGATTTCCTTCCTCCTCTCGTACGCTCCCCTGAGCTAGCCAAAGTGGCTGATGTGCTCAACTTGAGCATGTCTGCCTTCTCCCCACAGACCTCAGACCAATGTATTCGACTCCTCCAGTGCTTCCGTGAACCTCAGACCAGACGCGTGTGCATATATTATCTATGTGTGGATGTATAGAAAGTTCTGGGCACTTTCAAAAATACTTGATTTTTCAAAGCGACAGACTTGAGTAATTACAATGGGAGTTCACTGTAAGCTTGCCCCTATTTTCAGAGTACCCCATTTTTGGCAGGTACACCTCTCGATATAAAACTAATGACCGATCTAATGAGACATTATTAAACCACACAACTTTCAGACTTGTGCCTATTATAATGTCTTTAGAAACCCCACTATGGTGTTATTTTCCCATAATATATGGTTCACTGTTGTCCATCCTGTACACAGAAGATTGTGGAGAGAATTGTCAATTTATTGAAAGGTCATACTCCTTCACTTTGCCTGTCCTGCTAACTATTTTGGTTTAACCTACAGGGATGCAAAAAAAATATATTGGAAGGAATAGTCACATGTTTCAACGACTTGGATCAGAAGCAAGCAGAGGAGCAGAAGAATGCACAGTATGTTATGCTACCTGTATTACTTGCCACTGGAGTCAAATGAATATTATCTCTCCTACTGTTTTCAAATGACACATGTACAATGCTACAGAAACTTCTTGTAAATCTTGTAATAGTGTGCCTATTATAAAAACAGGGAAGTATCATGTACATGTTACACTGTTCAGTATTTAGCTACATATTTAGCTACATTTTATGAACATGTGAAAGGAATAACTCTTACTTGCAAGGTTGGAATAAGCGACAAAGAATAAAACATATTCTAATTTAATTTAATTGCTATATTGTACCAGTGTGTGCTTTCTAAAATTCAGTTGTAGTTGCAACATAAGTTTCAAGTAGGCAATTTGTGGTGATCTTTGACACTAGAAGTGTCAATGATCAGTGCCTCTGCAGAAGGTTGTGAGTTCTTCCATACATACCAGCTTTTTTGTATGTGTGAATATAGAATTTATTTTCTGTTTTAAAAGTGCTAAATTTATATTGGGTTTCTAATGATTGGTTAGTATAAAAAATGTAATCTGTACACCTATAACACTGAACTCTTTTTCAGATGTTTAGATTTGGAAGAAGCAACAATCCCACCAGATCAACTGCGCCATGTGGAGGGCACCATCATTTTACACATTGTCTTTGCTATCAAGCTGGATCAAGAATTGGGTAGAGAGCTAGTAAAATACTTAAAGGTATAATGCAAAATGTTATTGTTTCAGATATGAGAATCCAGCATGAGAATGGAAATTTCCTTTGTGCATACTGGTATTCTCAGTGTGTAATATTTATGCCTTTCCTCCTTTAAATACAACCACGAGCATCTAGAGCACTTGGGAGCAATGTCCCTTTTCCGATAAGCATAATGATATAGGGTCTATTCACTAAACCATGAATTGGAAACCAAATTGTAAAATTTAGGGCAAAATAGGCAATTGGGAACAACACCCCCCCTATAATTTAGCTATAGTTACATGGATTTTCCATTCTTTTATAGTACAGTCGATTTAAAATATTATCCAATGCTGCTGTCTTTATACTTCCTTATACACCCTACAGGTACTTTTCGATTTAGATACATAGCCATGTGTATATATAGCAGCATACAGCCTCTTCCACACCACATAGCAAAGTAAAAAGCTTCCTGAGCATTTCTGCACTTATTCTAACATAAAGCTGCTGCAGCACCAGTGCATATCTATTCTAACTGTAAAGCTTCCTAGGTTCCAGTGCCATAGTGCTTCCTGAGTGCTGTTGTGCATATTCTAACATAAAGCTCATTCATGGACCTATATAGATCAAACAAATATCACATACTTTTTTTTTTCTGACTGAAAACAGATGATAATGAACCTATATTGCATATGTACTGCAGCCTTATCTTGTATTATCTCTTTTAAAATCCATAGATACATCTTGATTTTATATTTCCATTACAGGCCATAACGAGCCACCTAGAGAATTTGAAATGTTTCTTATGAAATAGTCACTAATATTTTTAGTTTGTGAATAGTTGTTGTTTTGCATGTGTTTAACTTTTTAACAAATCTTTTTCCAACATACCAAACCTCACAGTACATTGTTGTTTTGTAACAGGCTGGTCAACAAGGAGACACGAGCAAGATCCTATGCCCTTTCAGTGCTGCTTTGTTGCTGTCTGTGTCAAGAATACACAGATTTGAGGATCAGGTACTTTTCAATGCATTCTGACTTTTCTTTGTTCTGTAGTGGAACTTCAGGCCTTGGATTTTGCCATTTTGAAACATCTGTATTAAGCCATCTTGTGAAATGTTTTGTTTTCTATGGTAAATTTCAGGTGTTTGATTTTCTTAAAACAACTGTTTTGAAATCGTATAAAGATCAGCAAGTTCAGCAAGGGTCAAAGTTTCTACAGGATTTGGTTCCTCAGCCAAACGGTGTGTCTTCAATATTTCTGGAAACCGTGAAAAACAGGTAAAGATACACCCAGCTCAAAACACTTTTTTTTTTTTTTTGATAGATGAAAATGAGATTAATCATTGTCAAAATGCACTTTTTTGTTAATTGTTTTTTTTTTCTTTAATCAGAAGAGAAGTTTTAATTCCTGACAATTTAATTGTATTAAAATAACAAGATAAAGCAACAGTGACCTTTTAACTGATTTACTATATAGACCTTTTAAGATATTTTTGCTTATTTTGCAACTATTTAAAATTCTGAAGTATTTTAGGGGTTAACAGTGCCCCCCTTTTGTAATATTTTATAAAAGTGCAGATTGTGAAGTTACACCCTGATTCACAGCAGGGAATATGTTCATAAAGAAACATTTGATTTACTGCTACTCTGTGAGAAGCATTCTCTTAGCTCACTATGGCAATTTTATTTTGGCTGCTGGTCTCGGCACCTTTGGTGTGTGGATATTCTTGTTGACAAAACAGGCAGCACTAAGGAATTGTATAGCTTTACTGTACCATGGAAGTAATGGGATTGTTTGAAAAGTATCTGCATTCGTAAATACATGTGTCAAGTAACATTTAATTTATAATAGTGCTGATTTATCTTTTTCAGTGGTTACGGATGGGATCATGTTACTCAGGGTCTTTTAGAACTTGGTTTTCTTTTGATGGATTCATTTGGACCAAAAGGGATTGCAGGGGCAAAACTGACAGAAACTATTGCAGTTCCTTTAAAAACACCCACACAGCAAGCATGCCAACTAGGATCAAAGATCTTACTGGAGACTTTCAAGGTGAAGTGTTTAAAGAGCAACTCTTTTTAAATTTATTTTTAGGAGGACACTCTACTAGCTATGACTTTTTAAAGTAAGGGGTTATTTACATAAATTACAAGGCTGTATTGGTTCTTCTTGGCATGCAGTAAGTGTTGTAATATTTTTTAATTCCCTTACTTATGCCATAAGCCCTTATGGGCTTCTTGTTTGTTACAATTTAGATTTGAAACTCTTTAATTTTTACTCTCTAAAAGGTTGTGGAAATTTGCAGCTAAACAAAGTTTATAATCATTGACTCACTAACCCTCATGACATATTCATTGTTCTATATTTTTTTGTCAGGTCCATGAGCCAATAAGAAGTGAAATTTTGGAGCAAGTCTTGAATAGAGTTATTACCAAAGCAGCTACTCCCATTGGTCACTTTATAGGTAACTTAGTTTTACATTCTTCATTCTTTGATATCTTTAATATTCATGTCCTTCACAAATGAGGATGTTTGTGACAAGGTTGCTTCTGTGAATCAATATATTATTGACTATATTTGTGCTAACCCAATCTATGAAGTTAGCACAAGTTTATCAATATAATATATTTTCAAGGTAAGGAATAAAGAGGAGAGAAATGTTTTTTTTCTCCTCACTAGAAGAGAATTAATATGGTTGTTTTGTTTGATATTTACCTGATGTTCCCTTCTACTGCACAAAGTTTTCCTTGAATGCACTTGGTTCAGTTAAACTAAACAAGGTTTCATGCCATATCACAAGCTACATGTGTGTTGTGTGAGTGTGCAGAATCTGTAGCTTAAATTCAAATGCTGCCATAACACAAGTATAAACTAGAAACTACAAGCTAAATAAAAATGAGCTTCATTCAGTATAGCACAGTATAGATTACATTTAAATGCAGCAGGCATTCCCAATTACAACTCTGGCACACCAAGCTGACCCGATATCTCAAAAAATGTGCCAGAAATGCTGAACGCTGTTGGAGAAAGTCTCACTCTGCACCTGACTTCCTCCACTATAATTGTATGCTGCGCTCCTACACTCTGGCTTTTTCCTCTGCAAAAATAAATTACTTCAACCTCCTATGCACACTGTCCCATCAACCCAAATGCCTATTTCACACTTTTAATGCCCCCCCCTCCTCCTACCACCCTGTCTGCCTCAAACTTTGCAACTCACTTCACTGAAAAGATTTCTACAATTAGGGAAGAGATCTCTAACCTCTCTCCCCCCCCTTCCAATACATCACCCAACCCCACTCACTCCACTGTTCTTTGCTCATTCGCACCTACTACAACGGAAGAGGTTTCTACTCTGCTTCGTTCCTCCGCCTCACCGCCTATTCCCTCGATCCTATTCCCTCGTATCCCCTTTGTACAGCGCTATGGAATCTGATGGCGCTATATAAATAATAAATAATAATAATCATCTCATCCGCACTTTGTCTCCCTCTCTTGCTCTGCCTCCCACTAAAATTTTCAATCTCTCCCTCTCCTCTGGCACATTTCCTCGACCCTTCAAACATGCAACCGTAACCCCGATTCTGAAAAAGCTTAACCTTGACCCTAATTCCCCGTACAACTACTGCCCTATCTCGCTACTGCCGCTTGTCTCAAAGATCCTTGAGAGAGTTGTGTATGCGAGATTGACAGACTTCCTCAAATACAACTCTCTGCTTGACCCACTTCAGTCTGGATTCCGTGCCCGTCACTCTGCTGAAACAGCTGTGACCAAATTTAATTGTTGCTAAATCTTGTGGCCATTACTCTATCCTAATTCTCCTTGATTGTTCTGCTGCCTTTGACACTGCTGATCATCAACCGCTTTTCATTCTCCATAATCCCGGTCTACGAGATACTGCTCTTTCCTGGTGCTCCTCCTACCTCTCCCAGCGCTTTTACAGTGTTTCTTTCTCTGGCTCTTCTCCCCAACCCCTCTCTGTTGGCGTTCTCCAAGGTTCTGTCCTTGGTCCCTTACTGTTCTCCATCTATACTTCCTGCCTTAGTAAACTCATCAGCTCCTTTGGTTTCCATTATCATTTATATGCAAATGACACGCAAATCTACCTGTCCTCTCTTGATCTCTCTCCGACCATCTTGACTCGGATCTCTGACTGCTTCTCCGCGTTTCCAACTGGATGGCTGCTCACTTCCTTAAACTCAGCTTGTCCAAAACAGAACTTCTGGTCTTTCCTCCACCAAGTGTCACCATCACCTCTACCTTGCAGGCTCGCTGCCTAGGTGTTCTCTTTGACTCCGACTCTTCACTCCTCATGCCCAGTCGATCACCAAATCCTGCATCTTCCATCTCAAAAACATAGCTCGGATCCCGCCCCTATTTAACACCAGACGCAGCTACGGTGCTGATCCATGCCGTTGTTCTTTCTCGCCTTGACTACTGCAATCCCCTTCTTAGTGGTCTTGTGTGTTCCCAGATTATACCACTGCAGTCTATAATGAATACGGCGTCAAGACTCATTTTCTTGTCCGCCTGCACCTCCCACACCTCCCCCTTCTGTCAGTCCCTATATTGGCTTCCAGTTGCATATAGGGCTCAATTTAAGATTCTGGTGCTTGCTTACAAGTCCCTACATAATGCTGCTCCAACCTACCTGTCCTCCCTACTACACAAGTATGTCCCATTCAGGCCCCTGCACTTTGCCGAAGACCTACATCTATCCTCTGTCCGTACTCCCACATCTTATGATCGCCTCCGAGACTTCTCCGGGGCTGCACCTTTTCTGTGGAACTCCCTTCCCTTCTCCGTTAGACTTTCACCTAGTCTCCACTCCTTCAAAAAATCATTGAAAACACACTTCTTCAGGAAAGCATATAATTTAAACTGTTAGCAGGTTTTCATTCCCCCGCTCCCCCCTCCATGACTCCTCTCCTGCAACTGTCAAAAATAAGTTACCAGTGAATACTTTTCTAGCAACCTATTTCATTACCCCTACTTATATCCTTTGTGTCACTATACCCCACTCCCTCTAGCATGTAAGCTCATTGAGCAGGCCCTAAATCTCTCTGTTCCTTTGCGTCCAATTGTCTGGTTAGCTCACCCATTGTACAGCGGTATGGAGTTTGCTGGCGCTATATAAATAACAAAAAGTTAAAATAATTATATTTTAAACGGATTTTAATTATATGTGTTCAATGCAAATGGTATACTTCAACATAAAGTAATAGAACACCTATACAGAATTTTGTACAGAATTTCTTATCCTGTGTACTTTTGAGATGAAAAACTCTTTATAGTAAGGGATCGCTGACCTTTTAAGATTACTGTAGTATACTTATTATAAGTAAACTTTGTGTCACTGAAATTGCAGTGTTGACCTAGACCATGTTGACACCCACTGAATGCTTGTATATAACAAACATATAGGGGATAGACTAGATTTTCAGCCTTCTTTTAGTTCAGGTGGAGAGGAATGTACTCTTGTGACCACTCAGACCCTCCAAATAAGGTTTTAAACCAGTGAACCAGCTTAAGCATTGTGCTACCTAACAAAAATTGTTTTGTGTATGATAGAAGTCTATTAAAGCACCACAAGAGAAACGGTGAGGTTTCAAAACTCACCCTTCTGTTACCATCAGCTGATTGTCTAGTTCAGTGGTTCCCAACCTTTTTTCACTTGAGTACCCCTTGGCAGCCTATTTCCATAAATTGTACCCCTCCTAACAGTGAAATGTTTGTCATTAATATAGTTGCTGTTATTTCAAATGTGTATGTTTCCCTCTGACAAATCTCCCATTTTTTCTCTATCCCAGGCTCCTCCTGCTTCTCTTCTGCCCCAAGTAAGTATATGTATGTGTAATATATGTATATTGCACATACATATACGCACACACACAGATAATCATACAGATACAAACACTGACACACTACAGATGCACAGACAAACCGATACAAACACTGACACACGTACAGATACATGCACTGACACATACAGATGTATAGACACACAGATACAGACACACATGCAAACACTGCTACCCATGCAAATTCACAGACACAGCGATACAAACAATAAGACATACAGATACAGACACACACTGATACACATATACAATCACTGATAGATACACATGCTGATACACAGACACACTGTGTAGCTGCATGTATGTCAGTATATCTGTATCTGCATGAGTCAGTGTTTATATCTGTGTGTCTGCATGTGTGACAATGTTTGTATCTGTGTATCTGTATGTGTCAGTGTGTGTGTGTCTGTGTATCTGCATGTGTATCAATGTGTCTGTGCAACTGTATGGGTGTCTGTGCATCTGCATGTTTATCAAACACTAGCAAACATACATATACAGACACACACTGACATACATATGTACAGGCATACAGATACAAACACTGACACATATGCAAATACAGTTGCACAATCACACTAATGCACACACTGAGACACATGCAGATATACATACTGACACATACAGATACACACTAACCCGCATCCAGATGTACAGACACAGATACAAACACTGACACACATCAGATATATATATATATATACACACACACACTCTCTGATACAGACACTGGCACACACGCAGTTGTACCGACACACTGATGTGCTCACTGACCCACATGCTGATATACAGATATGCACACTGACACATACAAACATTGTCATATACAGACCTACTGACACACTTGCAGATACAGACACACACTACACACATACATATACCCAAATCTCACACGTATAGGTCACAATTTTAGCCACCCTGTTGGTACTTATCTTTTAGGTGCTGAAGGGTGGCTTTTGCTGGTTGTGGATGGTGGGAGTGGGGGGCTTGCTCTCCTGATCCAGCCCCCCTGATGACTTGCTTTCCTACCCCCTACCCCACTGCTTGGTCTGAGTCTAAGTGAGCTGGGAGAAAGTGACAGGCTATCTCTGCAGTTTAGAAGGGGCCCAGTCGCACTATTATAAAATAAATTATACGTACACTAGGTGGAGTTTCTCACATCAAATCTTAAGGCTATATATGCAATGGGTACATTTTGTCCCTGTGAGTGGGGACAAAAAGAAAGACAAAATACTAGTGCAATATAGTCTGAAAAAAGTATTGGATCTATTGATACATAAGTGGTACACTCACAAAGGAAGAGCCATTAATTACTAGGCTCAATGTGTAAGCTGGATAGGATTTATGGGGTCATATTCCCTCTTCTATATTTGCTGGAAACTGCTTCCTTTGATTGTAGTTATAAATCCACCAACATTCATTTGTAGTAAATTAGATGCTTTATGTTTCAAAAAGTGCAATAAAAAGATAAAACCAAGGTGAATATATAAAATAGAGTCCTTACAGTCTCAAGCAAAGTCTCTCTGTAGCAAAACGCGTTTCACCTCTCCTGGAGGCTTCTTCAGTTGCTGTATCAAAGTCTATGGTTCTTTAATTGGCGTCAACAGGCGTTTCCTGTTTCGTTTGTGTAGAAGGAAGTGAGGTATGTGCACGTGTGACGTATTTCCGGCGCTGTTCATCTGTGCTGGAATACAACAACGCGACGCATTCCACCATTCAGGCACACGTCTCGCGGCTGTTTCCCACAGTCTTCAAGCTCATAACCGTGCTCACTTCCCGTCAATGTCACATGGGCGGAGGAAGAGTGTAAAAGAGATAACCTAGACATAAAAGCAAGAACAATATGTTCTATGTATGCAATAAAAGATTCTTAAAGTAGAATACATTCTTAAATCAACTAAAGACCAATTTAAAATATCCAACGTGGTGAATAGAGTATGGATAGAAATACAAATAAAACACTAGTTTCCTGACTTATATCTCTATTATTATTATTATTAGTGGTATTTATATAGTGCCAGCATATTCCGTAGCGCTTTACAATATTATCAAAGGGGAGATTTAACAATAAATGAAAGGTTGAAAAGGGCCCTGCTCAAACGATATATGGGTAATAATTCATTGAAAGGTTATGTTATAGTGGCTGACTAGATGTCAATTAAAGTTAATAAGTAGTACATCCTAATTGACATTCTTTACAATTGTAAGTATATATGCTAAAATTTCTTTACAGGAAGAAATCTAATATTATAAAACATCAAAACACCCTATTTTCCTACTGTTATGCCCATACATTGATAAAACACCATGGGGTAGTTTTTTCCCACTTGTGGATTAATGTTCTATTGGAAAATAGGTTAAGTGGTGTTACTTTACAACTATTTAAAAAAAACAAAACCAAAAAAAACTTGGCAATAAAATATCTACTAAAATGGCACATTACAAAATCTGAATTTAAACCATATGGCATCAGTGTTAAAATTAAATATGAATTTAATTTCCTCTGTGCCTAATTTTTTTTACATAGTCTCCTCCTCTCTAGTCTCTTTCTACTTCCTTTATAGAGCAAAAAACTAAACCATCCAGATTCTGGTTATGTACCATTTTAGAAGGATGTAGAATGCTGTGGGTCTCTACACTTTTTATAATGTTCCTCACGTGTTCTGCAATTCTAACTCTCAATTCCTCACACGTTCTGTGATCCTAACCCTCAAATCATTCTTTTCTAATTTCACACTTTTATAAAGCACTATTACACAGATCCGAACCTGTGCAGTGCGTCTGCACCGGGGGCAGAGCCGCCATTACCAATTAATTTTTTCGTACACCTGGGGGCACTTGTTAATACCCCTGGGGGTACACATACCATGAGTTGGGAACCCCTGGTCTAGTACAAACACCATTGCTGGTAATTGAAACCTTTCCTAGGAAATGTATACTGGTCTGTTATTTACAGCAACAATTAAACACAGCATATATCCTAAATATCCAAAGATATTGGAGTTTGTTTCTTTATTATTGCTTCTACGGAATACCATGTGGGATGGCAGCATATGTGTTTCATATCCTACTGATGCCTATTCATAGGCTGGGACTTGAGTAGACTGTAGGTAGTAGTAAGATTCTTGTGTCTAGTGTCTGCAGTATTAAACATATACACCCCATTAGTCTTTGTTTTGGTAGAGCATATTCGTTTGTCAAGTAACACATTGATATGTGGATTTACAGATCTGCTTTCAGACATTGTTGTTTCTGCGCCACTGATTCTTCAGAATTCATCATCTAAAGTTACTGAAGCATTTGATCACCTGGGCTATCTACCTCTTAAAACTGTGCAGGGCCTATTGAAAGCTGTTCAGGTAATAATGTAACAAATGTATGGATTTCACACATTGCAATGGTTATTTCAAAGTTCTAATCTGTTACTGATTTATTGCCGCACACATGTTATCAATATCCACTCATCTAATTCTTATACTGTAGTTTCCTTTTTTTTAATATATATATATTCAAAAAATAATGCAACTTGTTGGAACCTTTTATTATACCATCATTTTGAATTTGAAATCCCCATGCAATCAGAGAGCATTGCCATGTGTTTGTCCCTTTATGGAAATATGAAGGATCTCTAGTACTGATGATCTCCCGACTAATCCAATGCTACTGTATAAGTATTGTCTTCCGTTCTGTGCTTGGTCACAAAGTAATAAGGAAGAGCACCCCCCTAAGTAGGTTGACCGCGAAGAAGGTGCAACGTAGGAGCTTTATAAATTTCAGATTTCTGTCACTTTATAGGGGGTCACATTTCACTCATTAAGGAGAGTAAGTGTGAAAGAGTTTTTAGAGACTGTATAAATAATAATTTCTTAATGCTGTTTAAAAATGCCTTATGTGGTATGGCATATCACATACGCCTTTCTATAATTTAATGCACAGCTTTTTCATTTTCATGTTTATTGAAGTTGTGTTTTGGAACCTATGATCTGAGAATACCATTCATTCTTTCACAGCCACTCCTTAAAATCAGTATGTCTATAAGGGATTCACTCATTCTCGTTCTTAGAAAAGCAATGTTTTCAAGGTAAGAATGCTGATCCCTCTCATCCAATTTTTCTACATGAATTAATTAGTCTTCACTCTTTTTCTACTACCTTTTTGAAGCTAGTTTAAGATTTTGCAAAAGTAACATTTTAACTTTCTCTTGTGTGCTGGCAGTCAGATAGATGCACGCAAATCAGCTGTTGCTGGATTCCTGCTTCTATTAAAGAATTTTAAGGTCCTTGGGAGTTTGTCGTCCTCGCAGTGCAGCCAAGCCATCGGTGCCAGCCAGGTAATTACTATTGGTATTCTTGTGATTCACAATTTAATATTACGCGCTAACATAGCAGACCCTGTCTGTATGCAGTCATACTTTCTTCCATTCTTCAAGTGTATTTCATATTTCACAGGTACTAGTTGATGTTCATACACGCTATAACTCTGCCGCTAATGAGGCCTTTTGCCTGGAAATTCTGGGTAGCCTGAGGAGATGTTTAAGTCAGCAAGCTGACGTGAGGCTTATGCTTTATGAGGTTAGTAATGTATGTTTTCATGTCTCTTATTTCTTCAAAGCATTAATACGCTAAGGATATTCCAGTGTGATAAACAGTGTGCTCACAAACTCTGGATCCCACGATCTAGAAATTAATCGACACTGCAAAACATTGAATCCTTCATTTATTCGTAAATAACATAATAAGGAAAATAAATCTTCTAGTTTTGTTCTGTTTGTATTATTAGGGATTCTATGATGTTCTGCGTCGGAATTCCCAGCTCTCAAGCTCCATTATGCAGACTCTATTGTCACAGGTATGGCAACTAGACGCTAGGGACGTAGTTGGATAACTTTGTTATTGGTAAGTTGCTGGCTTAGCACAGCAACTGAGGAATTATGCTCTATTGCAGGTATTCATTTCCTGTCCTGTGGTAGTAGGCTGTTGCTTTCCTTAGAATAGCTGAGGTATTAGCCTGCGGTCACTATTTATACTCTCCTTTGGGTCATAGTAGTCTTCTGTTTACCTTGTAACAAAGGTATACAAGTGGAGATACATACAGCACTAGTACCTTGTTATCTTTGGCCATATGATTACTTCATGCAATATTAGAACCAGTTTCCACCATTACCATTGGTCTCCCTTACTTGCTATCTCACATTTTGTCTATTTCAGTTAGTGTATCTGAGGCACAACTTAATAGAGCCTGATTAGGTACACATTTACTGATTGTAGTCTTAGTCAGTCCTTAGCTACCCCCGTACACTATTTGATATTTTATTTTAAGCTGTATACAACATTTTCCAATTTTTGGAACCTAGTGTTCCACCATTTTGTAGTTGTCTAATCTACAGGGTTCATGCCCAGGATAGACTGGTACTATCCTCTCTGATTCTTTTTCACCAGACCTGCTGGTCAAGTGAAAAGGCTGTTTAGCTTAGTTGGTTAATTTGCATGTTCTCACTGGTGGTGACCTGAAGACAAACTATAGGTTTCATGTAGTGAATTGTCCACTCTTGGTCCCCCATCCCCCATTTGTTTTTATTTTTTCCCTTTTTTTATGTAACATAGACTTATGTTGTGACATAACTTACAGTGCAAACATTCTCAGTCCATTCCCCTTTTTTCATGTCTTGTTCTGTACAGTTAAAGCGTTATTATGAACCAGAGCCCGATCTGTTGCCTCCTTTGAAGCTTGAAGGTTGCATCACTGCTCACGGAGAGCAGATATTTTTGCAAGAACCTCTGGTACGTTTCACATAATATCCCCAATTTTTTTTTTTTGTTTGATTTTAGTCTGTTAGTACACTTAATACTTGAAATTTGGTGCCAAAATGAACACTGCACAGAGAGAAAGGTCAAAAGAGGCTTTTACTAAACCCATTAGATTTAAGTCGTGTCCACTATAATCTGCTGGAGATTTAGTGGATTAAAACTAAAACAATTCAGATGACTAAAATACTACTAAAACTAAAATGGCTTTTTAGTCAAAAGACTATGACTAAAGCTAAATTGAAATTTGATGCCAAAATTAACACTGGATGGTTCACAAAAAAGCACAGGTTAAGGAGATCAAAAGATCATTGAAATGTTGGTATTTTTTGCAATGGAGCAAGCAACATTTGTGCTCCCTTGCAGCTTTGCATAGTACAGCGAGTCAGAGCCATTAGTGTAGTATGGAACATCGTGTCCGATTATATTTTAATATCAAAGTAGAAAATTATATTCAGGCAGCAACTGAAAAGAAAGGAAAATTAATATAAAAAAAAAGTAGTGAACAAGGGAAGGCCGGATTACAGTGTAATGAAAGAGGAGAGATGTGGGGACTGCAAAGGTCTACATAATCTCCATGTTTTTGCAGTGCATATTATTATTGTCATTTTTATAGTCCCAACTTAATCCGTATTGCTTTACAATGTTATAAAGGGGCAAGTTGAACAAGTGAGACAAAATACTAGCTTGATGAGGACCCTGCTCAATTGGCAACACTTGATGTTGTGGGATGCAAATGAAAAGCACTTATATGGGTATATAGCATTAATTTTCTGCAGGAGTTAAAACCGTTACATATAATTCCACACTAATAGCTGTAATTAATTGATTTCTCTCCAGCAACAACTGAATGCTTCATATTGGCATATAGGTGTTTCATTAAATATTTACCATTAATATGTCCTACTTAAAATGATTTACACCTGAACAAAGTTTCTGTTCTTGCCATCAGGCACACTTGCTCTGCTGTATTCATCATTGCCTAAGCTGGTACAGGAGCAGTTTACAGCAGCAGAGAAACAGAGAAGATGAGGATGACGATGAAATGGGATGTCAACAAGACCTTGATGATATACTGAATTCCATTACTAGGAGAATGATTAAATGTGATTTAGAAGACTTTGAATTGGTGATCCTCTCTTTTTCCTTTTATTTTAAAAGATTTTTGTGGCTCGGATGTAGAACATTTGTCCCAAATTTATGCTAAATAATCTTTGCTTTCTTTAATGTAGGATAAGTCTGCAGACTTCTCCTTATCATCTGGAGTCGGAGTAAAGAACAATATTTATGCTGTTCTGGTGATGGGACTTTGTGAAGTCCTAATTGAATATAACTTCACCGTGGCAAATTTTAGGTAAGAATCTTACTGCACTAAACTTTTACTCTACAATCAAATTTTATAAAGCAGGGGTGGGCAAACGATTTTGTAGACATGCAGCTTCCATGATTTGCCATTTTTTTTTTTTCAAATTTATATTTTATTGTGTTAATCGAGGTTGTGGGGGTACAGAAAAGAAGGTGGGAGGGTTGGTTAAACAGGTAACATCTCTGTATGACACTCATGATTCCAAAACAATGTGTCACCATTATGCGAGAGACATTGTTCCAACACAGTAGTAATAGTAACAACTAACAATTGTGCACAAGGTAACATCAGTACATTCTTAACAATGTGGCATTAACTTTCATGAGACAATATAGTGCTGTTACATGTGCAAGGTGTTCCGTTTGTCGTCGCCTGCATTGTAAATCGTCAGTGGCGAAAGGTAGCACTAATTGTCGTAAAGTTTCTTCTTGTCTTTTCGTTAGGTGCTGGGTGGTAGGGGTCCGGTAGGGGGTCTAGAACCTGAGTGGGGGTCTAAGGGTGTCCGGGGGGGCGGGGGGGTTATAGGTGGGTGGAGTGCATGGGTGTGCGCGAGCAATACCCGTAATTCGTTGGTGGTTGTCTTGGTCTGGTGGTAGAACTGCTGTGGCGTAGGGGGGCTAGTCCGGGTTGCAGTCCCGGTTAGTGCTTGTGGTAGTGTTTGCTATTGTTAGTGTTCTGTCCTTTATTCGTCCAAACTCTCTTTCCCATTTACCCCAAGTAACGTCAAATTGTGTGATATTCTTAGCAGATGTGGTTGCCATTCTCTCATATATATGGAATTGCCCTATTTTATCTGTCAGCTGTAGCAAAGAAGGGCAGTTTTGGGATTTCCAGTTGAGTGCTAGGAGATTTCTTGCAGCCATGAAAACTAACGTTATGATTTGTTTTTGGCCTGGGTTAAGGCCTGTGGGAAGCAGGAGCATTAGGCAAATGGGTGCTGTTAGTTCAAATTTTGGAATGTCTAGTGTGTCTAGGATTGACCTCGTGGCAGTCCAGAGAGGTTTGATGCCTCTGCAAGACCACCACAGGTGTATCAGTGTGCCTGGGCTTGATTGGCATCCAGCTCTTGTCGCGGGAAATAGTTGGTGAAGTCGTTGTGGGGTCATGTACCACCGGTACATGAGTTTCCTGTGGGCCTCTATGTGTGAGAAACATTTTGTTTGTTTGGACAACCCATTCAGTGTTTGTAGCCACTCCATATCTGTTAAGGTTATGTCACAGTCTATCTCCCATTGGGCTTTGTGCGAATGTGGTTTAGCTGGCGTGAGTTCTTGCCACGTTTTGTAACATAGTGTGAGTGTTTTAGGTTTATTGGGTGAGGACCAGCATCTGTCAATCAGCAGCTGTGAAGTGGTTTGTGGGGAGCTGTTTGGGTTGTGTGCGGTAGTTATGTGTGCTTGTAATACGCTTTTAATCTGTAAGTAGGAGAAGATGGCTCGGCTGGGGAGTTTCCACTGCGTTTGTAGTGTGGGGAAGGGTGTTACTTCCCCTTCGGTCATCAGTTGGGATATGTGTTTGATCCCTGCTTTATGCCAGTCTTGAAGTGGTATGTCTGTTACCATTGTTCTGAGTATCGAGATGGGTGATTTGGGGTGGAAGGAGTTGTTATATCCATTGGCTCCCATGAATTCATCCCATACTGCCAGCGTGAGCTGGGTGGTTGGGAAGAGATCCTGTCGTCGCGGTCTGAGGTGTTTGGGTGTCCAGAGATAGTCAAGTAGGCTTTGGTTGCGGAATTGTGCTCTTTCCATGTCTACCCATTGAATCGTATTAGGTGGTGTGTGGGAGAGGACAGGATAGCCGCTCTATAGTACTGTCTGAGATTGGGGAGACCAACTCCGCCAGAGCGGGTGTCTGTTTGGAGGAGTGCCATGGATACCCTAGGTTTCTTACCCCCCCAGATGAAAGTGCTGCATAGTTTTTGTAGTGTTTTGCAGCATTGGGCTGGTATTTTGAGGGGGATCATCCTAAAGACATAGAGAATGCGGGGCAGGATCATCATTTTGTAGGCATTAATCCTCCCCAGCCATGAGATCATCGTATGTTTCCATTTGTGCATTTCAGTGTTGCAGAGCGTTTGTAATGGTGTGTAGTTTAATGTTATCGTGGCCGAAGTGGAGGGTGCCACTTTTATCCCCAGGTATGTAATGGAGGCGGATCTCCAATCAAATTTGTATGTGGTGCGAAGGGAGTTTATCAGGGTTTTTGGCAGGTTGATGGGTAGGGCTTGGGTTTTGTCTTGATTTAATTTGTAGTATGAGACTTTTCCAAATTGTTGTATGAGTTCCAGCATATGTGGTAAAGAGCGGGTGGGGTCTGTTAGTGCCACGAAAATGTCGTCGGCAAACAGGGCCAGGCTGTACCTCTTGTCTCGTATGGGGATTCCTTGTATGTCTGGATGTGATCTGATTTTGCACGCTAGGGGTTCCAGGGCTAGTATGTATAGAAGGGGCGAGAGGGGACATCCTTGTCGGGTGCCGTTAGTAATAGAGAAGGGGTTGGACAGGAAGCCTCCATGGGAGACTTTGGCCGCTGGTTTGTGATATAATGCCATTATGCTTTTGATCATGGACATGGGGAAGTTAAATTTGTGTAGGGTTTTAGCCATGTATTCCCAATTTAGCCGGTCGAAGGCCTTCTCCGCGTCAAGCGCGAGGAAGAGTCCCTTCAAACCCCTAGTGTCTAGCGTGGATAACATGTTCAGGATTTTCCTGGTGTTGTCTGAGCCCTGGCGCCCTTTAATGAACCCCGACTGGTCATTGTGTACCAGTTTGTGTAGGAGAGGAGCTAGTCGGTTGCTGATGAGTTTAGCATAGATTTTGGCATCCCCATTGAGTAGGGAAATGGGCCTGAAGTTTTTACATTGAGTGGGGGGCTTGCCAGGCTTAGGGAGGGTGGATATGTGGGCCAGCAGCATCTCCTCTGGTAATGCGCCTGCGGTGGCGCAGGTATTGAGGAGTTTTAGTAACTGTGGCGCGAGGATGTGTGAGAATTTCTGGTAGTATGCGTTAGTAAAGCCATCGGGGCCAGGGGATTTGTGGGCTGGTAGTTTCGATACTACAGCCGTGATCTCGTCTATGGAGAATGGTTGTTGTAGCAGGTCTAGGTCATCGTTTGTTAATTTTGGTAGGTCAAGTCCCGTCAAGAACCCGTCAATGTCGTCATGTGTAGGTAAGAACATGTTGGGGTCAGTTTTAAGGTTATACAATTCACTGTAATATTTCGCAAATTGGTCTACAATACATTGTGGGTTCAAAGTCTTCGCTCCCTTATTGTCTACTAGGAAGGCAATCCTGGAGGCCACACATCTCTCCTTTAGTTGTGACGCTAGTTTGGCGTCCGCTCTATTTCCGTTGGCAAAAAAGTTATGTTTAGCTTTGCGTAAAATATATGTTGTTTTAGCTAGTTCTATGTTTCTTAATTGATTTTGGAGGTCTATCAATTTTTTGCAAGTGGCCCTATTTGGGTCCCTTTTGTTGGAGTGCGTTAGTGTGGCTATTTCTGTTACCAGGGAGTTATAGGTTGCGAGCCTTATTTTCTTGGCTCTACTGGCGTGTTTTATAAGGCTGCCTCGTATGACCGCCTTGTGCGCTAGCCAGATTTGTTCTATCGGTGAGTCTTGCGCCGTGTTTTCGGCGAAGTAGTTCTGTAGGTCTGAGGTAACCTGCGTCACTACATAGGGGTCCACCAGAAGAGACTCATTCAGCCTCCAGGTGCCTGTCCCTTTATTGGGGAATGTTTCCTTGATGCTTAGGGTGACGGGTGCATGGTCTGACCATGATATTGTTCCAATATTAGCTTCCTCTATATTAGTTATGGAGGATGCGGGGATGAGAAAGCGGTCTATCCGGGAGTAACTGTTGTGTGCCAGTGTATGGCATGTATAGTCAACTTCTGTGGGGTGGAGGATGCGCCATGGGTCTACTAAGTGGTGAGAGGCTAGCGTGGCGCATACTTTGGCTGTTAGAGCCGCTCGTCTCCTCAGGGTGTTTTTAGAGAGCCCTGCAGCGGTGGATGAGTCAGACTCACTATCTAGTAAGAAGTTTGTGTCGCCTCCAATGATTACCTCCCCATATTTGTACATATCAAGTGTGGCCAGAGTCGAGGTTAGGAATTCGTGTTGGTTTTCATTAGGACTGTAAATATTGACTAGCGTATATGGGTTATTGTTAAGAAGGCATTGCAAAATCAGGTAGCGCCCTTTTCTATCAGTTATTTTGCGAACCAGGGAGAATACTACATCCTTACTAACTAGAATGGAAACACCTCTTTGCTTGGCCGTGAAACAGGTGTGGAAGCCATGAGGAAACCATTTAGAGGTGAATTTTGGTCTATCTTTCCACCTGAAATGCGTCTCCTGAAAGAACGCCACTAGAGCGCCACTTTTCCTTGCCTCTTGTATAGCCAGCCTGCGCTTGTGCGGGGAGTTAAGCCCTTTTGCGTTTAGGGACATAATTTTAATTACCATGACCTATACGTTTGGGTCGCTGCGCACATGAATATAAAGGATTCAGAGTTGTCTTGCAAGATAGGTAGAACGCCTTTACGGGTATGCTGGCATGGGGAGGAGGGGAAACAACAGGGTAATAACTATATACAAAGTTCCGTATGTCACCATATGGGGACATTAGGTCGCATCAAGCAACGGACAAGTATGGCTCTCAGGAGGCCTTAAGAGCCTTGGGGGTGGCCCACGTGGAGCCGGTTGGCACTAACCACAATGCTCGTGGTTGTGGCAGTGCTTGGGTGTAGGTAAAGCGGTTTTGGGAGTTCCTCCTCCCTGTCACGGCTTGGGCTAAAAACATTTAACCGGTAATATTGGAGCAGATTACAAGGGGAAACAAGTTAAAGAAAAATTATAGAACCTGTACGTCTAGTCCATTCGGTTTTCACCGACATAGGTTTAATCAGGAGCTTCCTTCATGGAGGAGAGGTTCTGCGGTCGGCGGATGTGCGCGGGGTTTTCGTTGTTCGGTTCCAATCTTTTGCGAGGGGTTTTGGTACCGCGTTCAAATGTGGTCCCTTGGGGTCGTTGTCGTGTAGCGGAATGTCCCATTCCTGGAGGATCCTCTTTCCTTCTTCTGGGCTGAGGATTGGTTTGTCCACGCCATTCCGCTTGATCAGTAGCTTCGTAGGGAAGCCCCATTTGTAGGGTACATTTGCTGCTCTTAGTGCTGCGGTGATGGGCGCGAACGTGCGTCATGCAAGCATGGTTGTTGATGAGAGGTCTGTGAAGAGCTTGATGTCTGTGTATGGTTCCGGCCAGCGGCCTGCCGTTCTGGCTGTTTGCATGATGCGGTCTTTGATTAGGTAGTAGTGGACCCTCGTAATGGTGTCCCTTGGCGTGTCAGGTGGTAGGTGCCTGTGTTTAGGGAGTCGGTGTGTCCTATCTAGGATTAACTCCGCATCAGCCAGGGAGGGGATAAGCATTTTGAATAAGTCCTGCACATATTGGGTTAATCTTGTCTGTGTGACAGATTCTGGGATACCTCTTATGCGGATATTGTTCCTCCTGCTTCTATCCTCCTGGTCTGCTACCTTCCCTTCCAGTATTTTGAGCTTCTGTATAGGGATGCATGTGCCTCTGCCATGGAGTTGTGTGCATCAATCAATTCCTCTGTGCGCTCTTCCAGGCGCGCTGTGCGTTCCCCAATGCTGTTTATGTCTGATCTGATGTCTGATGCTATTTTCTGCAAGTCTGCTTTAAATGAGGATTTAAGCTCCAGCATGATTGATCTGATGGAAGAGTTTGTGGCTGGGCTGTCTTGGCTATGTCTGTGATCCCCTGCTTCAGGGTCACATGTTGGGGAGTTGGGCCTATCGGCGCCATCTTGTTCGCCATGCTCTGTGCTGTGGTGCCTCTCCAGATGAGCATGCATTGTTTTCTGCTTCATTTTTCGTTGCGGTTTCGCCGCCATTTAGTGAGAGGGTAATTCCCCTTGATGTTGCTAGCTTTAGCCGGCAGTTTGCTGCTTAAACCACGCTGTGTTAGCCGAGATGTCGGAGGAGCTCCGGTCTCACACGTCCGCTCACATCCGCGGTCAGGACACGCCCCCCATGATTTGCCATTTTGATGGCTGGGTATGTAATGAGAAAGTATCATAGCAGTTGTAGCCATATTTAGTGGTCCCAAACTGACAGATGCAGTAAATGTTAATGTTGGGTTAGGTATACATATAGGACAGCCTGCAAGTTGCAGTTCTACAACATATGGTGATCTACCGTTTTCCCAGTCCTGAAATAAGATATTAGAAGAAAGCCCTTTCTGTAGAAAGAAAACGAACACAATACCTAACCCAACATTAACATATACTGCATCTGTCAGTTTGGGACCACTAAATATGGCCCTAGGTATTGGTATTAATAGATACCTGGTCTCACTGATGTGAGCATGGATTAAATACTTATCACACCAAAATATTATATAATTGTGTCCTAATGTTGTTAAAGCTCACTCTGTCAAAGAACCATATGGAACGTCCTAATGTCCTTAAGAGCTATCATTACTAAATGCATATATAATGTATTTTGTACATAATGCCTTATTCTGAAGTGACCCTTGAAAAACACCAGATCAGTGTGAAAAAGATGGTTTTAGAATTAGTAAATGGAATATTTTTTATTTTTTTTGTTTATGTACAATGCATGGAAAACTGTTTTAAAATGTAAATTCTCTTCCATTTTCCTAAAAATACAATAGGCATTGAATAACTGTTAGACACGTACATACGTAGATTCTGTGTGCTTGATTATTCAATAGCCAGTAGCATGTGTCCTGCCTTACTTTGAGAGCACCCTGTTTCTCATTTTCATTCTGCTCTTTGTAATCCCAAGAAATTTTTCCTACTTTATCTCTAGCAAAAGCAAGTTTGAAGACATTATTGGCTTGTTCAAATGCTACACCAAGCTGTCTGATATCTTAAAGGAGAAAGCAGGAAAAGGCAGATCAGCTGGGAATAATAAAATGTCCAGAAGTCTAGTTTCAATGCATTTTGTTTGCACACTTTTAACATCGTTATTCAGGTAAAGAATACATTATCAAATTTATACTTTAGAATACTGTATGATTAGATCTCGTCTTTAACTGAGATGCTTGTGAATAGATGAATTAATGTATGATGCATTGTTTTAAATTATCCTTGTTTAAAAAGTAAATCTAGTCATTGGGCAACTCACACTTGCTAGTGGTAAGTGAACATTTTGAGCCCTGCTGTAATTCACTCCTGATGATAACTAGAGCAGATGATATTAAATCTCTATTAAAAAATAAAGCATGTCCCTACTTACAATGTATACAAAACACTCAGTTTGTACCGTACGCACCACTTATTATGCCATATTTCTTTCTAGATGCATAAAGTACAAAAAGGCTTAGGCAATCCAAAGTTCAGAAATGGCATTTATTGAAGTTACATTGGGCTTCAATAAATTGCCATTTCTGAACTTTGGAGTGCCTAGACCTTCTTGTACTTGCATACTGTTATTGGGACCTGGTGCTTGGTCCTGGTTTGGTTGCACCCTGGCTCAGAGTGATGGGATGGAGTGCAGTTCCTTATTGTTTTTTTTCCCCCAAATTTTTTTTATTGTAAATGCATGACATGAACGACTTCAACAACTTAGAAGCAGCCTTAACAGTTAGAGACATTCAATCACTTATATTCACTATTTTGTAGTTTCCTCAACATAAACCAGAATAAAACAAAATAAGATTTACAAAACAAAATAGGTTCCTTATTGTTTTTTGAAAAATATTTCTTTTTAGAGACAGCACCCGAAGTCATGAGGAAGCTTTGAGTGTTCTTCGAGCAAACCTAGACTTCATGCGGTACTCTGTTTGTGTTGCTTTGCAAAAACTTCAACAGATTGAAGAAACTAGCGTCACAGATGGACCCGATGGTCAGAACAGTGAAAAAATGTTCCAGTGCATCTGTGAAATAACTCGGTAATGGCCATTAAAGGCTCCTTAGAGTATGTTCCTTCTCTTCTTTCTATTTCTGTTCTTTACATTCTCTAATTTTATTGCCTTTTGGCTCCCTGCATTCTCTTCTTTCTCTTTTTGACGGTCTTGGTCAGGCTAAACCTTGAGTGTAGGTGTGTGTATTGATTTTCTCACCTCTCCGGTTAGTATATATTTTTTCTATTCCTCATTCTCGAGTCTTCTACCAGAAGCCAGGGAGTCTGAGGGTTTTGCGCAGTATCTTAGCTAGAACTGCACTCCTCTGGACAGGGATCTCAGATGTCCTACCTGGAATCTGCTGAAGCCACTCCCCCAACTTGGAGTTTACAGCCCTGAGTGATCCTGTCACAACTGGGACTACTACTGCCTTCACTTTCCAAATCCTTTCTAGCTCCTCTTTCAGTCCTTGATATTTGGCAACCATCTCAAGTTCTTTCTTCCTGATGTTATAGTCACTGGTTATTGCAACATCCACCATCCCTTCTGTTCCTTGTCTACAACCACAATGTTGTTGAAAAGGAACATAGCCCTGTCATTCTCAACTACCCATTGTGACTTCTCCTTTCTGGACTAAGGCAGGTCCAGCCCATATTCTGTGCATATATTTCGGTACACAATCTCACCAACTTGGTTGTGCCTATCGGTTTATGCTGTCCCTGCTAACATCTTCACATTGGAGGCGTGGTCAAGAGATTGATCAAATTTCATGCATGTATCGGTTAAACAATAATTCTATCCATTTGTATCTAGGGTACTTTTGTGGCGGTACACCTCAATTCCAACTTCAACAGAGGATTCCGGGAAAAAGGACAAAGGGAAAAACATATCATTGCTGTGTCTTGAGGGTTTGTTAAAAGCATTTAACACCATCCAGCAACATTATCGACCCAAAATATCACAGTTTTTTGCTGCTCTGGGTAAGCACTTTTTAGAGCATACATATTCTCCAAATTCTTATGCTATAGATGTTTAGACCTCTATTTCTCCAGTGATCACATCTAAACACAGGGTTGTCCAAGTTGCCCCTCTTACAATTATAGATAATGAGTACACTTGGGCTTTTTAGTTAAATGGCTGGTAAGCTTTATGTTAACAATAAAAATATGATTTCATCACGGAAAGCAATCTACTATCACGCTCTTCTGATAAATTGTTAGCCTCGGTTCTCTTTTTTGCACTTTGCTAAATGAGTAATGTGAACTGTGGTGTCCATTGCAAACTTTGCAACGGATGAGACTGTATCACTTAATGACACAATGTACTGAATGAAGTATGTGTGTCAAGTATGCTTATTAATACAATTCTAAACTTAATATTGATGGAGCCTGGAAATGTGACTGATTCACATCATATCACATCACATGTTTGAGTCCATGGCCAATGTTTCAGGAAATGTAGTTTTTCTTATTTGCTCAGATTATAGTGATAAGAATACACCGTGTTAATTTCATTGTATTTACACTAATTGCTATAGACCTCTAATACCCGAATACACACTCAATTGTCTGAAAATCTAGAAAATAGAGACAGCAAGTTTAAGTCTGACACACAATTTTTATATTTTCTTTTTAATCTTGATCTGTTTCAGATGATGACAATGAAGACTCTTTGGAAAGTAATGTCACGGAGAGGGTTGCTTCTCATATTAAGCAGTTTCAAGTAAGTGTCTGAATTATATTGTCTCTACTAGTAACTTGTGAAGCAATAGTCCAGTTAAGGTGAAAGATAATGGATGTTATTGGGTAAAAACCAATTGTGGGTTCTTGTTCCCTTCTAACAGCATGCAATCAGTTTTATGTAAACACTACTCCTTTATACTTAAGCAGGGGTAACTTTCATTTGGTTACTAGTAAGAGGGCATAGGTTTTTTTCTAAGCAACACATTCTCAAGGACTGCAAAGAAATCAAACCCTTAAAGTGACACTCCACTGTGCAAATATACCATTTTTAAAAAATCACTATTTATTAGATATACTCCTAATGCTTTATTTTCATCAAGTGTGTATGTAAAAACAGCTGGCAAGAGCTGCATCTTTTGAAAGACACCCCCTTCTTCCCCAGCAAAGACTTTTTGTGACTAATCAATCACAAATGTCCAAATGCAGCTCAGTGAGAAGTCTGTGCAAGGCAGCTGCCCTGATCCATTTTCTGGCTTTCCGAGTTTAGTTCTATTGAGCTAAACTACCAGTAAGTAACAGTACCAGGTCTCTGAAAGCTGGGGGGTGGGGTGTGTAACATTTCTAGTGAAATCTGCACTTTTTGTAAAATGAAGAAAGAGGACACTCTGCACACGTCCAGTGCTTTAAGGGTCTGAAGTTTCCCTTTGACTAAGATGGGGAGGAGTACCTGTAACATGTAAATTTTCATTTTTGTCTTTAATTATTGTGTACTGTGGTTCACTTTTATTTTTTATAGTGATACTGTTGTAGCTACCAGTGTATGAAATAATTGTGGGTTTCCCACCTAAAAGTAGCAAATAGGGCATATTTGGAGGACTATGCACTCTCAAAGTATGATCCCATGATCCCTTCAAGTCATCTGGAGTACATATTGTGATCACACACACACTGTAATCCATCAGGAGGGTACAATATTTTGTCCAAAATCCTTTAAATGCACCTCTATATCTACAGTTGTCTGTTCTCCCCTAAAGAGAATGTTGACATGTGCAGGTTCAACATCTTGATTCAAATTTGATTCTTTGGACCAGATGTACACTGAACATACGTTGGTTTTCCTTATTTTTTTATATCTCATATATGTTTACTGTGGCGTAAATGTGCTCATTGACAAAATAACTAGGCATCTATCGTAATGTATGTACTGTAAATATGTAATCTAAATTAGTTCTGGGTAATATTTCCCCTAGATGATTTAGTTTTATAGCATTTTAATCCCTTTATGGCAAAAGGGATTGGCTAAACCCTTCTGTATTCTGATTGTTATATTATCTTCATCTGTCATGCGGAGAGTTAAATATCTAACCTTTATTTTTAAACTGTGTTCCCTTTGCCTCTGTACAAATGTCATCTATTTTACAGCAGCTCTGTCACAGTCTGGGGTCTTGGCATCATTTGCAAAGAGCCCCGAGACTACAAGCTGAGGTCTATGGAGGAAGGGCTTGACAAGGTAGCTATGCCTTTTGTTAAGCATAGACAAAATAGGGATTACTCTGTATTAGTATATTTTTGGACTGGGTTGGAATTTCACTGAAATTCCAAAACAGTAAATGTGAGTATTCCATATAAGATTTTATCTTTATGAAATACTCATTTTGGGACGTGGTTACATGGCCGTTTTAAATATGTTGCACATGTTGTGTACCTTTTGAATCTCAACTAATTTCTTTTATCAATAAACCCACTGTAAACCCACTGTTTTTCGGTATATTGGCTTTTGGGTACTTATGAATCTTGATTTGCTTTCTGACATCCTAATATTCATTGCCGTGCGTGAATGGCTGAGATGTATTTGCAGTGAGTACTTTAATTTACTGTAGCCAATCGATTACTTTTACACAGAGATCTCTTATTAATCAACTCAGCGGTGAAGAGGATGATTTTAACAGCAAAGAAGCTCTTCTCTTGGTTAGCACGCTGTCTGCATTATCTAGACTGCTGGACTCTGCCTCCGCCCAGGTAAGAAATATAGGTATGCAATAAGTTTGTTTCTGTAGGAGAAAATGTCTGCAAGTATTAAATTGTTAAACAAAAAACCCTCTTTACAGAGGTGATGGGTGAAACTATTCAGTGTCTAAAATACAAAGCAGCTCAAACACATAAAGTGGAAAACCCTTATTTCCACAATAAATTAACAATATATAGAAATATAGTGCAAAATACACCACCTAGTGGAGCGGTAATACAATACTTAGTATACTATATATAGTATTAAATTGTATTTTTCTGATCTGAAATATTGATGATTCATGTGTTTTTTCACTTTTTATTACTTTTACTTTTTTATATATTGATATATAGAAAATATGATTTATGACTTTTTTTATTTTTTATTTTTATAGTCAAAAGTTTATATATACTGTTTATTACTTTTACTACTTTTTCATATTTTCTGATGTAACTTGGTATATTGTTTGCCATGTGCAATGGATCACCTGGCACCCCGACTGGGTACCTCCGTTAAAGGATGCTCCTAGCGTTTCCTGAGGACTCCAAGCACTCTGGCCGACACCACAATCACCGAACCGAAGAAGCGTATACCTTCTCTCAAGCATATGAATGCTATAAACAGCTGAATAGGCAAAAACCATACGGATGGGTTTAGACTCCTAGCAGTCAAACTGGAACAGCATACAATAAATCCTCCCCCAATAATGAGACAACACTTCACTTTGAGGGTTAAGCAGGAACTCACTGGACTGGCACATACAGCCTCTTTTATTCCCAATCCACAAACTTAGTACTGCCCACAGGGTTTTACATAACAACCAATAACACACGTACATTACAGAAAGACGCTCCCACACAAAATCCTCCCCTCTGGCTGTGATATGATTACTGAACACAATGGTTAATCTAATTATCACAGCCAGAGAAATAGTTTTTCCACATTATTCATAACTTGAAAAGTATGCATCACATTCACATAATTTACATTTTCAGAATCTGCATACTCCAAATACAAACATATGTCAAAATCATACATATTGGTCCAGTGGTTCAAAAGTTAAGGAAAAGTCCTATTTGACCAAATGCAGCATGGCTTTTCTGCCCAAAACCAGTTCCACAGAGTCTTCTATCCTGGAGATAATTGGGGAAGTAATCCAATTATCTCCAGGACAGAGGCAAAACTCCATTAGCCACATGGCAGCAAAAGACAATAAAACACATAAAAACATATAACTGTGCAGCCATTGCACAAAACAGGTACATTCAACATATCCCCAGATAGCTCAGATCTGAGCGCACATTATTACTGAATGGCGCTCAGAGCACACACATACAGTTCAATTGCCATGGAGCCAAAGTCTTAACCATAGTCTTTCATTATACAAATGGGCTCCATGGCATAGCTATCTGGGTAACACTGCTCACATAGGGAAAGTACCGAAAGACCCAGCTTTTGGGTCTTTGCAGGGGAAAATCCATCCTTTCAACATGGGGCCATAGTCACAGGGCAGGAGGCCGGCAATCAGTCTTCTCCAATGCCCAGTGGCGAGGCTCCGCCACACCATGTATTAATATTTAATGTTTTTTTTGTTCTTTTCTTAAAGGAGCACTATAGTGCCAGGAAAACAAACCCGTTTTCCTGGCACTATAGGGTTATTAGGTCCCCCCCCCCTTGTGGCCTCCCTCCCGCTGGGCTGAAGGGGTTAAAACCCCTTCAGCCACTTACCTTAATCCGGCACTGGTGACCTCTCCTCCCCTGCCGATGTCCGCTCCCGAGTGGAGCCGAATGCGCATGCGTGGCCAGAGCCACATGCGCATTCAAACTGTCTATAGGAAAGCATTACATAATGCTTTCCTATGGGGATCTGAACTCACACTGCGTGAGTTCAATGCAATTTTCACTCTGAGAATCGCAGAAGCGGTCTCTAGTGGTTGTTAGCGAGACAGCCACTAGAGACTAGATTAACCCTGCAATGTAAACTGCTATGTTTTCAGTTGCAGGGTTAAAACTAGGGGGGCCTGGCACTCAGACCACTTCATTGAGCTGAAGTTGTCTTGGTGCCTATAGTGGTCCTTTAATCTAAAAGTTTACGATTTTCTGTTTTTCTCTTGCCAATTTTATTTTTGCATGGAAAGCATGGCAACATACTCAAAGAGTGAATATACACTATTCACACAGTATTTTTTTTTTGTCAATTGTGTACATTCTCTGAGTGATTTAAAAAGCTGTTGTAATATACAAAGAGGAAAGGCAACACTTTTCACACTATCTTGAAAAACAAATTTTCTAGTAAATTAGAATAGAGTTTGAAAATGCCAAAAACCAGATGTGGATCCATGTCTAGTCCCCAACACTCTAAAGAACAACATATCAACTTTAGGTTAAATGTTTCTGACATTTTACCCTCCAGTTCTCCACCAAATCTCCCACAATAGAACTGTTATTGTGAATACATTTATGTGTGGATTTATTGTTCATTGTATCCCCTTTCTTTGATCTAGTTTGTACAGATGTTGTCTTGGACAGTCAAAGTATGCAAAGAGAGCAATTTCGGTAAGGTTGAACGTCTTTTAATGTTGACTCATATACATTTAGCAATTTGTATTAAAGGTAATAGTCTAATTTGTTTGTTTTGGGTTTCTACATACTCCAATGTTTGTTTTATATGACATTAACCCCTTTGTGACACCAGACTAAAATTTTTCGTCCTTGCAGTCCTACCCTTAAGGACACATGACGCCAAATTTTCGTTGTTTACTAATATTAACCCCATATCGACGCAATTGCGGCAATCGTCAGGTTAATGCTGCTGCACTCTGCCTAGTTGTCTGAGGCAGACGGGCAGCAGCCAACTGCGCGGTCCCAGCCCATATGATCACTTTGACAGCCAATCACAGCGATCACGTGCTGCAGGGACTCCTTGCACTTCTGTGTTCAGTGTGAAGTGCAGGGAGACTTATCAGCACTTATCTGCTTCTCACTGCAAAAGAAAATTTTAAGTTAAAATCCCACCCCCTTTCCATCCCTTTCTAATAATGTTTATCCCCTTACCTTCCCTTTGAGAACTACCTGCAGTGATCAAAATGCAGATCACAGTATTTTACTGTGATCTGATTTTATTTTTATTTTTTTAATTTTAACACCTTTTTTTAACGTTTATTTTTTAACTGTCAGGGGTTAAATTTATTTAATTGTTTATTTAAATATTTTTTAATTATTTATTTAGCTAGGGTGAGTGAAAGTTAGTAGGAAATTGGAGGATTCACGGCTAGGCTAGTTAGGGGTTAAATGTAAAAAAACAAAAGTTTTAGTGTGTCAAATAAAAAGGGAAACAATGCTTGTTACAAACCAGCAAAAACATGATCAAAATATGCCTTTTGAAATACCCTGGGGTGTCTTCTTTAAGAAATAGTATGCCTTTATGGGGTAGTTTGAATGAGCAACCTGCTAAAATTCTCTAAAATGGAACACAGGCCCATCAAAAAAACATATATGAAAATTCACACACAAAAATCTGAAATTGTCATGTCTCTTTTACAGCACTGTAACTTCACAAAATAGTGTCTAGGTCATACATTTGGCATTTTGTTTTACTCAGAATATGTAACTGAGCATAACTTGGGGGGAGGGAGGTTTATGACAGTGGCACATATCAAATGTACAAAATACCCAGCAAAAATGCAACATATATGTAAAAAATTAAAAAAAATTTCAACACAAACTTTGACATAAATTGGTGAATACATGGCAGCAAGTTAAGGTACAATATACGTCATATAAGATACCCTTGAGTGCGTGCTTTCTCACGTGGAAGGCCTTTGTTGGGCTATTTGAACAGTGAAAGTGATATAATGCCAAACTGAGACATAGGACCATCAAAGCCATCTATGAAAATTCTAACTGAAATAGCTTGGACTCTTATATGGCATCTTAACTTCACAGATTAGTGGCTAAGTAAAAACTTTTGGTGGTGAAATGGCTATGTAAAAAGTGTCAAAATAACCTTAGGTAAATAGCCTGTGATGTCTACTTTATATAAATCTATACTTTTATGCGGCGATTTTGTTTTCTGTGATGGCTATTAAACTTACAAGACATACCAACTTCTAAAATATTCACAATGAATTTAAAAAAAATTTTTTTGGTATTTTGTGACCGGTAACTTTCAAAATAAGCTGAAATCCTACACATATTATGTACTCTATAAATCAAGACACATAAATGAATTTATTTTGAATGACTTTTCCTAAGCTGGACATATAATGCACACATTAATATTGCCAAAACTGTGGCGGGGGTGGGGGAGAGGGAATTACTTTGTTTTTGTGTAATAAATGAGAATTTATATATGTATATGTCACATCAAATTAAAGCCCCTTTTGTCCTTTAAAAACCAGTATATAATACGTGTTGGTGTAATAAATAACAAAAATGCAAATTGTGGTTGAACACAAACAGGAAAAAAATTAAAAAATTGCTTGTGTCCTTAAGTGTATGTCCAGCTTCAGAAGCTTTGTCCTTAAGGGGTTAAAGTGGAACTGACACCCAGACAATTTGGGTGGCAGTTTGTTTTTAATAGATAAAATTATATTCGATATCCATAATGCACATATGGCATTGGTACAAAATGTGTATATTTATCTATACTTACCTAATAATTTCATCTTGGTTTCTGTTGTAGACTTTGCACACACATTTATGTATCCAACATGCCAATGATATTTGACTGTAATAACCTGTATTCTAGTACACTGTACATATATAACATTATGTGTAAAGTGAACTATAGCAATTTTAGCTACACAAGTCCTTTCTTAGTTATAAATAATTAAAAAGAGAGCGCATGTATTACAAAGTAGAAAACCTATGTAATAGTCTATATATATTTAAAATAAAACTATAAAAAATAGTACCCAATGTACTCAAACAGTAATAGCTGCTAAAACAAAAAGAATATTCCCAATTCCAAAAAACAAATGTAAATAAAAATTTCAGCGCTGAGTAGATAATCCCCTTAGAAATAAAAAAGGTGCATACATATGCAAAAAAAGAAAAAATCAGGCAGAGAAAAGTGTCCAAAATATATAGTTCTGTAACAAAGTCCTATAGTGAGAAAGTCCAGATAACGTTGTGATATGTAGAAACTCAAAAGCATGTAGGAATACCTTGGGAAAAAAGAAACAAAAAAAGATACATAGCGTGATACTGTATCAAAATTTATTGCCCAGAATACAAATGGAAAAAATCCCCCCCAACTTCAAAACTCTTACATTAGATAAAATTTAGTACTCATCATAGTAGAAGTAGCTGATAAAGTTCTTTCAGAGCCGCTCGTGTTTTTTTCCCCAGGGCAGCTCCTCTCCGGTGCACTCAGGAGGGCTGCTTGTGATGTCTTCTATGGAGGAACGCTAACTAAAAGTCCGGCTTCTGTAGATAACTAAAAGTGTCTGCCGCAGATAAATCTTGCAGATAGACAGTAGTGGCACCCTATCAACGCGTTTCGCCCTGCTAACGAGGGCTTTTTCAAGATAGGTGCTCGGAGCATTATTCGGCAGTTTTATACTTGCCGGGTAAAACAAATTCAAATCTCTTAAGGGTATATACCCCTCTTAAAACACATGTAAAAAGAAAAACATATAAAAAAAGCTGCAATTTGTATAAACAAGGACAGAATACTTCCCAACAATAGATATAAAATACTGCACATAAAACACAATTATAAACTACTAAAAAAAAATAATAAATTTATACACAGATCCAAAACATAAAACAGTCACTATAACAGTGATTGCTATATACATGTTTATACATCTCACTCCTGAATATCAATTTCCTAACTCTTATAATATCATGGGTATTACTTGATCATGATGTGTAAATAATAATAATTACATTCTTCACAGATGACCACAGAATATATAAATTTATCAGTAATTTTCATCAAGTTAGAAACCTAATAGCAGATAGTATCTCTAGAACTGTAAAAAGAAGAATGTACTAACTGGTATAGACTTATGGCATAATAAGCTATGTCTAATACAGTAAAAACAAGATAAGGCATCTCATAATAGTATATGTTTCTATATTATAGGAACTCCTAACATATCAATCAAAAATTATATAATTCTCTATAAAATATATATATATAAAATTCTTAATAATATCAGTACTTATAGCAATAGAACAATATAGATCTAGGATTCCCAACCATTTGGGCATATAAACTACTACCTTAATCTGGACACTAAAAAATAGGGCAATTGACTAAATATTGTATATATGATTTACAGCATGGGCCGATATTAATGCTGATCCCATGCTATAGTATATTAGCTAGTTCCAGCTCTGCATTAAGACCCGAGGGGATCAGGGTCTTAAGTGTATAGATCCAAAACATCTCCCGGTATGTTAAGGATTTGCTCAACTCACCTCCTCTCCATGGTACTTCTACCCTTTCTATACCACAATATGAGAGAAGTGTAGGATCTCCATTATGGTGTGTTCTGAAGTGATTGGAGAAGGAATGTTTCTCAAAGCCCCTTTTAATGTTGTAAACGTGCTCTCTAAGTCTAATCTTAAGTGTTCTTTTAGTTTGACCCACGTATTGGAGGCCACAAGGGCACTCCAACTTGTAGATAACTTGTTTGGTATTACATGTGATACAACTCTTAATGTTAAACATTTCTTTTGTAATCGAGGACTGAAAGGTGGAATAATTTTTCCCTCTAGAGCTTAACTTGCATATATTGCAATTTCCACATTTATAGAATCCTTTTTGGCCAGTCAAAAAATGGTTGGGTCCTATAGGCTTATTATAACTATGTACCAGCCTGTCTTGCAGAGTGGGAGCCCCCCTAAAAATTACCGTTGGTTGTATAGGTAAAAGTGTAGCTAAAGCCGGATCCTGCCGAAGCAAATGCCAATGTTTTTGTATGCTTGTTTTTATGCAATTTGCTTGTGTGCTATAGTTAAACACCAGAGGACACAAATTTTCTATGTCTTTATCTGTTTTAACTTTCTCTTGTTTGGTTTGTAACAGGGTTGCTCGTTCTATATTTTTCACTTTCTGGAGAGCTATCTCCAGTGTTTTCTCATTGTAATCCTTTTCCATAAATTGTTGTTTGACCTTTTGTGATTGTAGTTCATACACCTCTGGATCTGTGCAATTTTTTTTAACCCTTAAAAATTGACCAAATGGGATACTCGATAGCCACGATGGATAATGGCAACTCGAGGTCCAAATGTAACTATTAACGTCTACACTTTTAAAAAAAGTCTTAGACTTCAAGGTACAATGTGGATCAATATAAAGAACCAAATCTAAGAAATCTATCTCCGTGGAACTGTACTTGTATGTAAATGATAGATTATATGTATTGGTATTAATGTATGCTAAAAATTCAATGAGGTCTGCCTCCTTCCCCTTCCACACAAAAAAGCAGTCATCGATGTACCGTCTATAGAAGACCAGGTTCGCTCCCCACTGGTATCCCTGCCAAACAAACTGATTTTCCCAGTGAGCCATAAAAATATTGGCGTAACTGGGAGCGAACCTGGTCCCCATAGCGGTACCGTTGGTTTGAAGATATATATCGCTGCCATACCAAAAAAAATTGTTGTTGAGTATAAAATCAATACATTCAATTAAAAATTCTACTTGTTCCACTAACATGGTAGGTTCCTCATACAGAATTTTTCTTATTGCCTTTAGTCCCAATTCATGTTTAATTACAGTGTACAATGATGTAACATCACAGGTTACCATTAACCAATCTTGTTCCCATTTTAAACCTTCTATACTTCTTAAAAGATCTCCACTATCTTTTAAGTATGACCTTGCTTTTTTAACAAAAGGTTGTAATATAACGTCAATATACTGGGATAGATTACATGTGAGAGATCCTATCCCAGAGATAATGGGCCTACCTGGAGGATTTGAGAGGCTTTTATGTATCTTCGGTAACTGGTAAAATACTGTTTTTTTGGGATATATAACCATAACAAACTCCAGCTCTTTTTTAGTTAATATATTCAAAAACTTTCCCCTCTCCAGTATACTGAATAGACGTAGTTTAGTATCTGGTGTGGGGTCCCCCTTGATCAGTTTGTACGTAAGGGGATCATTTAGGATTCTCTTACATTCGGTATTGTAGTCCTTAGTGTTTAGGACCACAATTCCCCCTCCCTTATCTGCCGGTTTAATTGTGATCTCAGTATTATCGCTAAGTTCCTTAAGTGCTGTACGTTCCCATACACTCAAATTTTGTTTGTGTTTCGCTATTTTCTTAGGTAACTTTTCTATGTCTGCAGTTACTGCCAGATTAAAGGCCGACATAGGGCCACTAATTTGGTTCAGCGGATAAAAGGTTGAATTATTCCTTAGAGTTGTATGGTGAAAGGTACTATACTCTAATTTTGGTGCCATATGGACCGGGTTGTTTAAAAAAAATTTTTTTAGGGTCAATTTTCTCATGTATTTTTGCACATCTAAGAATGCTGTAAATGAATCTGATTTCACCGTGGGAGCATATTTTAGTCCCTTGTTAAGCACTTTAATTTGGTTTTTAGTTAAATTAACCTCAGACAAATTAAAAATTCCTATTTGTTCTACTTTCTCATTTTCTTTTCTCCTACGATATCTCTTCCCCCCCCTGCATCCTCTAAAAGAGGTCTCTTTCTGGTGCTGGGTTTTGGAGGCTCTGGTTGGTACCGATTGAAGTATTGGCTTCGTGGTCCTAAAAAATCGTTCGAAGATTGTTGAGTTTCTTTTCTATTTTCTTTTTCAGCTATATTATTCGCCTCCTCTGTACGGAGTGTCTCAAACCTATTACGTGGGCGCCAACTATGGTTATGATGTTTAACCCTAGGTGTTGTGTCACCTTGGCTGCCCTGTGGTCTATAGGGATTCCTTCTTTTATTATAAGTGATAGTGGTCCAGTCACCGTTCCCAGCCTTCTTTGGAGTATATTGTCTCAACTTGAGATCTCCCCTTTCAGTCTGGTTGTAGCCTGACATATTATCTGGAGCATGGGCATTTTTATAATATCCAGAATTCCTAGGGGCATTGTATTTCTTACCCCTAGGTATGGATTTATAGGGTCTCTCATTGTGAGTTCTCTTATAGTTTCTCACTTTATTGTCCCTAAAATCCTCTTGGTCCCTATCAAATTTACGTTTTTTTAAGGACACAGTTTCTTCAAATACAGAACTTAATTTTCCCTTTATTTTTTCCATAAGTTGTATACATTCTGGCAGTGCCAGATGGGGAGAAAGAATTTCTTTTATATTATTGATCTCCTCATCTAGGACTGCTAGCATACGTTTCCGTTTGCAAATAATATGGCTCATAAGCTCAAAAGAGCAATGATCCAAAATTCTGATAAATTTATATATTCTGTGGTCATCTGTGAAGAATGTAATTATTATTATTTACACATCATGATCAAGTAATACCCATGATATTATAAGAGTTAGGAAATTGATATTCAGGAGTGAGATGTATAAACATGTATATAGCAATCACTGTTATAGTGACTGTTTTATGTTTTGGATCTGTGTATAAATGTATTATTATTTTTTTAGTAGTTTATAATTGTGTTTTATGTGCAGTATTTTATATCTATTGTTGGGAAGTATTCTGTCCTTGTTTATACAAATTGCAGCTTTTTTTATATGTTTTTCTTTTTACATGTGTTTTAAGAGGGGTATATACCCTTAAGAGATTTGAATTTGTTTTACCCGGCAAGTATAAAACTGCCGAATAATGCTCCGAGCACCTATCTTGAAAAAGCCCTCGTTAGCAGGGCGATACGCGTTGATAGGGTGCCACTACTGTCTATCTGCGGCAGACACTTTTAGTTATCTACAGAAGCCGGACTTTTAGTTAGCGTTCCTCCATAGAAGACATCACAAGCAGCCCTCCTGAGTGCACCGGAGAGGAGCTGCCCTGGGGAAAAAAACACGAGCGGCTCTGAAAGAACTTTATCAGCTACTTCTACTATGATGAGTACTAAATTTTATCTAATGTAAGAGTTTTGAAGTTGGGGGGGATTTTTTCCATTTGTATTCTGGGCAATAAATTTTGATACAGTATCACGCTATGTATCTTTTTTTGTTTCTTTTTTCCCAAGGTATTCCTACATGCTTTTGAGTTTCTACATATCACAACGTTATCTGGACTTTCTCACTATAGGACTTTGTTACAGAACTATATATTTTGGACACTTTTCTCTGCCTGATTTTTTCTTTTTTTGCATATGTATGCACCTTTTTTATTTCTAAGGGGATTATCTACTCAGCGCTGAAATTTTTATTTACATTTGTTTTTTGGAATTGGGAATATTCTTTTTGTTTTAGCAGCTATTACTGTTTGAGTACATTGGGTACTATTTTTTATAGTTTTATTTTAAATATATATAGACTATTACATAGGTTTTCTACTTTGTAATACATGCGCTCTCTTTTTAATTATTTATATCGTATTTTGTATTTTCCCGTATAAGAGTAGCAGCACATTACAATAATATGTCCCTGTTCACGTTTAGAGAACAGTGCAAGATTGACCTTGCTTTAAAAAATGACCATAACGAACATGTTATGGTAAAGGATACACACTGGAGAAAACAGGTGTTCCAACTTGAGAAGTTGATTATTAAGGAAATGAAATTAAAATTAGAAATAGCCTCCCTAGAACAATATTGGGAGAGACGCATCATTCCGAGAGGTTTGCGTATAATGTTAAAATCCGCTACGGATAAAGAGGATGATGATTTTAACATTGTCTGGGATAGAATTTTGGATCATTGCTCTTTTGAGCTTATGAGCCATATTATTTGCAAACGGAAACGTATGCTAGCAGTCCTAGATGAGGAGATCAATAATATAAAAGAAATTCTTTCTCCCCATCTGGCACTGCCAGAATGTATACAACTTATGGAAAAAATAAAGGGAAAATTAAGTTCTGTATTTGAAGAAACTGTGTCCTTAAAAAAACGTAAATTTGATAGGGACCAAGAGGATTTTAGGGACAATAAAGTGAGAAACTATAAGAGAACTCACAATGAGAGACCCTATAAATCCATACCTAGGGGTAAGAAATACAATGCCCCTAGGAATTCTGGATATTATAAAAATGCCCATGCTCCGGATAATATGTCAGGCTACAACCAGACTGAAAGGGGAGATCTCAAGTTGAGACAATATACTCCAAAGAAGGCTGGGAACGGTGACTGGACCACTATCACTTATAATAAAAGAAGGAATCCCTATAGACCACAGGGCAGCCAAGGTGACACAACACCTAGGGTTAAACATCATAACCATAGTTGGCGCCCACGTAATAGGTTTGAGACACTCCGTACAGAGGAGGCGAATAATATAGCTGAAAAAGAAAATAGAAAAGAAACTCAACAATCTTCGAACGATTTTTTAGGACCACGAAGCCAATACTTCAATCGGTACCAACCAGAGCCTCCAAAACCCAGCACCAGAAAGAGACCTCTTTTAGAGGATGCAGGGGGGGGAAGAGATATCGTAGGAGAAAAGAAAATGAGAAAGTAGAACAAATAGGAATTTTTAATTTGTCTGAGGTTAATTTAACTAAAAACCAAATTAAAGTGCTTAACAAGGGACTAAAATATGCTCCCACGGTGAAATCAGATTCATTTACAGCATTCTTAGATGTGCAAAAATACATGAGAAAATTGACCCTAAAAAAATTTTTTTTAAACAACCCGGTCCATATGGCACCAAAATTAGAGTATAGTACCTTTCACCATACAACTCTAAGGAATAATTCAACCTTTTATCCGCTGAACCAAATTAGTGGCCCTATGTCGGCCTTTAATCTGGCAGTAACTGCAGACATAGAAAAGTTACCTAAGAAAATAGCGAAACACAAACAAAATTTGAGTGTATGGGAACGTACAGCACTTAAGGAACTTAGCGATAATACTGAGATCACAATTAAACCGGCAGATAAGGGAGGGGGAATTGTGGTCCTAAACACTAAGGACTACAATACCGAATGTAAGAGAATCCTAAATGATCCCCTTACGTACAAACTGATCAAGGGGGACCCCACACCAGATACTAAACTACGTCTATTCAGTATACTGGAGAGGGGAAAGTTTTTGAATATATTAACTAAAAAAGAGCTGGAGTTTGTTATGGTTATATATCCCAAAAAAACAGTATTTTACCAGTTACCGAAGATACATAAAAGCCTCTCAAATCCTCCAGGTAGGCCCATTATCTCTGGGATAGGATCTCTCACATGTAATCTATCCCAGTATATTGACGTTATATTACAACCTTTTGTTAAAAAAGCAAGGTCATACTTAAAAGATAGTGGAGATCTTTTAAGAAGTATAGAAGGTTTAAAATGGGAACAAGATTGGTTAATGGTAACCTGTGATGTTACATCATTGTACACTGTAATTAAACATGAATTGGGACTAAAGGCAATAAGAAAAATTCTGTATGAGGAACCTACCATGTTAGTGGAACAAGTAGAATTTTTAATTGAATGTATTGATTTTATACTCAACAACAATTTTTTTTGGTATGGCAGCGATATATATCTTCAAACCAACGGTACCGCTATGGGGACCAGGTTCGCTCCCAGTTACGCCAATATTTTTATGGCTCACTGGGAAAATCAGTTTGTTTGGCAGGGATACCAGTGGGGAGCGAACCTGGTCTTCTATAGACGGTACATCGATGACTGCTTTTTTGTGTGGAAGGGGAAGGAGGCAGACCTCATTGAATTTTTAGCATACATTAATACCAATACATATAATCTATCATTTACATACAAGTACAGTTCCACGGAGATAGATTTCTTAGATTTGGTTCTTTATATTGATCCACATTGTACCTTGAAGTCTAAGACTTTTTTTAAAAGTGTAGACGTTAATAGTTACATTTGGACCTCGAGTTGCCATTATCCATCGTGGCTATCGAGTATCCCATTTGGTCAATTTTTAAGGGTTAAAAAAAATTGCACAGATCCAGAGGTGTATGAACTACAATCACAAAAGGTCAAACAACAATTTATGGAAAAGGATTACAATGAGAAAACACTGGAGATAGCTCTCCAGAAAGTGAAAAATATAGAACGAGCAACCCTGTTACAAACCAAACAAGAGAAAGTTAAAACAGATAAAGACATAGAAAATTTGTGTCCTCTGGTGTTTAACTATAGCACACAAGCAAATTGCATAAAAACAAGCATACAAAAACATTGGCATTTGCTTCGGCAGGATCCGGCTTTAGCTACACTTTTACCTATACAACCAACGGTAATTTTTAGGGGGGCTCCCACTCTGCAAGACAGGCTGGTACATAGTTATAATAAGCCTATAGGACCCAACCATTTTTTGACTGGCCAAAAAGGATTCTATAAATGTGGAAATTGCAATATATGCAAGTTAAGCTCTAGAGGGAAAAATTATTCCACCTTTCAGTCCTCGATTACAAAAGAAATGTTTAACATTAAGAGTTGTATCACATGTAATACCAAACAAGTTATCTACAAGTTGGAGTGCCCTTGTGGCCTCCAATACGTGGGTCAAACTAAAAGAACACTTAAGATTAGACTTAGAGAGCACGTTTACAACATTAAAAGGGGCTTTGAGAAACATTCCTTCTCCAATCACTTCAGAACACACCATAATGGAGATCCTACACTTCTCTCATATTGTGGTATAGAAAGGGTAGAAGTACCATGGAGAGGAGGTGAGTTGAGCAAATCCTTAACATACCGGGAGATGTTTTGGATCTATACACTTAAGACCCTGATCCCCTCGGGTCTTAATGCAGAGCTGGAACTAGCTAATATACTATAGCATGGGATCAGCATTAATATCGGCCCATGCTGTAAATCATATATACAATATTTAGTCAATTGCCCTATTTTTTAGTGTCCAGATTAAGGTAGTAGTTTATATGCCCAAATGGTTGGGAATCCTAGATCTATATTGTTCTATTGCTATAAGTACTGATATTATTAAGAATTTTATATATATATATTTTATAGAGAATTATATAATTTTTGATTGATATGTTAGGAGTTCCTATAATATAGAAACATATACTATTATGAGATGCCTTATCTTGTTTTTACTGTATTAGACATAGCTTATTATGCCATAAGTCTATACCAGTTAGTACATTCTTCTTTTTACAGTTCTAGAGATACTATCTGCTATTAGGTTTCTAACTTGATGAAAATTACTGATAAATTTATATATTCTGTGGTCATCTGTGAAGAATGTAATTATTATTATTTACACATCATGATCAAGTAATACCCATGATATTATAAGAGTTAGGAAATTGATATTCAGGAGTGAGATGTATAAACATGTATATAGCAATCACTGTTATAGTGACTGTTTTATGTTTTGGATCTGTGTATAAATTTATTATTTTTTTAGTAGTTTATAATTGTGTTTTATGTGCAGTATTTTATATCTATTGTTGGGAAGTATTCTGTCCTTGTTTATACAAATTGCAGCTTTTTTTATATGTTTTTCTTTTTACATGTGTTTTAAGAGGGGTATATACCCTTAAGAGATTTGAATTTGTTTTACCCGGCAAGTATAAAACTGCCGAATAATGCTCCGAGCACCTATCTTGAAAAAGCCCTCGTTAGCAGGGCGAAACGCGTTGATAGGGTGCCACTACTGTCTATCTGCAAGATTTATCTGCGGCAGACACTTTTAGTTATCTACAGAAGCCGGACTTTCAGTTAGCGTTCCTCCATAGAAGACATCACAAGCAGCCCTCCTGAGTGCACCGGAGAGGAGCTGCCCCGGGGGAAAAACACGAGCGGCTCTGAAAGAACTTTATCAGCTACTTCTACTATGATGAGTACTAAATTTTATCTAATGTAAGAGTTTTGAAGTTGGGGGGGATTTTTTCCATTTGTATTCTGGGCAATAAATTTTGATACAGTATCACGCTATGTATCTTTTTTTGTTTCTTTTTTCCCAAGGTATTCCTACATGCTTTTGAGTTTCTACATATCACAACGTTATCTGGACTTTCTCACTATAGGACTTTGTTACAGAACTATATATTTTGGACACTTTTCTCTGCCTGATTTTTTCTTTTTTTGCATATGTATGCACCTTTTTTATTTCTAAGGGGATTATCTACTCAGCGCTGAAATTTTTATTTACCTTTCTTAGTTATGCTGCATTTTTAAACTAGGCAAATACAATACAATGACCCTGCTTGAATGACTTCTGTTCAAATCAGCTTCACCACAGTACATAGCTGGCTTATAGGTCATCACTTGGCTGCAGCAACAAAGGTTAAATGCGTTACAAATAACCTTGCTCTTTTTTTATTTTTTATTTTTTATACAGAGGATGTCCAGCTTTGTAAAGGTCTAATGAATTTTATGTTTAGCCTCCATGCCCTCTACAAGAGTCCAGTGAGTGTGCTTCGCGAACTCTGCCAGGATATTCATGGGCACCTTGGGGATATTGATCCGGTAGGGGTGCACTTTCTGCATTTATGAGTTTACATTTTGTGTCCAGTCATTTGTTCAAAAAACAAAGACAAACAAATCAATAAACATGCAAAAATGTTCACTGCTTATGTACTTAAAGTTTTCATAAACATTATTTATGTTATCAAAGTAATGTTCAGTTTCTCGCTTTAATTTATCTTTAATTGTATCTAAATTGTGATGGAAATATTAAGGTCTATTATCTATCTGCTATCCGGGAAAGCCAACATTAAAAAGAGTTTAAACTAATCTATGTAGGAATATCCCCAGTCACCATATCGTTGCTTATTCCTGCAGATTATACTGTTATATTTAAGACAGTAAAAAGTGTATTGTGAGGCACACAAACATGGCTACTTTTTTGTATTTATAGATGGGAAATGTGGCAATTTGTTTCTTGATAGGTAATGAAAAATAGATGCAGTAATATACAAACAAAATAAAAGTATTTTTTAATTAATTTCCCTATTTCTTATAGTTCCATTAATGGAACACTCCATTGAAAATGCCTTTATTTAACAATTTAGTAGATGTACCCCAAAAGAAAACATACATGTAATTTTTTACTTCATATTCATATGAAAAAAAAACACTTCCAACAGCTGCATATCTTAGCAAGCTCTTTCCTTCTTCCCAAATATTGAGGAGCCGTTAAGCGCACATATGTGATCATGGCTTTCCTATGCTTGTCAATGAGCTAAAATACAAGTCAATGAGAAGGTGCTAAAACAACACCACTACTGATCAAAGCCTGGTGTCAGCTTGAATTTTATTTAGTGTTTGTTAATGAACAGCTGGGTATAATCTTTCATGTTTAACTTCTCAATCTTATCCTTCTATAACTCTGTACATCCTTCAATTATCTTCTTCCTGTTTCCTGTGACTCTTAAATTAGCCTAAAATGAGACCTATACACTCTAAGTATGCAATGCTTAGCTTTTCAATGTATGAGTATAAGCTACATTCAAAGCTATCTTGTACCTGTTACATGATTGTTCTATGTCTATGCATCCCTGCTACTATTGCTGTACAAGCCTGTATTTACACCTTGTGTCTCAATAAAAAAGTGACAAAAAAATAAAACATGAGAAGGGGCTAAGGCTGGCGTGATCAAGCATAGTGCACCTGCCACTTTCCTTAGCTCTGTAGAGCTAACCGAAATAGAAGAAAACCTCTCTGGCTGTCTGCCCCCCAATTATAAATGTGCCAATTGATATTGAAATCTGCAATATTTTAAACTGTCACATTTATGACACACTCCAGACAGAGAATTTCAGCAACATGACGTGCTTCATGCGTTTGGAGTGTTCCTTTACAATGAGATGTCCATGTATGAACAGAACACCTGTCTTCTTCTTGATGATGCATATGGCTTTTTAACTTTGGTAACAATTTCAGGATATAATTTGTTTTAGTATTTATTATATCTGCTCCAAATTCACACAGACAACAAAAGGGATTTACAGGCACCTGTCAAACACAATATACTCTTTATTAACTCACGTAATAAGATACTGTAAAAATAAACTGGTGCTATAAACCTCCCTAATTAAATCTTGTAATGTATTGGTATTTCAACAGGATATAGAAGTGGAGACACAATCACATTTTGCAATTGTTAATAAGAAGACTGCAGCCCCAACTGTCACTGTAAGTATCATCTCATAAAGAGCCACGTAAAAAAAATGCCTTCTAGAAAGAAATTGACCTGTTTCTGATTCTCTCTTCCCTCTGGTTCTCTATTATTCTAATCATGTATATAAACTACTGATGAGAAACATGGTACTAATCAGTTAGTAACTGTGACATTTTTGTTAAAGAATGGTAACCTATATATTTAATGTTAAACACATTATGCAGTTAATACCAGTGTGTACTAACTCAATTGCCTATTTCAGGGGTAGGAAAACTTCTGGTAGTGCTGTTCCGAATGAAAGTTTTGAAGTCCCTTAGTAAATTGGCTTTATTTTTTATGGTAATGTTTGTGGTGGCTGCTCTGTGAGTTTTGATGTGTTTTATGGGTTATGTTCATGTATGTGGCTTTTTTTGGTATTGTGTATGTGGGCTGCTTGTTGAGTTTATTAGTTCTGTGTATGTGTGTGTGTGTTATGTTTTGGTGGTGTTTGTATATATGTAAAATCTTTGTAGTATAGTGTGAGTTTATGTGTACTGCCTGTTGTGTTATATATATGTGTGTGGGGTGCCTTTTAGTGTATCCCTCTGTAGATTGTATGTGGGGGAGGTGTGTGCAGGGATCTTTATTTATGCAGGAAATATAATCTCTAAGGGAAACAAAAAGTTATTTAAGTTGTTTTATGCCTCACTCCCTCTTGACACCAAGGGGGCATGAATCCTAGTTGTTACTGAATGTTGCAGTGGTTGCAGCTTGTGTTCATCTTCTGTGCATGCAAACCACTCATAATGGTGAGATCACATTATCTCCCGACCTGGCCTATTTGGGTTTGACAGCCTTGTGTTTCATGCAAAGGCACCCCGACCAACGGTACTTGGGCTTCGATTTATCACCTTATATTTCATGGCAACACGTTTGTCTTTCTCATTGATTAGTCTGATGAATTGGTTGACCTTCATTTTTGTTTGCTCATAATTTATTTTTATACACAGCTGCTGGTTTTAGGTCAAGCTGCAAAAGTGCTGGATGAGGTGGAATGGCTAATCACAAAACTGAAAGGACAACTCGGCTCAGAAAAGATGGTCTGTAAGTGCAGGAACAGATTTTGACTTATTCTCTTATGTAGTATTATATGGATCTCTGAGTACTGTTTTTTTTTTTCCTCTTTTAAAAAGAAATAAAAATATAGATATATACACGCGCATTTGAAAAAAGAAAGGACCACCCCTTACACAATATATCCTTTGGGATTACTGGCAGTCTATAAGGGGAATAACCCTAGTTGAGTACTTAGAAAATTAGAGAAAGGGAGACACACTAAGTGTGAATCCTATTACAATACCATTTATTTTAAATCACTTATCAAGAACAGAACATAGTACTTTATTATTAAAAAAACAAAAATAAAAAATACACACAAAAAACAATAGTGTAAAGTGTCACACCAAAGTGATTAAGTGAAAAAGAACCATGTGGTTCATGAACCGGTTTATAGGATGTTTCTTTCAATTTCTTTAGTGTTTACCTCAGTTGCAAATCTGCAATATAGCAATTCAGTATATCCATTAAATACAAATTATATAATATTGCTGAAGTGAATAACACTTATATTCTATATAGAAGCAAATCCTATTTTTAATATGCAAACGAGAGCACACTCTCAAATCAATTTAAATATAGCTTAAGTAGTTGAAATGTATTAGATGAATTTGGAGGGCTAGAAATATACACGCACATACAAAGTGGTCTCCCTAAAAAAAAAAATTAAAAAAAAAATGGCCATTAAGCATATCTGCAGTCCAGCGCTGAGATACTTTCCTCACTGCGGGTCTATTCTACTATAAACCCCTTAATTCTGATGATCATTTCCCAGTTAGAAGCCTGAAGGACATACTGTGCATGTGTATCCTCTTTATTATTTTATTAGAGTGCTCATTTAATGTTTTATTGACTTGTATAAAATTAGAATTCTATTGGTAGGTGGAATACAGTTAGTTTTAGAAATGTTACCATTTATGTTGACAACATACTTGGACATTTAAAGTACTTGTAATATTTGTGTAAAGTGTATTTCTGTTTTAGCGGATGGTGCCTCTCAGACAGTAAATCCCAGAGAACCGGTTGAAAAGGCCATTATTCTTCAGTTGGGAACATTACTGACTGCGTGTCATGAGTTGGTCCAGACTGCTCTGCCCTTCGGAAGCTGTACTGATACGTTGCTGAAGGAGCTGGCAAAGATGTACACCATCTTAACATCTCTCATCAAATATGTGAGTGGTGCCCTTTATATAGTGAAATTAACTGCAGATTTTCATTTTTCACCTTGGCTAGTAGAGTGCTCAATGAGAAAATGGTTTAGAACTTCTACAAATTCTGCAGAGAAACAGGATGTTTTGTATGTGTAAACAGCAAGTTTAAATCGGTATGCGTGGCACATACCATAAGTACCAGTACAACAGTGATTCTAATCAGCATTTTGATTGTGACAAAAGGATTTTGCTTATACTCTGCCTCAAATGCTTCCATGCCTGTTTGTTTTTCCTTTTTAGTATTTGCAAGTTTACAGCACTCATTCAGGGTCTATTCCACCTCGCTTGGAAAAGCTGGTAAGTTCATTATTGCTGTATTAAGAATAACATGTTTTTTTTTTTTTTCATCTTGGCCATTGAAATATTACTCTGCTGTTTAATTTTGGCAGGTTAAACTTTCAGGGTCTCATCTGACCCCGCAGTGCTACGCCTTCATCACATACGTACAGGTAAGCATACCTTTCAATACTCTCAATTCAAGTGTATGTTCTATTTTTCTATGGGCAATATCTGCCCTTTTTTGTTTTATTTATGAAGTATTGAGTGCTTATTCTCTGTGAAAATATTTGATAAAGATTGTCCAAAGGGGAGGAAAAAAATCACATGTACAGGTAAAACCTGCATTGTAAAATATACCATTTAACAAAATATACGTGTCTCTCTGATTGTAGTGGATAGGAGAAAAATAATCCCTTTACTAGGATTTTAGTTTTTAACGCTTGTTTTTGCCTTTATCATTTAGGAGTAAAGCTAGTTATATAAGAATGAAATAGAATGCATAGTTATATTAGAATTTGTTACATTATAATTAATTAATTCAACATTGAAACAAAAAGCAGCTAATTGGCAGTTCTTTCATTGTTTTTCTCTATTTTCTTTTTACATAAATAGAATAGCCAGAATGAAAGTTTGAGCGCTGCTGGAGAAAAGAAGAAAAAGAAGGAAGATGCCACTGCTGTCACTACGGTATATGTCTTAGATGGGGTTTGCAGTAAATCACTGTGAGGGACGGAATACTAAATTTATATTGCACATGATCGGCAACATAGCAGTTGTTAAAGGACCACTATAGTGCCCTGAGGGTTCCCCCACCCTCAATCCCACTCCCGCCAGGCTGGATGTGAAGGAAAGGGGTTAAACTTACCTTTTTAACAGCGCCGGGCGGGGAGCTCTCCTCCTCTTTTCCGCCTTCGATCCTCCTCTTTGGCTGAATGCGCATGCGCGGCAGGAGCTGCGCGCGCATTCAGTCTGTCTCATAGGAAAGCATTCATAATGCTTTCCTATGGACGCTGGTGTCTTCTCACTGTGATTTTTCACAGTTAGAAGCACGCAAACGCCTCTAGCGGCTGTCAACAAGACAGCCACTAGAGGCTTTAGAGGCTGGATTAACCCATTTATAAACATAGCAGTTTCTCTGAAACAGCTATGTTTATAAAATAAAAAAAGGGTTAATCCTAGAGGGACCTGGCACCCAGACCAATTCATTAAGCTGAAGTGGTCTGGGTGCCTAGAGTGGTCCTTTAAAATAGCAAAATAGACAAACCATGTGGGCTCAACACACAGGTAGCGTTACTAGTTGGGCCATCCTCCAAATGTTCTTTGACACATTCACTAAAATGAACTTGCTGTGACACATACATAAAAAATAAGAATACTAACCAGATTAGCTGGGCCATGTCACCTGCAAAGTGATTTCAGAATTCTTACACTTGCCAACAGCATCAACCGTTTCCTAGACGCCATGCTTATATACTAAACAGTACATCACTTATTTACCTTCTAGTACAAATGGATGTAGGAACTATTTCAAATTCTTCTCAAGTAGACCCTGCACCTATTTCTCATTTTATTTTTTAAAAGACTGGCTGGATATGTGGCACATCCATCCATAGTGGAGAGACAGCATTTGAAATATGCAAAAGAAACAAAAATGATTATCCATTGTTTACTGTAAAAATTCAGCAACCAGAGCAGGATTTAATTTTTCTGCCAATAATGGTCCTCCCTTTGGTTTCAGTGAAAGCTCTGTGTGTGGCTAACCCTCTATCCAGTAGATGAAACTACTCAAAGTTGTACATGCTAACTTAAATAAAACCATGAAGGATCCTGTTGCGAAAGTAACCTCGCCATGGGCTCTTGGAGGGGCATACTGGCCAGCCTCTTGCCAAAAGACTGAGCCCTTTAAAAACGTATGTGATTTATGTACTTTTGTACTCCAGAAAGAGAGACAGACCGTTGGCCCTGATTCTCTAAAACTGTTTTGGCCAGTCAAATCTATGACTTCCATGGAAATCCCAAACCTCTGAACCGATCTGGGTGATTTTTGGATATGTTGATCCCCCAGATTGGGGCTATTGGGGGATGTGACTTTTGAGGGGTTTCCATGTGTTTTGGGGGTACTTACTGGAGGAACTACAAGCCTCTCTTTAAATAGACATTTAAGTACCTTTTGTAAAGATCATGGTGTAAACAGGGTTAAATCCCTGCTCAGATCACTAGCCCAAGGTATCAATGGATATCTAGGGCCATTTTTAGTGCCACTATAGGCTTGATACAGCCCTTTAACTCCTTTCATAAAACTGTAACTGACTGTCCTTAGACGTGGATTTTCTGAGTTGCAGGCCGCTTTGCCGATTGTGACCTTAGCTGGGCTTTGCCAGCATCAATCTCTGTGTAATCGGATGGGACAGAGGGCTTAATTTATGACACTGAGTGTAATCATGAAATGGCCAGTAGACAGCGGTCACAGACCACTATCTACTAAGTTAAATAGTAAAAGCTTGTTTTTTATTTTTTTGTATCAGAATTGATATTAGCAGTGGGTTACAGCTATGGTAGTGTTAAGGTTAGTTTTAGGATTAAGAATAGGGTAGGGTTAGAATTGGGGTAATGTAAGGGTTAATGCTGTTTAGGGATAGTGTAAGGTTGTTAGGAATATGGTTAGTGTAAGCATTGTGTAAGGGATATGGTTGATATAGCGTTAGTGTTGGGGGATTGGTATAGGGTTAGTGTTCACTATCACAATTTAATATAAATCCTAGACATATTTAACTATCAGGAATAGTATATGAATCTATTTTAAGTTGCACTGGACGTGTAAAGATTATTAGAAGCAAAAACTTGTAAAAAATGGGGGGGAGGTGCATTTTTACATTTTATTCACACATGTTTGTGTGTATACATATAGAATACTAAATGAAAGCCCTCTGGGGTCACATGAAGAAAAACCCTTAATTTATGATGGAACAAACCTAGAGCTCAAATTCAAGGGTTTGTTTTGATTCAGAATGTGGACAACTGACTCACTCCTTAACAGAAAATAAATCTGTGTATATTTTTTCAATGTTTAACTAAGCTTTCTTTGTTTCCTAGGCTAAAATCCTTCGGGACACCAAACCAATCCCAAACTTGATTTTTGCAATTGAACAGTATGAAAAATTCCTCATCCATTTGTCTAAAAAGTCCAAGGTATATTTACATTTTCATTAATTTTGTAATGTACTGGTTATGGGCACTAACTTTCCATTTTTTACAGTCTTGCTTGGATTTCTCTTTCATCTTCAGGTAAATTTGATGCAGTATATGAAGCTGAGCACCTCAAGAGATTTTAGAATCAATGCATCTGCCTTACAAGAAAAGGAGCCGGAGGATGAAGAGAATGAACCAAACAATGAACAGGTACGTTTTTTGTAATCTAGGGTCTCTTAAGCATCTGCAAAATAACTTACATCTCATGTTCGTTAGAGATCTCTCCAGGCTTTGCCTGTATTTATTTAATACTCATACTGTGTAATATTTAAATATCACAAGGCAAATAGAAAACTCATATACACAGTCCTAAATGATTGTTTCTGCAACATTTCACAATAGCTTGCAAAACATGGCACTTCATTTCTTGCCCATGGCAACATTCTGCTAATTTTAGTTTGGGCCTAAACTATAGGCAAGTGTGGAATGCTTGATGCATTCATTTTTTGCCATTTTCATATAAAAATTGCATACTTGCACGAGGTTTTTTTTTTTTTTTTTTAATTGGAATCTTAGAAATATATAAATCTCAGAATATGCATTGGAAATTCATTGCAGTTAAAAGATATCAGAAGATAACGTAGGGACTATGACTTTTTTTGGCAAAAATTGAAGCTTCCATGTGTTTCATGTTGCAAGTGACAGGCGTCTGTTTGTGCAATGCATGCCATAGTTTGTATGCTAATGTAGGTATAAATATACACCCGTAAAGCAGGACATGGTGGATTCATTTGGCAGATAAGTAGAACAAGAAAATAGAGGATGGAGAACTTCTGGTAAATATCTCTCTTCCATCTCGTTGCCACCAAACAATAGGAACTGTCAACAGTCAAGCTAACAGTACTACCTTAATTTTAGTTTGAGTTTTTAATCTATAAAACAAAACCAAAGTCATATTATGAAGTCCTATAAATGTGTGGCTTTATTTCATTTAGATCCCAAAGAGCTGTTTTGTGCCAAGATGTTAGCGGGACATTGTTTTGTAAATCCTGAGTGATGCTGCAGTTTGTGCACATTTACCATAGTTAATAGAATTGATCAGAGCTGGTGTATTTTTTATTTGCTTCACGAAATGCAGATATTACATGCCATAATATTGCAGAATTTAGATGCTTATTTTTTTATTTTAAATATTTTCCAATGTATCATTTTTATTGAAAGGCAAATTGGTGGAACTACAGCATGATGTAACAGAACATTCACACATGTACAGAAATTAACAGGCACAAAACTGCACATGGTCATTCTAATCTATGTAGTGCTTTCTTCTTGCCCCATAACTTTACACTATATATTAATGTAAGACAATACTGGCTGTCATACCTAATTTTTTTTTTTTTTTAGTCTGTAGCAGAGGAGGTTGAAAGTCAAGAACCCAAAAAGAAGAGAAGAAAAAGGAAGTAGTTTAAAGTATATCCACCCAATTCCACAGCACTAAGTGTATACTTTTTGACGTTATAAATGTTATTTACATGGATTCTAGAATTGAATCATTTTGTATATTCTTTTACTTCTGAACAAAGGTGAAGTAGGAGGGATTACTTGAGCTAATGTTAACACAGATGCTTTGACCAGTTTTGATGGATGGACAACTCCATGGGAGTCAAGAATGATCCAGACTTCAAGATCTTGTTTTGTTACCCTTTTGACAGTATACCCTTGGTTATTTTAATTATCTTATAGATATCCAATGCTTCACCTGCAAAAAAAAAAAGCTATTTTTAAATATGATTTGAATGTATTCTATTAAGAGCTGTAGATTATGATGTACAGCCATAGATGTGTATTCTGAAAAAGTGCAATGTAAATGTGTACATCTTCACAATAGATAAGAATGTTGCTATGTCATTTTGTCCTTTCTCAGCATAGCTTTGACAAACAGTTTGAACTATTTCAGAAAGATACAACACATCTAAAAAAAATTTACAGTAAGCCAACGTATAGCATGTTGTACAGTGTTTGTATACCTGACCTTTTAAAATGTATGAAAAATTTTTCACTCCCTGTAAAGGGCACTTTGTTTGGTGTCTTCACACACACCATGTCTTATATTAGATATGGATGTAGGGATCTTAAGGCAATATAATATATTTGTGAGAAGGCACACCTTGCATTATTTAAGTCCCATAAAATTAGGGGCCAGGGCTGTGCACTTAGAATGTCTGAGTTTCTCCCACAACGGGTACTTATGGGGGAGGAGGGATGGGTAATAGAGTGGGTTAGTGTGATCATATTAAATGTAATTAGCCACAAACATAATTATGTTTTCTGTGTTTGTGTGAATGGGGATAGTGCCCCTGTCCTATGGAGTTGCTCATACCTTGGGGAATTCCATATCGCTTTTCAATACCACTCGGATTTGAAGGAGTAACACAATCCATGGAGACTTCCTTTCTCAAACACTGATCAATGTCTACCGCACTGAAAAAAGCCACAGATTGTGGCAAATCCTGCATGCCAAGTTTATAAGCAAACATACACCTGGAAAAGTAGAAATATTCAGATGTTTCATGTGAAATGACAAGGCAGAACGGTGACTAAATGAAAAAGTCCTTTGTAGAATGGAATGTGAATAAACCTAGCATGAGGCAAGTAAGACAAAAATCAACCTTCTCAAAATGGTGCAAAGACCATTGTACTTATATCAAACAAGTGTTTCTATGTAATTCCATACAGGTTTTTTCACTAAGCATTAAATTGGTGAACTAAAGAGCATCACAAAAACACACCAAATTGCAGAAAACCAGAATATTCAATGATCTATGAGTTAACGCATTACTTCAACCACTATGGCCACTTTAGTGATTTGAAGTGGCCATGTTAGTAGAAGTATGTATGTGAGTTACTGTTATTTGTGTGCTAGGGCTAGTTGCACCCCCAGCACATGGAAGAATGTTCCGGACTGCCCAATGTCAATTTTATGCATACTTTGCATCTGTCTTTAGCGCACTGGCAAAAGCTGTGCTAGCCATTCCCTCCCCCTTTTTTTTTTTTTTATTTTTTTTTTAAAGCCATCAAAACAATCCAATCACAGGCTTCTCTGAGAAGCTTGTGATGGGACTGTTCAAAGCCCATGTGACCTCAGATGGAGACATGGAACTAAGCACCGGAAGCTTTGCCTGTTGCTGGATTCCAGGTATGTCACAAATACTCTGCTTATGGATATTTAAAGAGCACTATGGTATTTTGGGAATGCGGCTTCCTAAAATTAACACGGTAATGTAAATATCTGTAATAGACGTATTACCCACATATAGTAAATACTTTTTGAATACACTATTTGTACCATAAGTGACATTGTGGACCATAAAACTATATTTATTCCAGCTCCATTCAAGACATTAGCAATCTGTCCAATTCAATGCTTCTGTTTCCTGATACTGAACACAAATATCATTGATTTTGCAAAGTCTTAGGGATGAAGAGCCAATAGTTGGCTGTCTTGGACAAATGTAAACATGTCTCACACTGTCCAAGTAAAGAGGCAACATCTACACACCAAAACTCTCATATTAAGAGAGTGCATTCCCTTTAACAGTAACATTTAGGTGTTAAATACAAGTTTTAATATTATTATAAACAATTTTTAAAATTATAATTTTTTTTTTTTTAATACACTAACCCTCAAACATACTCCAACGTTAAAGTAATACCATAGCGTTAGGAATACAAACATTCATAATGCTATTGTATTCTGTAACAGTTTAGGTGTCAGAGTTTTACTTACCCCTTTCTCCAACAGGAGCAGCTGCCAGGAAGATTATCACTAGAGGTTTATAAACCATACAATGGAACTATAGTAGTTCTACAAAACCGCTATCAGTTTAAGTCTCTCAAGTGAGAATTCAAAGTTAATTTCAAACAAAGTCAAAGTAGCTGAACTGGAAGAACAGAAGTTAGATATTTTTTTTTCCCCCCAAGTTCAGCTATTTTGACCTTAAACTGGAAATTCACTTGAATTTTCCTTTTAGTGAATAACCTTGTAAGTTTAACATTGCAGGGTCAAATTACAGAGCCAGTGCCTTTAGTGGCGCTTTAACAAACTGGCTGATGATCAGTGAGACTTCTTAAAAGATATACGGAGTACAGTGTAAGTGCATGTTTACCATTTACCTTGTTAAAAGGTTTGTTATCTGCAAAGCCAATGCTCCTCGGTAACGGTCTTCACTCTGCACCAAGTAGCGCACCTCATCATGGATACTGATGCAGAAACGTCCATCAATGTCATACTCCTCGAAAAGCCACTTCATGGCAACCAGCATCAAGTGCAAGTAATCAACAGCCGAGCTCTGTACGGCCCAGTTCACTCTGCTTGTTATAAACTGAGTGAATACAAAAACAAAGGTTTGTATCTGCAAAAGTAGTGTGTTCTCCTTCCATAGACAGTAAATACGAACTAACTTAAATGTGCAATTTTCTTTGTTACTGAAGTCTTTTGTCACAATTTCCACTCTTCTGCTTGGGTGATCTAAAAGGACTATCTTTAGCAAAAGCAGCTGAAGGCGAAGTGAACAAGCACAGCCAGAAGGAGCTGTGCCAATTCCAATACCAGTCAGCACTACGAACTAGAGATTATTATTTTTTTTTATTACATCATATACCTCCAATGTAAGGAGCTAGGGAGAGGCACTTATCTGAGGTCCTTTTCAAATGCTACATGTAAATGGCATGGGAAATGAAAGGTGTAATGAGGAGTGCGTATAAATGAGATGGGCTAATTTACACCATGAATCCAAAATAACATTTAGAAAAGTATTAACCTGAGCTGATAGCAATAAGTTTAAACAAATAAAACTATACTACTAATTGCTTACGTGGCACACAGATTTAATTGTAAAAAAGTGTCTCTACCTTATTACTTTAGGCAAGGCACACAGAATTGATCATACCTCTCCTTTTACAGCAGACGGTTCCAATGCTCTGCTTATATAGCATCCAAGGACAGGTGTCCTGGGGGAAGAACTCATAGCAATGCTCTCCAGCTTGTTAAACATTTCAGATTCTGTACCCCCAGTCCATATCTTCCGCTTTACTAAATCCCACTTCCTTCTAGACCTGCAGCAATATTTATTTTCGAACATACATTAGTTTCTTAAACCTGGTGTCCTGTTCACACAACAAGTGGTAACATCAGAAAAGTTATATGTTTGCATCGCTAAAAGAGGAATATTAAAATAAATATTAGAAAAAGTTTTTCAATTTTTTTTATTCTCCTTGTTATGGAATTAGCAAGTATTTTGAAATTCTACATTATTTATTTTCTCTGACTTGTCTTTCACAGATTCTCACTGCTAGGATATTTGATCACATACAGGGTTGCTTACTAAACATCAAAGCCTAGGGAACTGACATCTAATGGCTAAAATAGTGTATTTGGGGGTGGGGGAGAAATCTCTAATTTCTATGTACTGCGAACATAAGAATCTTACTAGAGAAAACGTTACTGAAAAATTACTTATGGGGCAAAAGCTCTAAGTAAATGAAAGAAAGGGAAAACATGTTAACTGGGCTGGAACAGAAAGTGGGTTGTAACTTGAAAAGTCAAAAGTTTGTGGCAAAGTACATTTTTACATGCACACAAAAAGTAAAGTATGTTTTCGAATTGTAGTGGTACTTTAAATAATCAATTACATTCCATGCTTCACATCCAAAAGCTTTTTGCTTCTGGAAAATGCATCTAGCGTTTCTGAAAAGGTCATATATTAATCAAGGCATGTTACTTGGTTATTTAGACATTTGTCTCAGGACCGGTTTTGGCAGGAACAGAAAACAAAAAAAAACAAAACTTTTTTTTGTTGTTTTATCAGTAAAGCACACTTTATAAAAAGGGAGACCATCTCCTTTGGAGATCTTTTTCTCATCTTACTTCATTGATGCCTCTCTTTGTATTTTGCGCACATCCTGCAAGCTCACAGAATTATCCTCTCCTCTCTCTACTTTAATTCCAAGCTCTTCCACCAGCCATTCTCCTTCTTCAGACAGAATGTACCTGGATATAATGTAAAATTTCGATGCTTAATAAAAACAGATACCCGAGATCAGTGGTTCCTCAAGAAAAACATGTTTGTCAGGATCCCTATTGAAAACAATATTGAACGATTTTTGTTCCTTGAGGACTTGGTTGGGAACTGCTGTTATGTAATAATGCCCATAATATAACTCATGTATCTGCCAAGTACGGGTTTTAATGTTAATCAAGAGTCCATTATTAATTAACTTGTGTTCATGAGCATTCTAAACTGTTTGCAGCAGGCTTTTTAATAGTTTTTAAAGTGTGTTTTTTAATTATAAATTTATGCTCCCATCAGGAACATCTATCTTTTTCTAACAATCACTAATTACAGCCAGTGTTAAAGGTGGGTGTTTTCATGATTCTCACAGGGCTGTTTAACAGAGCAATGAAATATGGAAAGGGAATCTTTTTCTTTTGCATCTCTGATTTGCCCGATATGACACCCAGTCCTGTAAGACTTGATTTTTTTTATTGTTAGTTGGATGGCATAAAGTTGGACTTTTAGCTTCTTGCTGTACCTCTGCAAATAGCTGTGGTTTTTCTTTGTGTAAGCTTTAGTCCACGTAACGTGAAAAGCATAGTACGTAGAGAAGAAGTGGACGTAGCATGTGTGGATAGTGTCGGGAATAGAGTGATAGCGGACCACAAAACAACACTCTAGACTTTATATCTACATTACCAACATTGTTTTTAATTACTTTATTGCCAAGTATTGGTCAAAATCATTCAATAACTGCTATAGTCAATTACAAGGTTTTCCAACAGTAACTTTGGTAAAGCAAATAGATTTATCTCCAAATACTACCTTCTACTTTTTTTGTGTTCTGAAAATGACATTATCAAGATGAATAATGATTCATGAGATGAACAAGCATTCATTTTGTTAAGGTTTCCCAGTCCTCTCCAACCCTCTTTAACAAAGTGGATTATTAATAACCCATTAAATTTGCTGCTCAGTCTGTGATACAGCCTACGATTAAAATAAAAACTGTGCACAGCCAGGAATGAGGTCCTGCTACACTCACCTTCGTATTCCTTTTGTCACTGCATACATCTGCTTTGCTTTTTCTGCTGCCTGTTCTTGAGTAAGACGATGGTTAAACTGCATTAACAAGCGCTCTGCAAAAGCCTGCCCAGCACCATAAATACGACCATAATTGAATACTTTTGCATGCTCCCGACTTATTCCCACAGTGGAGGCAGTCTTGCTGTGCAGGTCAGTACCACTGCTCTTTTTGCCCTGCAGTGTCATCCAACCAAAAGCTGTGCAACCTGGAAACATAATCAGACAGGTGTCTAGTCCATTCTACATTCTAGAATGCTCACATTTATTTAAACTATACTGCACCACAGATCAGTATGCCGACAAAATTAATTACAGTTTCTAACGGCAGAGTAAAAAAGAATCTGTTCTGTTTAATACATATTGCATACTGTTATGTAATGATGTGCATTCAGTGTGAGTGAATGTGTGTTTTCTAGTATACTATACTTCTACACACCTAAATTTTTTATTTATTTATATATATTTACCATTTTATATTTATATTTATTTTTTTATTTTATTTTTTTTCTTATTTTAAAGTAAATGTCTCACAAGAAATTAAAAGATTTCCAATTACCAACAAAATTGAAAATGTTACAAGGTAATAACAGTTTAACAGCTCTAAAATAGGCAATTAAGTGCGTTATTCACTAAACTGAGTTAGCAGAAAGCATTTGAATAACATTTAATGAACCTCACTTTTTTTGTTTATCTCAGCAGTTAAAAAAAAATAAAAAAAAATTCTATTTGTAAAATATAAAAGAACATGCATTGCTAAAATGTGCCTTGCAGCTGATTTATACCATGAAGTCCTGCAAAGTGAGCCTCTCCAAGAATCGCCGCTATCCACAGTTCCTGGGAATCTACATCCGCTCCGATCATATGATAACCAGGAGGTACCTGGACCATAGCTTTTAATTCACTGCCCACACGGTCCGTCTGAAAAACAGTAAAAGGAAAACGAGCACGGATTGTAAACAAAGCTGTAAGTCACTTTTAGGACACAAACTGCAGAAACACATTTAATAGGACCCAAACACCCAGAGAAGGAGAAACACACACACTTTATTCTCAACTTCTATACATAGTTTTCAGCTTATTTGTGCATTCTTAATGTCTTCACAAGACCAAAAGAGTAACCCAATTTGGATCTCTTTGCTCACAGTGTACACATCCGGGCTGTATCACAATGACAAGGTCTATGAGGGGCTGAGAGAATCACCTGGTGCACGGATATCCAATATACCGATCCCAAACTGGAACACTGATTTTTTTTTTATAGAAAGCACCATGGAAGGTGTAGTCATACAACAACTAAAGATCTACCTTTCAGACTCCCCTGATCTAGGGTTTATGGTATCTCCTGTAGAGTGGATACATCTGGCCTTTAGTTGCTCAACAGTTCATGTTGTTGGAACAGGTTGACCTTGTAGTGTCATTGGTACAGCACAGATGCGATAAACTTGTTTAAAATCTTTGGAGTGGAAATTACCCAAAGGCCAAGTTGTTTATTAAGCTTTTTATACGTTTTGTGTGTATCATTCTGTTTTCATTTGGTCTCGCGATTACGCAGGTGTACAGCATTAAAGTCTATGGAGGACCCATGAGACAGTGGGACCCTCCACAGACAGAGACCATTCCTTCCTCTGCCCAGTATCTAGATGTGTCAGGGGTAGGAAATATACATAGACAAAGTAGTCCCTACTCTCTCTCAGTATATATCTTGACTGGGTTGGAATTCCAACAGAGTCAAAATTAGTATTTCATAACGATTATATTGGGTGTTTCATGCTGCTTTAAGTAGGACACCACATGAGTTTGCCACTTCAGAGAAGACATAACAAACCACATTATTACATACAGATACACTGATCACGTACTCGTGCATTGCTGGCAGTTAGCCATGTGGGCTCCACAGCTCGGCGTGTGATTGTTCCAGCTGTGACCACCTGAGGCAGGATGGCGCCATACTTATTGTCTTCATCAAATTCAGGGTTCCTGGATTAGATAATATTTATAATAAATTCAATTTTCAACACATTCAAGCATAGAATCAAAAATGATTAGAGGTTATGAAGAATATTCAGGCAGTTCAAAACTTGTTCTCTAAACCCAATGAAATATTAGCACCAATATGAGATGTAATAATTTCTCAATCACAACACAAAGCAGTCCTCTATCCATAATTGAAACTGTAACTGGGAACAGTGGTGGATCAATGTTAGTGGTTTTCTTCCTTTAACAACCCATTCCTTCCTCAATTGAAGGGAGTGAGATTTTGGTTATAATGAGGGGACTGGTTTAGCAGACATCTATTGGAGATTTATATTTAATGTCCTTTTAATTTGTTCTATAATGATGATCAGTGTTTTTATGTTTGGTATATAGTGATGTGTTATTTAAAGTTAAATCTTCTTTATGGCTGATCTTAGATCAACGGCACGCATTTCTCCAGCCAAAGTGCCTACTCCTTTACCCCAAAATGAACCATATATGGTCCAAGCTGACAAAAGTAGTGAGAAAACAACCCTAGTAATTGATAAAAAGGCCAGCAAATGGCCAAACATATCTACACATAGCATTTGAATAAAATCTCCAATCTTGCATTAAAATGAATAAAAAAAAGCATTATAAACCAGTAAAAGTCACAAACCCCTATGGAGAGTTACATTTTTTCCTAATGGTTTGCTTGTCTGTTTTCAGCCAATAGGGGAAGTTCAGAGAAGTGGGAATGGTAAACGTGCATAAACACATGCAGTTCAGTTTCCAGCATGTGTTAGAATGCATTTAAGGCACTAATTAATTCCCAATAAAAACAAAAGAAAAAAAGGTTACTTGTGCACTATCCCAATTCCCTATGCCCATTTAAATAACTGGAGGTTTTTATTATCACTCCAACGGCCATTAAAGTGTAAGCTCACCTGCCATGTCAAGGCAAAACATCTTAGGTGAGTCCTACTCTAACAATTCACCTTGCAGTTTTTAGCTAAAAAGTAAAATCTCCCATGAGACAAAGAGGGGTATTTTTCTGAACCCCTACAATTATCAATCCTTAACATCTGGTGGTGGCCGCACTGTAACACGACTGTGTAACTAATTCTGGGCAACAGCAATGGCTATAGTACAAATTTTTCTGTATTTGCTTTTTTCTTTTATCACACAGCCATGTTACAGTACTGCCGCTCACCCCATGTGTTCCCTATTAAGGGTTAATAAGTGTGCAGGGTTTAGAAAAATACCGCTCTGAGTTTCAGAGATTTTACCTTTTAGCTGAAGACAGCAAGAGGAATTGTTCATGTAGAGGTTTTACCTTGATGTGGCAGGTGAGCTTAGACTTGAGTGTGGTTGGAGTGATACGAAAGTACCTCCAGGTATTTGAATGTGCAATGGGGATTTAGGATAATGTGTAAGTAACTGTTTTTGTTTGTTTTTTATTATATGGATTTGGGCTGCTATGTACTATAGTCATTGTTGCTGCCTAGGAGTAGTTGGAGTTTGAGCTCAGGGCTTTATTTTGTATACTAATCAAGTCCCAAAAGAATCGGATGGAAGCTTAACAGACATAGATAGATTAATCATGTGACTATAATGGGGAGATTTAAAGTCTCCCAGGTATGTTTAATGCTCATTCTCAGATGTGTGCCTTGTATTGACAACCACCAGGGTTATTCACTAAAATGAGAATTGCTGGGAATTTAAAGTGAATTTCAAATTTTGGGGCAAGATAGCTGAAAATAAGACATTCTCCAAGTTAGCTACACTTCCAGTTCAGCTACTTTGCCCTTAAATTTTAAATTCACTTTAAATTGCCTTTAGTGAATAACCCTGTATGGATCCTTTAAATCCTATGACATTCATTCCTTACCTTAATCACTATAGTGTAGTATCATTCTACAATAGTAATAACCTCAGAGCCAACAGCAATCTACCTGATAATATTCCGCGGCAGCTCTCCCTTTTTCAGCCATACTACTTTCTGGGAGCTGTAATAACAAGAAAAAGGTTGGAATGGGCAGCTCTAACCTGTAACTGTTAAATCTCTGTACAAATGTACAATCTATGAAAATAAAATGATGTTACCTTATGCGTTTGTGAGCATTTCTCCAGAATGATATCATCTTATTAATTTCTAGAGCCCGTGTTGCGCTGGTGTCACCAATATAAGCCTGCAAGGTGCCGTCTTCCATCTTTGGAAGAAAATCCTTTGCAAAAGGACTGCCAACGTTATTTGTGATGCCATCCTATATAATGGGAGGGGAGGAAAAAGTACAATACAAATATCACTTCCCTTTTAGTTTCCTAGTGCTGCTGACATTTGTACAGGCAAGTGGTTGCAGCTGGAAGACCTTTCTCTGACCAGGAGACTATCAATCTGTTTCATAATCCTATAAACTTCTGTTTGGGAGTTCCTAGTATACATGGGTTAGCTCACAGCCGTAGTTCTACTCATCATATAGGATGAGGGGACAGGTTTGTAAGCTGAAAGCAGCTAAACCAGCTGCTATGAGTTTACATACAGTGCAGTTCAAGTGCAAACCAGTTATTTCTTGGTCAGGCAGGACTTAACTGCAGATGCTTCAAAACTTGGATATTTGCAGTACATGAAAAAACTTCAATAACAATTTGTTTTTAAACCAATAACTAATACGACATTAAAAAGAATGGTTGAAATTCAGACTGGAGTGTCCCTTTAGGTCTGACTGAGCATCATTAAAAATGTAGTGCCCAGGTTAGCCATCACTGGACTGATCACATACGTAACTCCAGTTTCAGAACTTGACTGTCCCACCTTTTTACTCTGTCTCTCTTATTTTTCAGTATCCCATCCACCTTGCCTTCCATCTCTGCATAATCAATGAATTCAACAATGAATACATGGAAAAGTATAATGTAACAGTATTATATAGTCTATCATAATTCTTTTTAACTATTAAGACCAAACAAAGACTAAAAAAGGAATGCACTAGTACCTGTAATTGTGTTTAAAACATTGTTCATCACTTCTAACTTGTAAAGTAGTACCAAGATGGCATGTGCAAAACTTACAATGCAATCAAAAGATATGCATGAGGCAAAGTAGGTACTACTATGTCTTATGTAAATGCCAATTCTTGGTAAAAGGTTGAGTCAAGACTGCTATTTCCCATTAGCTATATCCTGCGACTGCTGATGGGAACAGGATTATTTTGCATAATTTTGCGCAATGTGTAATAGATTACTATAGCACCTCACTGCTATTGCCTAAAGGGTTACTCCAAACATCCCACGGTAGTCATTATAATGACAGAAAAACCCTGGCCTTTTTATCTGGACCTGGCTGGGTGCCTGGTCTCCTGTGAAGTACGGTTTTACATCAGGCTTCTGCAGAATTGTAGAAGCGGGATATCGTTCCTGATGTTCATTCACTGTCTGAAAGCATCAGCTGACCTCTCTCAGAAAATGAATATGTATTTAAATGTGCACAGAATGGACATTTGCCAGTCAGACTAGACATGTCACCTTGTGGGGTCTTTGGAGAAAAAAAAAAGGCAAAGGCCCACTATAGTGACAGTTCCCTTTTTAAAGTATTTACGTAGTAAGATTTTATTGCACATTCAAATGGATTTTAAAGATGCTCCACGTAACCAGCTTATGATGCAATAACAAAAGCCGAATTTGGAATGTTAAAGGGAAACAAACTTGTTTTCCTGGTACTGTAGCTTCCCTTTCTGTCAAGGCCTACCCCCGTGGTGCACAAGGGTGTTAATAACCCCTTCTTTCACTTACCTGGGTCCAGCACTGATGTCCCGCTGGCTCATCTCTGCTCACGCTCCTCCCCCGCCGGCTGGAGAGACCTAATGCGCATGGGCGGCAATGCCACACTCGCTTTAGGATCTCCTCATAGGGAGACCGCCACTAGAGGATGACTTAACCCTGCAAGGTAATTATTGCAGTTTATAAGAACTGCAATAATTACATGCTCAGGGTTAAGGGTGATGGGAGCTGGCACCCAGACTACTTCAAAGGGCTGATGTGGTCTGGATGCCTACAGTGTCCCTTTAAGAATAATGTTCGTCATGCAAATTGAATTCACTTCCCAACTCACTTTGTGCGGCAGTCTGTAGAACCAGCAGCCTGATACATTGACGTCATTACATGGTCCATTTCCATGGTGATTAGCAGGTGAGCCTTCCATCTCTGGATCTACTTCACCAGGTAGCTTCTGAAACAATTAAATTATACGGGACTGTACATAAATATAGACACAAATAAAATGATGAAAAATACTTGGATCTCATAACCTGCTAATTAGCATCAATCTTGAAACTTTATTGTATGCTTTGTGCATCTTCTTGAGTACCAGCTGGTTCTTTAGATTTAATCATTTTTTGTTAAATATTTGCATATGGTATTGTCCTGTACAACCTGTGCTGAAAGCAGCGTTACCAACAGTCCACAATTCCTAAATGTCCCCTAATGGACACTCGCCACAATTAGATTTATTAATAAACAGATGGGGATTATTATAAAAGTTATACAACTTCTAAGTCTACTTTTTTGAAGACTGAAATCATTTAAAAGAAAATGTGAATCAACATGTGCAATAATAAATTAAGATACACTCTAAGCTGGAGTGGATTCCCACTTTGCAATAAACTAGATAGACTTGCAACTTTCTGCAGTGAATTCTCCCGTATAATAGGATGTAACTTAGATTTCTCACCAAATTATTGCCCTTCTTTGATTTTCAAGGGCCGTGCTAAGCATATCCCATATAACCCTGCCCAGTAAAATGTAAATCAGCACTTGGCAATCTAAACGAATACGATAACCATCGTGCTGCATTGCTCCATTCAGATTTTGTAAAGAAAAGTCAATTCATCCACATATTAAATACATAAGAGGGACCTTTTGAGTCCGTATATGAACTGGGGATTCAAAAACACCTTATTATATAAGGGTAAGTAAAAAAAAAAAAAGAGGGTTGGAGTAGAACATCATAATTAACCTTTATCATTAAATCCCCCCCCCTTTTTTTTTATTTTTTATAAACTGTTTTCTATTGAATATTTTCAAAGTTATTATGATACGTTTCCAAAAAATAAAATAAAAAAATCAATACTAATATTTACAATAAAGTCTTTTAAAAAAAAAAAGTTAACAGATATCCTGAATTCTGGTCAGTAAGATGACTATGTAATATTAGGCAGGAGGGAAGAGGTGGGACTCTCAGTGCTAAGTTTGAGCTTCTACGGCTCTTCAGGAAATAGAAAACCACAGCAACATACTTATGAAGGCTTTTTCCATATACCACTATATGAAAATGGAGTAACCAGACAGCAGTAGGACTCTTTTTAATAAAAATAAACTAGTATTTCAATCTGTCAGCATCATCACAAGGCTTTTCTGGCCCGTCACCCCAAAAATTTAGTTACACAAACCATTACGCTTTAAGTTATAGAGAAGAACTCACTGATATAGTTTTGTTTCTTTTCCTCACTGTACTGGTTGTTGATGCTTCAGAGGCAAGGTCCATCTCTATTCGACTTAATTCCTCCACCTAGGATGTATAATGGTGCACATAAAATAACTATAAACAATTTCAGAGAATTGGTGTGACTTTTTAACACTCTACCTTTTGCCAGATGGTCTGGTCTTCTGTCAGCATAAAATCATCCTGTAGGGAGGCCTCCTGTGACAAGTTAATATTCTCTTTACCTTTACTGTATTCCATGAAAACTGTTTCAATAACTCTTGGGGGGTGGAGAGGAAAAGAAAAATTAGTGGTCAAGATAGACTTGGTGAAGGCAACCCCCAGGAAAAAGATAAATAGACCAAAACCTAACACCATGCATATAAATGTCACATACCTGTAAGGACACGGAATAGCCTCTGCATCTTCTGGACTGGCCAAAAGGTTGTCCTTCCTTCCAGGAACAAGATAACCCCATCCATATTTTTCAGAGTAGTACAGCGGGTAGCCATCCCACGTCAAACGCATTAACTTAGGTGTTAACCTCATTTGAAGGCTAATAAGTCCTGGGCCTGGTACCCATTCAGGATCATCCAGTTTAGGGCAAAGTTTACGGTACCATCTAAAATTTGGAAACACATGTTTAATAGGAACAAATATAAAAATTAAAACACTGTGTATATCACATTTTTGATTTGTGAACTTTATTAAAGTGATCTTTTACCCCGGATGACCAGGCAAGTGCTGCGTTCTTTTTGGTAAGGAAGGTAAAGTCTTGTTTTTGAGATTTTCTAAGTACGTCTTACTGATTGGAGGCTGGGACTCCTGTTCTTCAGTAGGTGGTCCAGGATCTATGATAACAAATTACAATGAAAAAGACAATATTTCATGCATTTGAAATGCCAAGTGTTATAGTTATATTGTAATCTGTTTTAAAATTTTCTAGTGCCCTCGTACCAAAAAAAAAAATATTTACAAATAAATACTTTCATATTCTAACTCAGAGTGACGAACATAATAGATGCTCCAGATTAAGCATCCTAGTTTGTTTTCCACATTTCTGTCTAATGAAGGAGGAGCACCTGTAGGTCAATGTACAAACACCTTTACAGATCTATAAACGATCCTTAAAACATTATTGCCATTTCCATATATAATGCAATTCAAACTTATGTCGTTCATTAAAGAGGAATCAGAGGTAGTTGCTGAGATTATTTCAGGCATTCCTAATGGCTGCAGACACCTATGGTGTTTGCAGCAAACAAAAAGCATTCAAAACCATAGGCGTGTGCACGGGGTGTGCCTGGGCACACCCTAATCCCTGCGGCACGCCTATGTATTGAGACCGGCAGGGGAGATCTCAGGATCTCCCCTGTCGGCTCATGCAGAGCCGGTGCTATCCGAGCGCCGGCTCTACTCTCAGCCTCCCTCCCACTGCAGCATGGAGGGAGGCAGGAGAGGATCCGGGAAGCTCAACCAACAACTCCGCCAGGTTTCCTCTCATGAGGTCGGAGCGTTGCCGCGGCAACGCTCAGATCTCGCGAGAGTGAACTCTAGCCCTACAGGCTAGAGTTCACTCTCCACTTGGCCACCAGGGAAAGCAGCAGGAACAAGAATCCCCCCTCCCTACATAAGGTAAGAAGGGAGGGGGGATATTAAGTAATGTACCCCAACCTCCACTATCACCCACACACACAGCACCTACACACATACAGTACAGACACAGCAGGCACACAAATACAGCACCTTCACACACAGCACCCACACACACAGACAGCACCCTCAAACCACCCTCACACAGCAGTGTATGTATATACACGCGGCGTGTGTTTGTGCTTTAGGGTGCACACCCTAATGCAATTGGCGGCGCACGCCTATGTTCAAAACCCTTTTCAGTTAATCTTATCTGCTGTCAATTATTCAATTTAAAAGTTACCTTAAAGTGGTGGGTGGCAGGTCAGATAGGCAATTCATGAATATTACATGCTGATTTCTGATATGTCCATCTTACCTTCATGTAAATCTGAAAGGAGATTATTTCCTAATGCAATTTCTAAACCTTCTCGTGCTTCTTTTTGCCTTTTACTGACTTTAGTTTTTTTCTGTTTGAATTCTTGTGTGTCCCACTCCAAATCCCAAAGCCATGGATCTTCTTTATATCTGAGAAAATAATAAACTTGTAAGCATGAAAGTAGCATGTTTATAAAAGGATACCATGGATCACCTGACCCAGCCGAGGTTGACTTGAAAAAAAAAAAAAAAAAATCTACTATATTTTCAGGATTTAAAAACGGACAGCTACTATAAATGAAACTACGGAGGTTTTCCCCAAAATCAGTCCCTCTGGCTGGAAGTGCTTGCCCCACTGGTAATGCCTTTTGATGTTGTGAGTATGTGAGACAGTAGACTCCTCTATAAATTGCTCAAATACACAGCATACCAAATACATTTGTTCATTTTCCTTTTCTCTGCTTATCCTCCTACACCCTTTTTCTTAATTGTATTATATCATCATCTCTCTATTTTGAGATTTACATTTTTACCATCTCATGCTGCACACATCTGTTATCACGCACTGCTATGTTCTGAAATGTTAAATAAACACTTCAAATTCAAAAAACATTGGAGATAAAATAAATTATGAGAAGAAGATGGAATATGGGGAATTAAGAAATTCCATTCACTAACAGCATAAAGCAACATTCAGTAATGGGTTTCACATACGCATCTCCATTAAGAAACTGGCAGGCATCATTGGCTAAGTTCATTAAGGACTTCTTCATTTCCTTCTGGAGCTCTTCATAGGTGCTCTGGGCTTCATCCAAATATCGCTCCCAGTTCTGATTAACAGGTAAATAGGAAACACCCATTTCTAACATCCCTGCTAAGGTCACAGGATGAGGGCACCTGAAGAAAAATAAATAAAATTCCAACATTTTAAATTTTACTATCATTATTCACAGATTCAATGGTTGGTTTCTCTTGTCCCATAGAACATTGCGTAAAATGGAAAAAAAAATGGACATAATCATAATGTCATAAAGGAATCACACCACTCTTGATTCTTTGGGAATACTAGTCACCTTAATGGGGTGAGTGGAGTTAAAGCATGGTGTAGAGCCTTACAAAAACCAACCCAATATGGCTATAAACTGGATCATGTGCGATTCAAATCTTTGCAAAGTTGACAGAATGTATCCAGATAGCCCTTAGTTGCAAAGGGGGGAAGGAAACACCAGTTTTTAACATCCCTGCTAAGGTCACAGGATGAGGGCACCTGAAGAAAAATAAATAACAGATTCAATGGTTGGTTTCTCTTGTCCCATAGAACATTGCATAAAATTCTCACGTGACTTTACACACCAATATACCAAACTAGTCAGGAGCGATTTGTACATACACTTTATTGTCCCTATCTTGCCTATAATATTGAAAGATACATTCTTTGAAATCATAAAAAAAAAAAATAAGTAAAATTTTGACATGATCATCCTATTGCAGTTTGCATAAGAATTCTACATTAGTGTTTTCTGGCTGCTGTACAAAGAGTGCACTATGGTGGTTTAGAGTTTGCAGAAAACAAGAACTCTTTTCCCCTATCCACTAACAGTGCCAGTGCCACTATTTTGCGCCCTGAGCAAGACCAGCTACCCCGTCCCATTGTGTTCCTTTACCCCGCTCTTGTCCCTTTGTGGTCTCACACCCCCCTCCCTGTCCCTTTGCGGTCTCTACCCCCCCGCTGTCCCTTTACGATCTCTTCCCCATTTATGGCTTCTTCCTCCCCCCTCGTACAGATTGTGGTTTCTCTACCCTTTAGCTTACCTTCCTCCTGTGTAGCGAGGCGGAGCCATGGACCATAGTTCGGCACTAATCGTGCACACTTCCTGTCAGATGGGTTAGAGGTTACTGAAGCTCCTTTACTGCGGTCCACAGCTCGACCACGCTACATGATGTGACCAGGGGAAAGCACTGTGCTCTGCTTTCCTCCTCCCAGTCAAACTGATTCTGCATCCCCCGGGCCGATGCACCCTAGGTGATTTGCCTAGTTCGCTTAGTGGCCACGCCAACCCTGTCCATCAACTTATAAAACAAAAAGTCATGCAGTTCTGGAGAAGGCACTAAATGACTGTTGGTAACTGAGGCCACATGGACAAACTGAAAATTAAGGCATCCTACTCAAGATTAAGCTTTATCTCATTAAACTTGTTATAGTGTCTGGAATTCCATGGTGCCATAATTTAATTCAGCATTAAACCGTTTTTAATGTTTCCACTTAATACAAAATAAGAGTTTCCAGAAGTCCATATACCCTCAGCTTTGGCTAATGAGGAATTAGCTTGAGCAGCAATGAACAGATGTGATTTGTAGAGTAAGTAAGCTGACTGCTTTCAGCATATTAGAACTCCAACTGACAGTATGAATGGGTATGACTAGAAGGAAGTGTGTAATCTCTGCCTTAGCCATACCTCCAAAAAGGACCAGACTGTGGGTAGCCAGAGACCCTTTTTTAGTGCAAACTGCTCTAAAATAGGTTAATACTGAATGGAGGTTCAGTGCCAGAGGACACAAAACACTATAATCAGTTTGTGTCTCTTTAAGCGTATAAAAAAAAAAAAAAAAAATATCTCCAGGAAGAAGATGGTTCCCTTTAAGTATTTCGTTGGAAATACTAAAGGGACATTATCAGCACTGTAACTGCTTCACCTCACCAGACAGTACAACCAATTCAATGGTTACAGTGCCTACAGTGTCCCTTTAAAAGGGAATGATATATGGCTACAACATTGCTTCCTGGCTGCTACAGGTAGGCATAAAAAAGATGATATTGACAGACGCAACAAAAGAAAAAAAAGTTATATTAGTGTGTTACAAAGTATGAAATTACAAATGGCTATTATTAATTGTAGTACAACAAACCCTCTTCTCTTTATTGCTTGAATTAAGTATGTGCAAATGTATAAAACTGAGAATGAATAATAAGAAGCAAAGTAAGTGTTATAAATTCCACAAACAAAAATATTGCACAGAAAAAAACAAAACAGAAAATAAGTAAACATGACTTTTCTATTATAATAGGCCATAATTGCTCTCTAATTGCAGGATGTGTATCTGCTGCCAAAATCCAAATACGTAGGTCACTTTACCTCTCCATAAATAAGGGGAACACTTCCAGAAACACCTCATGTGTTGCTTTGACATCAAGGGCACAGTATTTCATGAGTTCCTTTAATCACAAAATAAACCGTAATCATTAAGAGACAATGGAATTCTAATACTTGCAGTAGTGCTACACAATATTATATAAGTACATCTTAGAGTAACAGATGGTCTTTTGAAGGCACTTAAAATTCTAAATGCTGACACCTAAACCATACCGAAAAATCTAGACTAATATAGCCAAGCTGTGACTAAAGCCGAGCTGGAAAATTTTTGCAAATCAGATATTTTACCAACTAATTTGTAATTTGGTTTTCAAGTCCATATAGATAAAATAGATAGTTTTATCTAATTTTTTTGTCCCCTTCGAACCTATTATAGTTCCTATTGTTCACAGCCTTTTTTTTGGGTGGGGAGGGAAGGGGGACAGATCCCCTATTCTTATCTTTAAAAACTCCCTCATTTTCTTTGCCAGATCTTCTTAAAGTCCAACACCCTCTTAAAAAGCCTGGCTGTGATGTCTTCTCACTGCCTTTACCTGTCCTTCCTAACTCCCTCCTCTCTAATTTTGCTCATGCCCACTCTCATGCCCCCAAGAAAGAGCTTAGTTCACGAGATTAGAGAGTATTGACTAAATGGAAAGGTGACTATGGTTGGAATGGAAAATAATATTTGACAAATTAAGTGGTGCTTGCCGTAAGCTCCACTCTTTGTCAAGATTTGTCAAGTGTAGGAAGAATATTAGTCCCTATTTTGTCTTAAAGGGACTCTATAGGCACCCTACCACTACATCTCATTGAAGTGGTCTGGGTGCAGTGTCCCTGTCCCACTGAGCCCTGCAATGTAAAACATTGCAGTTTCAGAGAAAATGCAATGTTTACATGGCAGTGCCAAGATTGCCTCTAGTGGCTGTCTGCCAGACAGCCACTAGAGTCGCTTCCTGCTGTTTCACAAAATGTGACCCTTTAACTGCCACAGGGGAAAGCAGAGGGGCCACATAGTGTTTCTTATTGTCTACACTTACCATGCCTACCTTAGAAAGGATACTGATCTAGCCAGTGTCCTAAGCACAGCTCTGTTGCGCACGCAAAAATAAAACATTGATGACGTGTCCTTGATAAATGGCACTGTGTCCAAAATGTATATTTTAAAAAAAGTATAATTAAATTAAAATAAAAAGCAATAATCGTCTTAATTGGCTCCTAATAACCCATTGATTTGCACCAATAAACAGGCTTTGTGGCAGACAACAAATGCTACTGGCAGAAATGTAATCAAGGCCTTTATTAGCCATGCTTCTCACACAAAAAAATATGCCAGCCACTTAACTCCAGAATTCATAAGTAAGTTAAATCACACCGACATAAAACTTGTTTCATTCCCTCTCCTCCTTATCCTGCAGTGAGGAGAGAGTGCAGATGCAACATAATATCCCTTATGACTGGCAGACAGCGTGTGGTTTATGCATGTACAATAACACGGATAATTTATAGAACCCCTTACTTGTTCTTGCATCATATCAACTAACAGTACAAAAATGAAATAACATAACTTCATCTTTCTGCACAGAGTTAGTATACTGCACATAAGAGAAATGAAAACCCACAACCTATTACTGCTACAATGACACCCTGTACCCCTGCAGTCCAAGGGAGTTGCTCCAGGGAGAATATTTTGATTAGGCTCAATATCTGTGTCCCCATAGCATCCTTACAGCAAACTATTCTACACCAGAGTTTAAAGGGAATCTCTAGTGCCAGGAAAACAAACCCGAGAATCTTGGAGTGCCCCCCCCCCTCTCTACCCCATCCCATGTTGTTGAAGGGGTTAAAAGCCCTTCAGACACTTGTCCAAATCCAGCACCGCTGTCCCTCGCTCCTCCCCTGCCGAAATCCGCTGGCAGGGGAGACCTAATGCGCATGTGTGGCAATGGCCACGCGCATTAGACCTCCCCATAGGAAAGAATTCAATGCTTTCCTGTGAGGATTCCGGCGACACTGGAGGTCCTCATGCATAGCGTGAGGACATCCAGCGTCGTTTAGACAACCAAAATTCGTCTAAGAAGCCAGAAGTCCCTCTAGTAGCTGTCTAATAGACAGCCACTAGAGGAGGACTTAACCCTGCAAGGTATTTATTGCAGTTTATAAAAACTGCAATAATTACATGCGCAGGGGTAAGGGTGATGGGAGTTGGCACCCAGACCACTTCAATGGGCTAAAGTGCCTACAGTGTCCCTTTAACAAAGCATCAGAGTTTGTGCAACTATCAATGGGCGAAAAAGAACTTCTGAATTAATTCTTACCTGGAACTCTAATCGAATATCTTTTATGCTTCCCTTCACAAAAAGATTCCGGGCCTCCTTCTCAAGTGGTGGACCACCAACATAAAGGGCATGAACATCAGCAAGGTTGTTAATGCTGCTAATATTTACCCAATCCCAGGAACTGATCTGGAACAAAAAGCAGTAACACAATAGTCAGTGATATGGAAATAGCTCTACCAGAACCGTAACAAAACGCTTCGAACTATGGGCCACAGCAGACCATGTTATTATCAATTAGACCATGAAACAATACTTTATACTCAAAAACATCAAGAAGAATTTAATGAAAAAGAAAAAAAAAAAAAAAATCTTTCAACTCAAAATGTTCCTGTCATGACATACTTACTGCAGGGCCATCAGACTTCCTCTGATTTTTCTGGATATGTTGCTTTACCTCCTGTACTCCCCTCTTTTTACCATACTTACTGGCCATCCACAGACTCCGCTGAAAACCAGTTAGGCCAGATATGGCCATGTGCATGCTCATAGTATCCATAAAACGCATTTTTGAGCCCTGCCAAGAATTTAAACAGTAAATGAGAATTATTTACATTGCAAGACATGAACATAAATAGCCAAATACACAGACATTGACAATAAGAACATCAATATGAATCTAAAACTATAAAAAGCAATCCCAGATTTTTCTTGAATAATAAATATATGAAAAATATAATGCTGCCAATTTGAGTAAAATTAGTTAAACCCAAACTTAAAATATCCGGTATCTGTTGTGAGATAGCTAGCTCTGCACATATAGGATGTTATATGCCCCTGTGCATATATCCAAAGTACCAGAATACTAAATTCTAATACTATAATTGATATGAAAAAAGGAAAAATACTTGACTCAATCAAATTATATCTGCCATTGTTTTGTATGTCAAACAGGGTTATTTATTAGCAATACAAACCTATACTCCTGATGCTATACTGTTGATCTCCCTACTAATATTAAGGTTTACTCCATCATCTAGTTTGCTATTAAAAATAATAAAACTGAGCTTTTTGCTTACCTTTTTCTAGTGGCAAGGGAGCCTCTTAGTCAGAGGAGGTATGGTCTCCTCCATTATGTCCCTATCCAATGCTACTCATAGAGGAACCAATAGAAGAAGCTTGAATGCCGCACACAGATTTTTACTCAGTCAGTGCAGCAGAAAAACACCACTAGGGGCTAATATACTGACAGCTACTAGAGGTGGGCTTAGCCCTACAATGTAAACATTGCAGTTAAAAAAAAACAACAAAAAAAAAAAAAACACAACTACCTGCAATGTATGCAGGGTTAAAAGAACAGGAACAGTGACATGAAGTGGTCTGGGTGACTATAGTGACCCTCAAAGTGTGAATTATTGGTACGTCAAAAAACAAATGGAAAAATGTTTAACTTAAATAGCTGAAGTGGAAGAATCCTCCTGCACTCCACTCCTTCCCCCAAAAAACACATCTCAACATCAGCTATATTTTCCGTTTGGCTAATGTTGCCTGAAATTTAAAATTTACTTTGAAATCTGACAATTTATACTTTAGTGAATAACCCCCTGAATGTTATTTCAAAGGTTTATTTTGATTCCATATGAGGATAGTATATGTTCCAAGAGAAGTCACACAGATAACATGTTCTTACTTTGATAAGATATTGTTCTTTAATATGTGCGCGATCAAAGCTGACATTGTGTCCTACAACCAGCCTCTCCATCCAGTTACGTTTGACACTGCAGTTGGCATTTGTTGAGGTCTCCAGAGGGATGAGATCTGACAGAGAAAGCTGGTTAGACCATGTGTATCGATCTTCTATTAACCTTCTGCTGCACCAAGAGTACCTGAAAAAAACACCAAAAAAACCCACACGTAATCTGATTCTTTTATGTAATGAAGTAAAAAGACAGAACCATAACCACAATCACTGTGAGTGTCTTACCAACACTGAGGAGAAACAGCTACAGCCAGCGTTGGACACTGACCCTCAGACATGCAAATTTCCACATCAAAGACCAATGCTCTTTCATCTGGGAAGTCCACCAACTCTCTCCGTCCATCTGTCGTATACTTGGTCCATCCAGCTTGCCAGGCCCACTCAGTTGGCATGTCTGGAATTTGACACTGCAAAAGTTCATTAGCTGCCTCCAAGTATGGAAAACTTTGCTTCTGAGCCAAAATCTTGAAGTGCTCCTCAATATTGTTTCCATACATGGTGGGCAGTTTTAGTTCTACATCATTGACAGTAGAGGTTTCTTGGTGCCAAAGGTCATGGGTCTTCAAGCGGTTTATGCCTTTTTGAATATTTTCTTCACAATACTCGTATTGCTTACCCCTAAATATCTGCTCATGTAACCCTTTAGAAAGCATCTGGATGTTCAATGGATTCATGCGTCTCTGCTGTGTTTCTGGATCAGGGGATTCTGATTGTAACGGTGACACCAAGGTGCTTTTGTGGCATCTCCAAGCTCTTATTTTCCATGGGCGTAAGAGCAAAGTGGTTCTCCTCAGCAACAATTCCATTGTAAATATTCTCCAGAGCTCCTCAGCAAGTGCTTAAAACAAGCAAAAAAAAAAAAAAAAAAAGATTATGCAACAATAAAAACATTTATGAAAACAACTGTAATATACAGCATGTGCCAGATTTACAACTTTTTCTTGTTTAATACAAACACTCTGGTGTATATCGAATTATAGTTAAAGGTTAATGGCGTACCTGTTAACATACCAGGGGTCGACACAACAATGTGGGGTATATTCACCAAACATAGAACCTAAATTACATTTAGTCTTAGAGACAAACTAATTTATGAAGTTTGATTTTAATTCAATGCTATTCGGTGTTTAGTGCATAAACCCCGTCTATTAGTTTATTACCTAAACTCCAGTATGTAGCCTGAATTTTCCACTGGCACTGTAATTCCCTACAATTGTGAATCTAGTAAATAAACCCAAATTATGATTTAAAAAAAATAAAATTGTGTAACATTATAGCACATAATCTTTGATGAGTAGCTTGAATACTTAAGACAAAATATAGTAAAACATTTTTGTTAATGCACAATACTTAAATAGTATTGTTACTTAAATAAATTGTTAAATATTAGAAGATATTTAATCTTTGGTAAAATCTAACTAAATGGAGTATTCCTCTATTAAATCTTCTATTTACCATGATCACTCCATGTGGTAAGAAGGTCACATCCTGCAGTAATGGCTAAGGCAGATATTTATTTTCATTATTTTAATATATTACCTTCCACTGAGTGCCTGTGATGTGTGAATAATAATTGCCCCTCACTAGTACTGCACAGCTAGAAAAAATGTGGCTCCAGTCACCGCTGCGGCCTAAAAGCCGGGGACTCGATTTATGTGTGCCCCAGCCAAGGCGAGGGGAGGCGGGCAGACTGAGAGCCGGCCAGGCATCGTGATTGATTTCGGAGAAAGTCGCGGGAGCTTTACTGCGGTTGATAAGTAACGCGAGTTAAATCGTGAAGCCCCACGTGTAACAGAGTATATGAACGACTTCTGTAAACACAGAGGAGGGACGCTGTCATAAGCCAGTTAGACACCATGTCTGATAACAGGCCGCGTGGCCTAATGGATAAGGCGTCTGACTTCGGATCAGAAGATTGCAGGTTCGAGTCCTGCCGCGGTCGTTTTTATTTCTTTCTTTCTTTCTAAAAAAAAATATGTAGGTGTTTTTTTAAACCTCACTTGTTATTTTTGTGTAATTTTCAAAACCTATAGTGGGTAAAATGTTGGCTTACATTTACAGCCCAACTAAAACCATCCACTATACAGTGAGTTGAAAACCAACAGCAAATTCATGTCTGAATGGTAAAATTTAGGCTAAAATAGTTCAGCTGAGACTGCAGGATTTTACACAAATTTTATGGCACATTTGCAAAAAGAGGTATTGACTGAACATTGTGAAGTAAAGACACACCTTCCAAGTTCCAATCTTACATTTTGCTAATAATCTGGTCCTGCATGAGATGAGGTACAAGCTACTTTAGCCCAAATGTTACAATTTGTTTTTCACTTCACTACCAGTGGCAGATACCGCCAAGTCCACTGTTCAAAACCCATTAAAAAGAATATAATACTCGCCTAGCTCCCTGTTCCTCTCCCCTCCATGAGTTCTGTGAGTACCAACCCCAGTCTCTACAACGAGCCATAGCATCCCAATCTCATCGCCGGACTTTTCTGTATTTCTCCTGGAACTCCGGCTCATCCGCAAACAGCACACCAGTTCGGTCATATTTGCCCATGGTTCTCATTTCCCAATATCCTATAAGAGTGCTTTTTGGAGGGGAGTTACAGTCCATCAAGGGGAACAATCGCTTTTTCCCCAGGGGGAGCCGCCTTGCCTTGGCCCACCAGAGACCCAATTAAAACACCGGTATGTGACTCCAAATGCCTGGAACTAATTTCGTCTATGACTGTTCTAGTGGCCTGTCTAAACTTTAACGGGGTGGCATTTCCTCAAACCTTCACAGATCAGGGCGCGTTTTGGCCAGATTCAGCGGTCCAACAAGAGCTATCTGGGGATGTATAACATGTCAGGGTTCAGAGTTGTTTTCTATCACTTTTTGTGTTTTTTCTGTATTAGGCTCTCAGTATCCAGACTCAATTATCTCCCAGACACAGAGACGACATGTATGTGATTAATAGACACCCCATGCTGAAGCTCTGTGCATAAAAGGCTGCAATGGAAATAGTTGTTCTTCCCAGCATCATGTGTTGTCTGATGTCTGGGGAATGGAGTTACAATTACTAAAAGGTTCCTGTTCCAGCTGAGAGGAGAATCTAGTGGAGCTATCCAGTCGGGATACGAGGGTTCACAACACTACCATTCAATATTGAGAGATTAAAGCCCTAATGCAGGCCACCCAACAGTCCAAATTCTGGGGACTGCTTTGTTTCCCTGGTGTCCCACATCTGGGGTAAACCAGGGAACTAAAGCAGGCACTGAAATTCCCCCATCTGATTGTTGGGAGGTATGCTATTGTTTGAACTGTAGGGAATTTAATGTAAATTTCAATTTTTTTTATATTGACAATTTTTATTGAGAATGAGTAAAGTGTACTAAAATATGACCAACACAATTATATCAGGTGATCAAAACACATCCATTTTGGGCAGCACTTAAGATGTTTGTACAAAATATAACAAATATTTCATTATCATTTCTCATCTGTTATTAGATTTTTCATACGTCAGGAAGGGATCTAGAAAAAAAATAGGGAAGGGAAGAGAGGGCAATACACAATAGTTAAAAAAATGGATCAATTAGCATGAATATAAATGCATCTCTACAATTGCACCTTCCTGGAGAGCAATTTGTTTTCCAAGTGTTTCTAAAAACATAATGTGTGTCTCACCGCTGTTTTATGTAACAAATCATACTCAAAAGCAGAACACAAAGGGGTTCAGAAAGAAAAAGAGAAAGAAAAAGGAAGGGGCAAGAGCAAAAATGACACTAGAAGCCCCTTCAGATCCACCCAGTATGGCGCACCATGTTCCTTCCATCTCTCATGCCGGAGCAGTCACCACATGGGAACACTGGAAGCTAGGACAGCAAAACTCAAAAGTCCTCCAATGTGAAGGTCACTATTCAGTGCGTCCAAATGCTACGCGCATCTGCTCCCTCCCAGATGCAGTAAAATTCACCTCCTCCATAGCACGTAGTTCCTCTATGTGCAAATGCCAAATGTCTAAAGGGGTTAATGGACCCCTTCCAGTACAGAGGGATGAGGCTCTTAAGAACGTTCAGAATGTGAACTTGACATTTTGTATGCCACCACAGGAGTAGTCGTGTGGTGTAGGAAAAAGTGTGCCAGTTCAAAAGGTGGTGGCTTGTCAAATAATTTAGATAGGATGGAATGGCTTTGAAAGTGTGTATGAAGGGTCATTCTCACCAGATGTTTGGTCCTCATGAATGAAAGAACCCAGGTGAGGCTTCAATCACATGGCCAGCATTTTTGCAAAAAGCTTTATTCACAATTCAGGAGGGAAACTGGGCGATAGTTTGCACAGTGCTCTATGTCTTTGCCCTCTTTGGGGATTATAGTGATGTTAGCTGACAAAGTTTTCCCTGGCATGGAAGTCCCCTACCTGAATTGCATTGAACAATGCAACAAAGTGCTGGTAAACTGTGGAAGCAAATTGTTTGTAGTATTACAATGTCAGTCCATCAGGTCATGGACTCTTTCCTGTAGTCTTGACTGCTAGGAAGCAAATTGTTTGTAGTATTACAATGTAGCTTTCCTGTAGCCTTGACTGCTAGGACCAGTTCTTCCTCAGTAAGAGGATCTTCTAGGAGTTGTGCGTCTCTACTGGAAAGTTTGCGTTGTGTGTATGTCTGGAAGTAGTCGTAAGTTGTCTGAGTCAAAGACATTCTAACCATAGGGTAAGGGAGCACATAAAGGCAAGTAGTATGATTGAATTACCCCTGCAATTTTGTCTGGCTTGTAACAGACACAATTATTTGTGTTTCGCATTTTGCCAATGTACGTGGACCTTCTGTGCTTAGCAATCATTATGGCTAATAGAGCACCACATTTATCAGCATTTGTGCTAAAAAAAAAGGTCTTTGATCTGGTGAGGGCTCAATTATACGCTATATTAATCAAACCAGAGAGTTCTCTCTGTAGGGTCATGAAGTTATGGAGATGGGCATTGTCAAGTATCTGTTTGTGGGCAAGTTAAAGCTCTACAATCTCATAATGTAGCGTTTGTATGCCTGCTCCACTTCTTTCTCAAGTGCAGAGCATTTAGATATAAAATCTCATTACACATTTATGCTCCTTCCAAACTACAAAAGGCGAGTCCCCCATAGTCATTGTCTTGGAAGTACTGTGTCAATGTAGTTTCACAAAGGAGAGCACCATTGAGCCTTCAATACATGCTATTGGGTATATAGCAGGAAGATGTTTGATCATCAGTACAGGTGCCTGGACAGGCTAACCCCGATGTGACCTTATTGCAGTTTGGACAGTGATAGTGAGACATGAAATACCCATCTACAGTCAACTAGTCTATGTCATGATACTGATTTGGTCCCCTGCTTTGCTAGTTATGCACGTCGTATGCTCTGTTTGGTCGCACGGCCTGTTTGGTCACATAGCCTGCTTCCATTTAGAAACTTGAATGCTGCCTGCTCGAAAGGCCCATCCTTAAATACAGAATGTTATCAGACTGTCACTTCTAATTAGAAAGTGTTCATGTCACCTGGGCTACCACAATCAAAGTCTGAATTGCTAACTTGAGGCTGAAATGGCTGATCTAGAAAAAAATCTCTAATTTAGCTATAATCTTGATTTTGCTATTCACATTTCAATTTACTACCATTCAGAGTTAATTAAATAGACCTATTTTTTGAAAGACTCTGCCAAAGGCACCAAAAGCATTTTCTTCCCAGTTCATGTTACAGCGAGTTCTACTGAATATTTTCCAAGACACCTGTCATCTGGTTAGGTTCGTCAGATCCTGGAAACCCAATATTTTTTCATACTTATGGGCAGCACATAAGATGTTCTTCCCTGTAGTCTGGTTGAAAATATAGTAAGGTATAAAACAAAACAAAAAAAGACTCCAGCACTGGAAATAAAAAGCAATAGCCTATAAAACCACAAGTATTCACATTAAAGAAATACTCAAGCATTTATTACAATATGCCTTTCACTTTATGGCTTCCTGCCGAGTAACCAGGAAGCTGCATGAGGAGTTGTAGTCAGTTTTGGAGCACTTTACCCTCACACCGTCCTGTCTGATTTGTGCCAGTTCTGGTTGGAAGAAGCACTTTCAGTTGGGGCAATTTATACCTCACAACCGATCATATCTGGGAGACTTCACAAAGCTAAGAACGCTGCAGAGGGATTTCTCTCTAGCACTTTTGCGAAGCTGAACGCAGAGGGTGTTTAAATAGTGGAATATATTGAATATTTGTTTCTAGAACGTTTTACACATTAAAGACACTTTCACAATAACACTCCTCCTAACATTTCAAATGGACAAATACATTTAATTCTAAGAGGTGTGCATGGGTGTGAGACCAATGGCACGGCTGTTCTGCTCTATTAACGATTTATATACCGGTAACTAAAATGTAATTTAAAACAAGAACAATGTATTTTATTTACAAAGACTGATTTCTCAACACATTAAGTGTAGTTTAAAGACACATTAATGTATTATTGCCGTGGAGCTCTGTTATACATTCAGATACACCAACAAATTAGAGCTCCTAGAACAGTGGGATATTAGAAGAGATAAGAGGGACAGAGGAATTTGGGCCCAAAATAGCGACTATCCCTCCTAAATACGGACACTCGGGATGCAATAAGGCAAATGTATGCTTGTTACTAAATATACATTGAATTCACTTGACAGAATGTAAGTCTTTTCACCAAAAATGAGACTATGCTTTGCCAGGCTGATAATGTTATAGACATGTAATAGACATGTGTAACAAGTGCAGTTAGCACTGTAGAAAAGGTCTGTTGGGCATAGTATGAATTGTTCCAAATATATATTATCTAAAATAGTGCTAGTCAAACATTGAACAAAAGTACAAATATAATGAATGCACACATCGCTTACACTGTAATTCTGCTAAACAATCTATTCTAGTCTATACATTTGCTAGATAATCTCTTACACAATTTTATATGAATTTAGTAGCTCATTAATGTGGATCTTTAAATAGGTGTTAGACCCTATGAGCAGTTTAAATGATCCAGCACTGACATCTTGTGACTAAAGTAGGTATGATACCAGGAAAATCCTTTACCTAAAGCAACACTCAGCTTGCTAAAGTGCTTTATATGTCCGGAGCTTGTCACATTTGTGGCAGTTTGTAAAAGTGCTGATTTCAATATAAATCATCACTTTTATAACTGGGGCAGAAACACCTTTTGTTTTCTTCCGCTTAGAAGGCTTGTGCCTGTTTTCCCTACTTCTCAGTAAGCTGTATTACTGTGATTACTTGTGTGTGTGCTCGCAGCTCCAGCAAAGAGACTCATTGAGAAGTCTATGTCTGAATTATTACCCAGCACAGACTGAAAATCTAATTTAAGAATAAATGGGAAGGGCTCTCAAGGGCTGCAAACAAGAGATCTGCAGCTTTCTAAAGCTGTTTTTAGATATACTCTAAAGTAAAAAATAAATAATATATATATATATATATATATATATATATATATATACACACATGTTTTATTGGGGTAGATCTACTAATTTGTGATTTACAAAATGGGCAATGACATTTTTACTTTAAAAGGGACATTCCAAGGACTATAGTTACCCATAGCTGCCCCTTCCCCCCAGTTCATGATTGCCCCAGGTACCCCAAATTGCATCTGCCCTACTTGGCCTCCCCAGTTAATATCTGCCCCAATATTGTCCTCTCTTCAGTTGTGTCAAACCAATCTCACTTTTTACACAGTTTGTGTTTGTACCAGTCCTCTCCACAGTTTGTGTCTCAACACAGTCTTATATCAAATAAGTGTTACAGACATATATAAAACCATTTGCACATACATAAACACAGACATATATAAAACGATTTGTACATACATAGACATAGAAATATATAAAACCATTTCATCACAAATAAACAGTGTTCAAGCAGTACAGTACTGAGTTGCCACCTATGTTCCACCGTCCCAGGCCACATCTCCAGTGTCCCTCTCCTGTCTCATTTAAAAAATAAGCACAAAAAAATTATAGAAAATGCATTTACAAGTGTGTTGCAGAATGTCCCCCATGCATGCATTGTAATCCCATTACACATGCTATGTGCATTCTCAGACCTAGAGAGCTGTAGTGGTAATGGTTCGTGGAGTGTTCCTTTAAATGTACAGTCCCAGCATAATAAACTTTGTAAATATTTAGATTTTAAACAGTAAATTCCTCCTTGCAATATTTGGGCTGCAATGTCCAAATAATGATTGACATCCTAGACAAACAAGGCATTTCCACATTGTTGACTAACTAATTAATCAGTTGTAAAATATTTTTTAATCTCTGCAGGTTACGTATAAATTACTATAATTTAAGAAAGTTATATAAAGGGACCATCACTAAACCAATGCAACTAAATACAACTAAATACATTTAGATTGTAGAATATTTGTATGTATCCATATGTGCTGAAATAAATCATATATGCTATATCCTTTCATTCTGTGTAAATTTTCCTTTATAGTCTGCAAAAATACTACCAAGTATTACCAGTACTTACACTGAACAAAATTATAAACACAACACTTTTGTTTTTGCCCCCATTTTTCATGAGCTGAACTCAAAGATCTAAGACTTTTTCTATGTACACAAAAGGCCTATGTCTCTCAAATATCATCTCACAAATCTGTCTAAATCTGTGTTAGTGAGCACTTCTCCTTTGCCGAGATAATCCATCCACCTCACAGGTGTGGCATATCAAGATGCTGATTAGACAGCATGATTATTGCAAATGTGTGCCTTAGGCTGGCCACAATAAAAGGCCACTCTGAAATGTGCAGTTTTATCACACAGCACAATGCACCAGATGTTGCAAGTTTTGAGGGAGCGTGCAATTGGCATGCTGACTGCAGGAATGTCCACCAGAGCGGTTGCCCGTGAACTGAATGTTCATTTCTCTACCAAAAGCTGTCTCCAAAGTAGTTTTTAAAGAATTTGGCAGTACATCCAACCGGCCTCACAACCGCAGAACACGTGTAACCACACCAGCCCAGGACCTCCACATCCAGCATCTTCACCTTCAAGATCGTCTGAGACCAGCCACCCGTACAGCTGCTGCAACAATCGGTTTGCATTACCAAAGAATTTCTGCACAAACTGTCAGAAAGCATCTCAGGGAAGCTCATCTGCATGCTATTCGTCCTCACCTGACTGCAGTTCGTCGTCGTAACCGACTTGAGTGGGCAAATGCTCACATTCGATGGCGTCTGACACTTTGGAGAGGTGTTCTCTTTACGGATGAATCACGGTTTGCACAGCACAGGGCATATGACAGACAGAGTGTATGGTGTTGTGTGGGTGAGCGGTTTCCTGATGTCAATGTTGTGGATCGAGTGGCCCATGGTGGCGATGGGGTTATTGTATGGGCAGGCGTATGTTATGGACAATGAACACAGGTGCATTTTATTGATGGCATTTTGAATACACAGAGATACTGTGATGAGATCCTGAGGCGCATTGCTGTGCCATTCATCCACGACCATCTCCTCATGTTGCAGTATGATAATATACAGCCTCCATGTTGCAAGGATCTGTACACAATTCCTGGAAGATGAAAACATCCCAGTTCTTGCATGGCCAGCATACTCACCGGACATGTCACCCATTGAGCATGTTTGGGATGCTCTGGATCGGCATATACAACAGCATGTTCGAGGTCCTGCCAATATCCAGCAACTTCACAGAGCCATTGAAGAGGAGTGGACCAAAATTCACAGGCCACAATCAACAACCTGAGCAACTCTATGCGAAGAAGATGTGTTGCACTGTGTGAAGCAAATGGTGGTTACCAGAGACTGACTAGTTTTTGGAGCCCCCCGGATCCCTTTAATACAGTAAAACTGCACATTTTGGAGCGGCCTTTTATTGTGGCCAGCCTAAGGCACACCTGTGCAATAATCATGCTGTCTAATCAGCATCTTGATATGCCACACCTGTGAGGTGGATGGATTATCTCAGCAAAGGAGAAGTGCTCACTAACACAGATTTAGACAGATTTGTGAACAATATTTGAGAGAAATTTTGTGTAAGACATAGAAAAAGTCTTAGATCTTTGTGTTCAGCTCATGAACAATGGGGGGAAAAAACAAAAGAGCGCAATCAAAAGCATATTTAAGAAGAACCCGATGGATCAACATTATACATCCCTGAGGAAGTCCTGATAGGACGAAATGCGTAGGACATGTTATTTTGTTTTATCTCAGTTTTTAGTACTATTTGTTTTATTGTATCTTCCATTCTGGGAGTTTTTTCCTGCTACTTGCTGGAGTCCTGGATTCCACTTTTAAGTGGAGATATGCTGATTGTCATTGGACATCTTGTATTTGCGTTTGTATTCAATAAATTTGTTACTTTTATACAATCTGCACCATCTTTTCTCTCGATTTTCTTAATTTTGAGTGATATTAGAAGATACTCTTTCTGAGGATATCCATCTGGAGATTGTTCATCACTATACTGTCCCACCCTATTTAAGAGGGAGATACGCCTGATTTTTCATCCATCTAGTGAGTTTTCCATCATCCCCTCCCCCAACCGCTGTGCTGATTATACTGCACTATATTCTTCTTTTCTCCCCAGATACATCTACCAATTGTATTTCAGCATTCATATTCAGGTTGTTCTATTTATTATTCCCTTTTTGGTGATATTTACACGTTTTCTCCTTTTTGGTTTTGTTTTGTAACTTTTTAGAAAAAACAAAAGTGTTGCATTTATAATTTTGTTAAGTGTAGATGAATAGTGTAGGTATTTCATGGTTGAATAATAGTCCAGTCCAGTGTTGCAGAGAGCCACAGAAATGTACTAGTATGAAATGGATGTTCACGCCTGCTACTGTCATGATTAGCTCATCTTTCTGAGACTCAGGGAGTGACACCCGTCAGACCAATAGTTAAATATAAAACCATTAGAAAATGTATTGACTACTTAAATTGGTGGTTTTCTAGGGCATTCCTGGCACCATAACAACTACAGTGTTCCAAAGTGGTTATGGTGCTTGGAGTGTTCATTTGAAGGCCTAATGTAAGCAACATAACATAACTACTACAGCTTGCATTAGTGTTTTTATGCCCAACATGTCCTGGTCCATCCCTCGGGTTAATATCAAATCATTTAGGAACAGTTTGATAAATAGGACGGCTATTTCTGGCCAAGAGCAACAGTTCCCATCTCAACCACATTTGTAAGGCTAAATTAACACATTTGGTTTATCATGGCCAATTTTGTCCAACATACATAATCATTTTTTGTTGAGTGTTCTGCACTAACCCACATCCAACTCTCTCATCAAATCACTGTCACTCAGGTTGGATGAAATTCTATTTTATAAAAAGGTGAGGGCAGTCCTAGAGCTCTGATTTGTGTCAAACCATTTAAACCAGGGGATGAAGCCAGGGCTCTCTAGGCACTATATCAAGCACAGCAAGATCTACTGGTTATTTTTCTTACAGTACCCCTTTAATTAGCTTAGAGAAGATAATGCCTATTCGGGGAGCCTGCTCTTTTCCAGCGTGGAATTTCTGACGCGATCCAGGTCCTCCTGTCCTTTCTGTGATCAGATTTTTCTAGTGATTGGCGGAGCTGCTGTAAGGTCTTTAGGAGCTGCCAGTTCTGATGAAGAAGCTCAAAGTGAGTCTTCTGAGCTTCCATCTGTTGCTTCTCAGCTTGGTCTAACTCCAACTGTGCACTTCTAAATTCCTTTTCCAATGTCTGCAATCTGAACATCAATAAAGCAATAAATCAGGCATTAGTGTGGGAGAAAATATTACTGGCACATGCTGTTAAAGTGTTCTTGTCATGATGCTTTGTTCTGCATTTTATGTCAAAGCATTGTGAATGGTTACTTCTGATGACAACATTTATAAAGTTAGTATGACAGCACTATGTAGTGGCAGAATGCTTGGAACAATAGAATTAAACAATTTAAATAGGAAAGCTTGACTGGGAGAGCAGCAGACCATCCACTGTTTACATACCAAAGGACCACCAATCCATTCCATGTGCAGGTGGCTTCCTGATGCCTCTGATGAGAACTGTATTAAAGGGACACTATAGTCACCTGAACAACTTTAGCTTAATGAAGCAGCTTTGGTGTATAGAACATGGCCCTGCAGCTTCACTGCTCAAACCTCTGCCATTTAGGAGTTAAATCCCTTTGTTTATGAACCCTAGTCACACCTCCCTGCATGTGACTTGCACAGCCTTCCATAAACACTTCCTGTAAAGAGAGCCCTCTTTAGGCTTTCTTTATTGCAAGTTCTGTTTAATTAAGATTTTCTTATCCCCTGCTATGTTAATAGCTTGCTAGACCCTGCAAGAGCCTCCTGTATGTGATTAAAGTTCAATTTAGAGATTGAGATACAATTATTTAAGGTAAATTACATTTGTTTGAAAGTGAAACCAGTTTTTTTTTTCATGCAGGCTCTGTCAATCATAGCCAGGGGAGGTGTGGCTAGGGCTGCATAAACAGAAACAAAGTGATTTAACTCCTAAATGACAGTGAATTGAGCAGTGAAATTGCAGGGGAATGATCTATACACTAAAACTGCTTTATTTAGCTAAAGTAATTTAGGTGACTATAGTGTTCCTTTAATAAAGAGGAACTGACAGTTCTCTGCACATTATACCATTAAGGGACCACTAAAGTCACCAAGGTTACTCCATCTCAATGAAGTGATCTGGGTCCATTGGTTTTGTCATTTTAACTATATTGCAGTTTTTTTAAGAAGCTGTAATGTTTACATTGCAGGATTAAATCCACCTGTAATGGCTGTCATACTAACAGACACTAGAGGTGCTTTCCCTGCACTGACTGAATAAAACTCGGTTATGTGGAAGCCCCAATAGAAAAGCATCAATTCATTGCTTTCCTATGGGGAAGCTTGGACGTGCTGACGGCACTCACCCTGTATGCACGCCAGGTCCCCAATATGCATTAGACCAATGACGGAGGAAGCCATGGCTCCTCGAAGACATTGCCAGCGGAGGAGAGGTCAGCAGTTTGTTTTTTGTTTTGTTTGCACACACTGTGGCAAGGGGGAACATATCTAACTAGGGACAAGTTCACTAAAGTTACAAGTGTAAAAAATACAATATTTGTGAAGTCTTAGAGTTTCTTTAAATAAAACATTCAAATTCACCTATAATATAAATATATTTATATAACAAGGTGATATAAGAAAGAGGGCACTCACAGGACTTTTAAGTAAAAAAAAATAAAACATCTTAAATCTGTGATTACATCCAAATGAAAGGTCAACATTTCAAAACTGAACCTTTCTCTCTCTCTCTCTCTCTCTCTCTCTCTCTCTATGTATATATATATATATTTATTCCTAGATATTCTCCTTTAATGTATTTTAAAGTTTTAGCAAATTGAAATCACAATGTGATTCAATTTTGGTACAACTAGGGCACACATTGCATTGCGTGAGAGAAGAAACTGACACCTTGTTTGTGATTGCTTCCTCTCTGTATGCGCTCTCTAAGCTCAATGACAGTGGCATAGGGCAAAGCTTATAACAATAATTGAGAATGAACCAAGAGTTCTACGGTTGAGCTAAATGCAGCAGTTTGGGTTTTTGCATTTGATATTATTTTTCAGACCTCATAAAAGAAACATTTCTAAAATACAACAATTATATTAAAACATAGCATTAAAAATCCTCGGAAGTGACCCTTTACCTACTAATGCCAGTCCATGTTACAGATATTTCATCTTATGTAGAATAGAACCTCAGGTTAATGGGCTATAAAAGTGGAGTACCTGTTTATCTTGCACAAACTTACAATAGCTTTTATTAACCCCTTAAGGACACATGACGTGTGACATGTCATGATTCCCTTTTATTCCAGAAGTTTGGTCCTTAAGGGGTTAAAGGGACACTATAGTCATCAAAACAACTTTAGCTTAATGAAGTAGTTTTGGTGTATAGATCATGCTCCTGCAGTCCCAGTGCTCAATTCTCTGTCATTTAGGAGTTCAATCACTTTGTTTATACAGCTCTAAGCACACCTCCCTGCATATGACTTACACAGCCTTCCTAAACACCTCCTATAAAGAGTCATCTAATGTTTAAACTGCCTTTTTTGCAAATTCTGTTTCATTTAGAATGTCTTTTCTACTGCTCTGTTAATAGCTTGCTAGACCCTGCAGGAGCCTCCCGTATGTAATTGAAGTTCAATTTTTAAAGTAAGTTACATCTGATTGAAAATGAAAGCATTTTGTTTTCATGCAGGCTGTGTAAGTCACAACCAGGGGAGGTGTGGCTAGGGCTGCATAAACAAAAACAAAAGTGATATATCCCCTAAATGGCAGTGAATAGAACTGTAAACCTTCAGAGGCATGATCTAGACACAAAAACTGCTTCATTAAGCTAAAGTTGTTTTGGTGACTATAGTATTCCTTTAAATGTTTTCAACAACATTTTCGCACAAGTCATTATTCTACAGTTAAAATATTTTTTGAACGGGTTACCTACTACGTGATGTCCGTTCTATTTGCTCCCCGACCTGACTGTGTTACTAAATACAGTGTTTATATTACCTTGTAAGATAAATGCGTGTCAGGTTCTCGATAGCTGCATTCAATGTCAGAGCTTCCTGCCGGTAACCTCGCCTTAATTCATCTTCTACAAGTTGCACCTTGTTCTGCAAGCTATCAGAAAGTCTTTCTTTTTTTGTTGTTTCCAGTAGTTCTGTGAAAGGACACATCCATAAAACATGTTAGAAAATATGATTACAAAGTTTCATCGAGAATATTTTCATCACATATAAAGGACAAAAACAATATAACATTGAGCTGACAGCAATATTTTTGTTTTATATTGGGCTACAGGTCAGTGCAGGCAATATCTGAGAGATGTAAGTTAGATATCATGTGTAACACGATGTTTATATCTACAAAACAAATAACAGGCAGTTAGACAGACACGGACAGATAGTAGTGTAACAATTGAAACTTGTATTAATAGTGTAGATGTTACCTGCACCATGATGGCTGAAATCAACCAGCAGTTTTCTTTGGTGAGATTTCATTTTATGCACTAAATAAAATGAAAATTATTATTATTAAAATATACTTATTTCATTCTGAGTGTTTTATTTTTAGAATGGAAGATGTCTGGTTATTTAAAGTGGATCTGTCACTTACAGGGGTCTTCGCATATTTCGCACAAACCCCCGTAAGTGATAGATCTGGTGTGTGTCCAGTGGTTGCGGAGTGCAGGGGAAGCTTAGTATTACTCACCTCATGCAGCCCCTCAGGGCTGCCGCCATCTTTGCCTTGCTGGTCCGTATTAGTGATGTACTATTGCGCATGTGCGAGAGTCCAATTCACTCTAGAGAGAATCTCATGTTCTTGCTTGATCAATGCCCGAATACCACAGCCGTTACTTGTGACAGCTGCTGAGATTGGACAAAAGCTGACGGCTGAGCTCTGTGTTTTGTCGAATTTTGTCAACCTCAGGCTTGACTATAAGACAAAGTATTCCCTACTTTGTCTTATGATATCTTTGGATTGTGTCGGACTTTCAATGAAATCCTAACACAGTCTTGATCAGTATTTCATAACATAGAAAATATCTTTATGAAATACTGTAAAGTGACAGACCCGCTTTAATTTTCAATTCCAAAACTCTTTGCAAATATTCACATATAACCAATATGTAGGATTCAGCAGTCCCATCGACGCCATTGCAGGTAATGAAATAACTTGAACAAAGCTAAGTATTCTGTGATTCATATATAGGCTCTCAACAGTTTTATTATTTACTTAAAAGGTTATCCAACCAAAAAAAAGTGTTTTAAGTAACCCTTGCAAATCTGCTATTACCCCTCCCGCCCACAAAAACAACAACCGGCCTCTGTTCAAGTGCCAAGGCCAAACCTGATCTTCCCTCAGTGAAGTCACACCTCCTCTCTCATGAGTAGATGGATGTCAGAGAGGGTGGGCTGAGGGAGTACTTAAACGACACGACAAGGGGGTGCTGACATTGGAAGTCGGTCGCAAGCATGCTGTGCATGCTGATGACACATGTCAACTATGCACAGAATTTACATTAGCCAGTCCAGAACTCTGTGGTGGAGTAACAGATTTGTTAAAATCTGTATGTGCTGCGTTTTGGTAAATTGTCCCACATACAGGTTTCAGGCACCATGACCACTTCAAATCACTGAGGTGGTCATGGTGCTTGTAGTCACCCTTTAACATGAATTGTGAAGAACTGGCCAAAGATATTGGACATTTTATGCCAAAACAAAAACCAAAATAAATTACAAACATTCGCTATCTCAGTTTACTTGGTTATTTAGTCTTGAAATGTGTAATTCCTTTGTCAATTCTCACACCACTGAGCAATGCTATAGAGCTGATCTAGAACATTTCTCAAAGCCCTCCTGATGCCATTGGTTTCATTAATAATTACAGCCAAACAGAAAATTTGTGCAATTTAGAGGAATTATGAGAACATAAGCATATTACCAAGAGTCAAAGTAGATGCACTGAATATGAAACCTATTAATAAAGGAAATTTTGTTACAGTTACAACCTTGCCCATATGTAAGATTGGCCAAAACACACAGTGTAAACAGCCCTTGTAAAGACACATACAGACCAGAAAAAAAACCAAAATAGCTGCACACATTTATATAAAAGAAATAGCTTTTTTTTACACTTATATAGGGCACTGTGCTTGTTACACTGTTACCATAGTTACCAGTGAAAATAACCTGCAATATAATGCAAATTTTATCACTACACACACTTTGATCAAGATCATACAAAACAATTATCATCTAGAACTTGTGAGATCTCATATATGTAGTTTATTAGTAGTTTTGTTAACACTTAGGGATTTATTCACTAAACAATGATTTTTGTAGTAAATTAAAATCCAAATTGTAATGTTTCGGCTGTCTCGCTAGGTGAGTTGTAGCATTTTTAAAATTCAAATTAGTTATTGTTACCTAAATTTTGCAATTCTGAGTTACATTTACCACAATCTGACATAATGACTAAACCCCATTAGTAGCTTTTTACTGATAAAATAAATAGTACATTCATTTTACATAGTATCATGTTATAAGTTATATCAGAATGAAATACTTAATGGTACTTACACTGCAAGGAAGCTGAATGTCTGTGTGCTGGGCAATGCGAATGGGAACGGCCCTTGTTGCTAGGCTTCTTCAGGTTAGACAACAAAGGTTTCAAAGAACAGGTAAGGCACTCAAACAAACTAACTTGAATAGGTAATAGTGCAAGGAGGTCATATGTGACTGTGGAGTTAGAGGCAATGTGGGAAAAGCTAACATTTTTCTGTATAAAAAATTAATTAAAAAATACTGTTATAATGCATTATTTTATGGTGTCAGAGGTTGACCAGCAGCCAACAGTAATAAAAACTAATATTCAGGTCACAATAGATAGATGATAGATGAGCAGCCACTTACTAGCATTAATACCCTGTCCCTTAATCAGGAATGGGGTATACGTAAAATATGAGGGACCTGCCCCTTGTCTCCCCCTAAACCCTACAATAATGCCTGGAAAATCAGGGGAGTTTATCAATATACAGTTGAACAGCCTACCCAACTGTTAATGACATTTATCCCATTAGTGGTGGGATGGGGATCATTAGTTAATAGCAGGGCAGGACCCATTAGGTATATCTTCCTACCCTATACCCGTGTAAAAAAAATAAGTGAGTTGGTACTCATGGCTGCCAATTTGTAAATAACTGAAATCCTCGATGGGGATAGAAAAAATGAAAATGGGGGATTCTTCCTATAGCACGTGGATAATAAAATAAATGAGTGTTGCTTCACTGCCAATAGGTTGCTTTCAAACACCTGTTGGCATTGTGTGGTGGAGGGAGGTACCTTGCTTCATATTTGCTCTCCTTGGCTGTTCCCTCCTCCTATTACCTCCGATGCAGTACTAGCACTTTATTTAGTCTACCTCAATACAAAAAGAAAACGGCCTGATCCACCTCCTCCTACAGAGCGCCGCAATTGTGGCACAACCTCCTGCACACTTTAAAATGTTCCCCAAGCCTAGAGTCCTTCAATTCCCTTTTATTCCAGAAGTTTGGTCCTTAAGGGGTTAAGATATCCCTCTCTACATACTTCAAAACAGAATGCACATGTCATGGATGATTATATATTTCCTACCTGTTCTATGTTAAATTTTTTATTTATTGTGTATTAATATTGTTTTTGTATTTTATTGTACCCTAATGTAACAACGCAATGTTTTGTGGATCCAGGACATACTTGAAAACGAGAGAAATCTCAATGTATCTTTCCTGGTAAAATATTTTATAAATAAAATATTTGGTGGCACTGCTAAAAGATCCAGGATTTCTAGCAAAAAAAGTGACTGATGAACTCTACCTTCCAACCAGAGTTTCTCCATCAGACTTACAAATAATCTGTAATTCCCCAACTCCTGGACTCAGTGATGTTGCTGACACATGTTTAGGAAGCAACGGACATCACCACCCTTATCTTTTTGGGTGATGTGGGTCGAGGAGGCCAGACAGATGGATTACTTGCGTGGAGGCCTCCAGCACTCAAGTTATCCATCTGTCTGGAGGCTTGCAGTGGTTCTACTGGCAGAAGTTTTTATCCGGGGCAGACTTCCACACAAATGCACAACCATGAGCTAATGTTGGTCTGGGGGAGGGTGGGGTGGAGGGGGAGGGTAAGGTGGGATAACTAATATGGTGGCTTAGCACATATGAGATGCAAGTATGGCCGCAAACTGCTGCGCCAACTTTTACTGTGCTATTTCTTTTTCTCCTCTCCCCTCCCCATCCCTCTTTCCTTTCCCCCTCTCTCAAATCCTTTTTCTCTTCCCTCTTTTTTTTTCTCTTTCTCTCCCCTTTCTCCTTGTCCCTTCTGTCTCTTACTGGAAAGGGACACAATTCTGATTTAGACAGCCTTTTGATCTATGTTGTACCACAAATTTTAATATCCGTGAGGAAAATATGATGTAGATTAACTATGTGGAGGTAGTATTGATACACAACATCCATCAGCGTCTTCCAATGTACGTTTCCTATATGTTAAATGCCTTATTATTGTATGCACTGGTCACTGCACTTTTAAACAATTATTGACCTAAAATAAATAGGTGGGCATTAACCAACCAGTTTACTTTTCCATGTCTGTAGTGGTGGGATGTGGATATAAATACACAAATAGGAGTAACATGCCTGTGGTTCCCATTTTATGGCTTTATGGCTGGAGAGTTGTGGATTTAATGACTATATGCGGGGAATCTAATAGAATTCCAAAACACAAGATGAGATCCACAGTTCCCTGTTCCCTGGCAAAGTTACAGAAACATTTTAATTACCACAATGATGAATGTCAGAGGCGTTTTAGGGTGGCATTGGAGGCTGATGCCCTGGATGTTGAATTCTTTAGCCCTGGATCTTTACAGAAATTAAATAATTATCCCCTTGGGTCCTAGGCAGGTTATTATCTTGGGATTTTCTCATTCAGTCTTAGTATAAGGAGGATAAATGGGCTCAAGCTGGGCCAAATATTTTCACAGTGCCTGGGCCCCTGTATAGTCTTTGGGTACTAGGCAGTTGCCTTAGGCCGCCTTATGTTTCAAAGGATGAAGGGACACAATGAAAGCCACTACAAACATCTCTGTAATAATGTTGTGTACCTATGAATGCAGAACCAATGTACTGTCACTATAAAGACACTCAAAATTTAGATGTTAGTGTTTTGCCTATATTACCGTTGGTGAATCCTCAAAATGAAATCTGTGACACTTTTTTTGACCTGCTTAATCCGCCTTGCCATCAGCATTAAAGTTTACAGACAGGGCCTGTCTTACTACCACATTTTTAATTGAGGTCACAAGTACTGTATTTATTTCCTGGCTTTGTTTCAAAAGTATCAGTACTAATATAACAGACAGTTGTGTGCAGCCATCTCTAAGTTCAGTATTTGCATGTTACTTCACTTGATGTGTCTTGCTGGACATTTTTCTATCCTTGGTACAGTTCTGTTTCTTTCTTTAAACCTCTGCTTAAGCTGTGACTAAATTCATAAAATACCGAAAATTTTCAATTACTTGTTTTATCAACCACCAGGTGGCAGTCTTAACCTATTTTTGGCTAGTAGACCAATCACAAACTGATTACCTCTTTCAGAATCAAAGTGAAAGAAACTTTCAATAATCATAAAAAAAGAAAAAAGAAAAAGCTGATTGGGAAATAATATCAAAAATCAAAGGCCAGGGTGTGGAGAACCTTTGTATTACAATTTAACTTCTCTGAAAAGTAGTAAATGATTATCCTCTAAAATATGATTACAACCAAAACCTCTCGTGACGCAAGAAAATTGTGATAAGCGTTGATATGTCTGAGGATGTCCTTGAGTTGTTGAGCACAATATTCAGTAGTATAGAGCGCTGGATGATTATAGTAATAGTTAATAAGAATAATTTTACAGCCTATCATGAAATCAAAAGTGCAGTACAATGATTTTATAATCACTTCAGGGAAGCCATCACTGGAGGCCATTTGGAAGCCATTTTGTTTTCAGTCAATATCTGAATAGGAAACTTAATGTTACCGTTGTTGCAGCTAAAGAAACCATTGATACTTTCTTCATCACTTGAATGTATGATTACTCATATGATACTAGTACATTCAATAACATTTGTTTCTATTTAGCTTCCATGTATCTAACAGAAAGTTTGCACGGGGCAGATGAGTGACTGTCTGTCCGTCCGTCCATCTGTTCGCCTGTCTGTCTGTGTATATATCTATCCATCCATCCATCTATCTATCCATCTGAACTTTATGGATGAGCTAAGAAACTCTGCTAAAAATATCAAATATAAAATCTTTACAGCCAGGTGATTTTGTGCATAGATGCTGTCCCATTTCTTGAAATTCATTGCTGTTTCTGAAAAATGAAAATGTTAACATTTAATCTCTAGCGACTGTCAGACAGTCACTAGAGGTACTTCCTCCTCACGTCTTTCACTTTTAAAAAGGCTTTATCAGGGTTATTTACAAAAGTGAGGAGTCAAGGTGAATTTAAAGTTGATTTCAAATTTAAGGCTAAAATAGCTAAAGTAAAAGCGTGGCTGACTGGGAGAATTTGTCCAGTTTGGCTATATTGTCCTTAAAGGGACACTATGGTCACCAAAGCAACTTTAGATTAATGAAGCAGTTGTGAGGTATAGATCATGCCATTGAAATTTCACTGTTTAATTATCTGCCATTTAGGTGTTAAATCACGTTTGTTTCTGTTTATGCAGCCCTAGCCACACCCCTCCTCCCCCCCCCCTTTGACTGACACATCCTGCATGGAAAAAAAATGTTTTCACTTTCAATCTGATGTAACTAACTCCAAAAGTTTTTATCTCCTGCTTTGTGAATTGAACTTTAGTCACACACAGGTCCATGCAGGGTATAGCAAGCTATTAACAGATCAGTAGTGATGTCCCGAACGGTTCGCCACGAACGGTTCGCCGCGGACTCATCATTGAGAAAACTTTGACCCTGTACCTCGCAGTCAGCAGACACATTCCAGCCAATCAGCAGCAGACCCTCCCTCCCTGACCCTCCCACCTCCTGGACAGCTCACTAAGAATGCAGCTTCACAATAAATGTAAAATGGATGCTGTCCAGGAGGTGGGAAGGTCTGGGAGGGAGGGTCTGCTGCTGATTGGCTGGAATGTGTCTGCTGACTGTGAGGTACAGGGTCAAAGTTTACTCAATGATGAGTCTGCGGCAAACCGTTCGCCACGAACCGTTCACGAACCGTTCGGCAAACCGTTCGGGACATCACTACAGATCAGGAAATAATAAAGTATAATTTAAACAGAATTTGCAATAAAGTGGCCACTTGGAGGTGTCCCTAGGGGTAATGTAAACACTGCCTTTTCTCTGAAAAGGCAGTGTTTGCATAAAAATGTCGGAAGGCACTGATTATACTTACCAGAACAAATACATTAAGCTGTAGTTGTTCTGGTGACTATAGTGTAAAACAAAACATACAGACCCATACATGTACAAATACAGATGAACAGACATTAAAATGCTTTTTAATTTACTCACCATCACATCCAGTAAACAGTAATCTGCTGTATAGTTGTATACTTAAT